GAAGCTATACATATTATATCTCGATACACATCTCTTATAAAACATCACCCACTCCTTGAAACATCTTGCAAACGCAAAGACACTTAATGCCTATAGTGACCGTAGGTTGATGACCCCTCATTGTCTCGGCTTTTACTCAGAGAAACCGAGGCACCGTGAGAACGATATCGGTACAAATACTTTGAAAATCTTGTTTCACATTAGTTTCCGCCTTTTGGCTGTCAAAATCTACAGTTGTGTTAATATGTTACATGAGGATATAAATTCTACAATTAATTATTTTAATGTATCTATGTTATAATGTAATAAAATATAGTAATCTAACCTAAATTTAAGCTTTTAAACTACTACTAGAAAGACTCATCTATTCGGATGTAAAAGAGAATATAAAGTTGAGTGAGGCTCAGTTTGGTTTTCGTTCTGGTCTTTCAACAGACTCGGCAATTTTCAGCTTGAAGGCAACGGTCAACCACTATATTAATAGGGGCACATCTGTATATGCCTGCTTTTTGGACCTGAGTCGTGCCTTCGACCTAGTAAATTATAATTTACTTTGGGAGAAACTGCATGCTTCTGATGTCCCAATAAAGACTGTCAATCTGTTGAGATACTGGTATGAGAACCAATTAAATAGCGTGAGATGGGGCGACGCGACATCTAGCGAATATAAGCTAGAATGCGGTGTGCGTCAAGGAGGGTTGACCTCTCCGGACCTATTTAGCCTTTACATAAACAACCTGATTGAGGAATTAAGAAGTGCCAGAGTTGGTTGTCATGTTGGATCAACTTGCATGAATAATTTCAGTTATGCTGACGACATGGTACTTCTTAGTCCCTCAATCAGAGGGCTACGTAAACTATTAGCAATCTGCGAACAATATGCTGCTGATCATGGCTTGAAATATAACGTTAAGAAGACAGTTATGATGGTATTTCGGGCTGGCAGAGGTCCGGAGACGATTCCGGGCATATATTTAGAGGGGTTATTAATAGAGAGGGTTGAGCGGTTTAGGTATCTAGGCCATATTCTAACTGACAAACTTGATGACAGGGACGATATAGAGAGAGAACGCCGGGGGCTAGCTGTGAGATGCAATATGCTCGCGCGTAGATTTGGGAAGTGCAGTGATGATGTGAAGGTGACATTATTTAAAACATATTGCTTATGTTTTTATACATGTCAGCTTTGGGTAAAATTTCCTAGGCGAGCGATTAATAACATTAGGGTACAATATAATGACGCATATCGTATCCTGATGAAATTGCCCAGATACTGCAGCGCTTCCGATATGTTTGCAAAAGCTCGAGTGCCTGATTTTTTCGCAATAATTAGATCACGAATCGCTTCATTTTGGAATCGTTTGAGAGTCTCTAACAACGAGATCCTTGCGAAGTTGGTAAAAACTTTTGACTGCACGATTCTTAAGTTTTGGCTTTCGGTGCATCAGGAGGCTAATAAAAAATAGATTCTTATAGATTTAGTAGTAATGGCCTATATACTCAACAGCGATATATTGTTTTTAATTCTAGTTTAATTTAATGAAGAGTCTGACTGAATTTTGTTTTTATAATGTTTTTATTGACTTGCATATATATGCATAAGTGATATAAAAATTGACTTGTATAACTACATATATGTTATTATATTATAAATTGGGTGTATACCTTTGCAATAAATATTATTATTATTATTATTATTATTAAACAAAAAAATACGTGTATGCACGTAAGAAGTAATATTTCTTTGGCGTAACAGAACAAAAATAGCTAAAGATTTCAGCCCGTATGTCATATCTCTCTGTTTGTAAAAGAAATGCAGCTAACTTCATCATGTCGCTTTTTGGCTGTCTGTCTGTGTTTGTGGCACGCGCATCGTGAAAATTTTACTCTCATAATTTAAGTATAACTTCAAAATTTATTATTTTAAACAGAGCAACTGTTGAGTTTCTTGCCACCTCTTAGCAGAACTGCTTTACCGACACTGGTCGTACTTACTTACTTACAATATTGACTATATCATTGGAATATTAACTGACAAAAATTGATTCAATGAGTGTATGTAAAGTCAATTCAAATAAAATCAAATATTTAGTTCTTTTTTTTATTTTAAATGAATTATTATAATTTTATAATAAGTTATTACCTAGATCCTATCAGTGTTATGTTATGGGTAATATTTGTTTGTGTGATTGTACTCGCCAATCTCCGGAACGGCTGTATCGATTTTAAATTACTATCACTATAGGGTAGTTGATTTGGACTTCAGTATGGATTTTCGCCATTAGTTTTAAAATATATTCTAATTTCAGACTTTATTAAATTGATGAACTTTTGAAGAACTTAAAAGCAGAAAACATAACATAAACTCAAAAATGAGTTCCTTTAACTTTTCTTAGGCTATAATTTATTATTCAAAGGCCTTACATTAAATTTGACTTAGAACTTTTCTAAAGCAAAGACAATTAAATTTGGAGATTTGGAAGCTGTGGTCCAGACATTAAACAAAACATTAAGTTATGTTGAATGCCTCTTTGAAATATAAAATATTACAGTAATTTATTACAATAATGTAATTCAGGAGACAATAATTGACACATTCTCTTTCTTAACGGTCTCAGAGTTAAATGGCTGTGACTTACGGACATACCATGACCAAATAAAAATGCCGTTTTTGCCTTTTGATTACGGAGCCCTAAAAATACTGATTTATATAATATATATTTCGATTTAATATACCTAACTATTAAATATGATATTTTATATGATATTGTATTTTGACCTAGGTTAAGTTTCTAATAAGATGGCTCGTAACTAACGTTCCACCTACACGTTACCACGAGATCATTGCAGGAATATACGAACGGATGAATAGATTAGATAATATTATACTCGTTATTCTTTTGTAATGATTATTTTTTACCCGACTGCGACGTAGCCCAAAGGAGGGCTATGTGTTTGACCTGTATGTATGTAGGTATATACATATGTTCTATCCTATGTTCCCTCGTAATTACTAAAGCTTAACCGATTTTGATGATTCATATGTCATTGGATTCTTCTTGATAACGCAAGTGTTATAGGGTAGGTATATAGATATCATTAAAAACAAAATGGCGGATTTTAAGGGCCAATTTGTGTCTAGATTTTTTTAATAAAGTTATACGCTATCAATAAGCTGCGCAAGCAAAGCTGCGGGGAAGAGCTAATAAAGTATACATGCACCCAGAAATCTATAGCGGAATAAACGGCACAAGCAATGTGATACCTAACAACGTTTTCCATTTAACCACGTGTTACTTTATAACGGAGCCTTGACATTGTATTGAAATAAAGCATTCATTAAGTACACTTTGTGTAAGCAAAGTGTAATGCACACTATAGTGTAAACCACATAACAGTAAAATGCTACTCAATGATACACAGTTATTTTGAACTACAAAATAACGAATATGAAGACTAAATAGTACATACTAGTAGAAGCCGCGGTTTTGCCCGCGTTCAAAGTACAAAAAACATACACTTCTTTCCCTTCCCTTTACAATAATGTATGGAAATTGCCCGATTTGATGTAATTTATGAACTGCTCCGCTCCCTTGGGTAGTAGCATGATGATATATAGCCTATAGCCTACCTCAATATACGGGCTATCTAATACATAAAGAATTTTTCAAATCGGATTAGTAGTTCCTGAGATTAACGCGTTCAAACAAACAAACTCTGCCTTTTTATGATATTAGTATACATGATATACTAGAAATTCTCCTCGGAGTGTGTCCCTAGGTGCCTAGCTCCTAGAAGGAGATACTCTATCTTACTCCAAGTTGGTCATAGTTTATCTGTATAGGTACTCCATTTCATCCAAATAAGTCCAGCCATTATAGCATGAGAGAAGGACAAACAAACATACGTAGTATACACACGTACAAACTTTCATATTTATTATTATTATTATATTAGTGATCTCTTATATCCTTTATCTATGTTAATCTATACATATAATAAAATTGTAACTAGGCCGAATCTATAGCTTTTAGAATTTTTGTATGTCTGTCTATCTGTTACCGCATCACAGAAAAACCACTGGAGGGATTTTGATGAAATTTGGTATGGTGATAGCTGGTTATCCGGGTCAACATATAGGATACTTTTTACCGCGGGAAAATGACTCATTTCTGAGAAAAAATACAAAAACTGCAATGTAAGAGTATAATAATATGTAAAACCTAAGAATTTGGTTTTTGGTCATCTGATCGCGGGCGGATCCGCGGGCAATGCAATAGTATATAATATGGAAGTAATGACTTTGTGGAGTTTGCAATTAGGGGTAATATCCGTAACTAATGATTCAATTCGATACTTGCTTCACTGAAAAACAACCACACTACAGTTTCCTTATGTGCTGCAGGTAATACTATATGAAATACTCTAAAGTATGTTGGTATTCAGTCACACCTTTTGAAGTTCCACTGCTGGGCTACTGGTCTGATACCCCATTGAAGAGAGGCCTCACACTGCAGAACAAAACGTATCCATGATACTGTAAATATTAATGTTATATTGAGCAAATATAGAACTTGCTTTTAATCCCTCCACGACCGCGGACACGCCGCCGTTACAGTTAACAATAGATTTCTTAGAATTTTAATTAATTTCTTAGAAATTTACCTGGAGGTGTTATGTTTAAAAAATACTTACGATGCTCAAACATATAATGTCAAATTCATAAGAAGCTACAATGCCACAGACAGACACAAATACACAGTTAAACTTATAACACCCCTCTTTTTGCGTCGTAGGTTAAAAAGTCACCTTTATAGTATTTGATTATATATAGTTTGAAATAAAGTAATACACGAACTACATCTGGTACACGCTTTGTTTCGTGGACGTCAAAACGTAAATATGGAGAACAAATATTGCTTGTATTTATTTTCCTGAAAATGTCAGTGACTTTATCCTGGCGCGTTCAATTCGCGTGCGATATTATAAATTTTGTAAACATGTTAAATTTTAATGAAATCTCTGGTCTGTAAGTAAGAGCACAAGCAAAACTGGGTCGGATCTTTAGTCAATATTTACATTCATATTTAATTTTCTAAAATTCTTCTTTAAAAGAGCACGGGGCTTTTAACTGAATCACATGGAATTTGTGGGTTTTCTCTCGTATTGTTTTTTACAGTACAAATTCCTTCTAGATTGCGAAATTGAGTGAGAGCTGCTTATAATTGCTGAAACAAATTATTGTTATGTAAAGGTTTCCAAAGTAACTTTTGTAATGTTTTTGAACAAACAAAACAAAAAGCTTTGTTTTTTTGTGTTTGTGTTAAGATATTACTAGACTTAGTTTAATGGAATAATTATTCTTTAATATCTTAGTTTATGAATTATTTTATTAAAGGCTGGTTGTACAATCATCCGGTAAAAATTTTTATCAGCTAAATAAATTGTAACTTCGTTGAATATAAAAGTTTAGTAATTAAATTGTATTATTCATACAACTGTTATTTTCAATCTACGTACGTTTATATTGTTTTTTTTTTAGTGAATTAAGTATCTTTGTTTGATTATTTCATTGAATAACTAAAAAAAACTTAATACTAGCGGTAACTACTACTACTAAAACAAAAATAAATCTATCCCACGAGAACCGTAAATTTTTCCGGAATAAAAAGTTAGGGATGTGCTATTCCAGATGTCTCTATCTATCTATCTCTGTGCCAAATTTCATCCAGATCCGTTCAGCCGTTCTGGCATAATTGAGCAACAAACATCCATTAAACTTTCATACTTACAATATAAATAAGATTTTTTCCTCGTATAGAATTTACCTTTGTTCACAATTGGACGAAGGGCGGAAGATGTCGCGTAATTCTCTACTTTTTTAGAGTCTTTTAAAATCCTATAAATAATGAATTTAACTAACAATGAATTAAACAATTTGATTGTTTCAGGTGTGGTATGGACAAAGAGAACGGAGAGGGTGATGCGGCAGCCAAGCCACCGCCCGACGGTCTGCTCGACCCCTCTGGGCTCTTTGGAGGTGAGATACTTAAACATTATTATATATAAGTCATAGCTAATTTTTAAAAGCTTTTTAAAACAATCTAATTTGGGCTAGTTTGTCTTTACTTTTTAATTCACATTTTAAGAACAAACCCCTTTGTTTCTTAGGTTTTTTTTTACCTTTAGGCTTTATATCATTCCAAAGAAAGTCACTGAATGAGCAAACCTATGGTCGCCAGTGTAAAACAAATATTTAAAATTTTCTATCTAAGTAAACTTTTCACTTGGAGTATTGTTTCATCTCCGACGTGTACTGTTAAAGTGATATTAAAACATTTTAATTAAATTAGTTGGCTATGAAAATTCCGCACCGCAGAAATTTACATATTGTGGGAAAGGATTGCACACTCTTGAGTTCGTCTCTCGTATATTATTAATTAAAATTTATGATTTGGTTGTCGCTTACTCTGAAGGTATACTGATTTTGACAAAGCTTTGTTTGAATGTTGGACGTGGCTTTGTTTGATGTTCAGTTTGTAGAGACCCTATTTGCACTGCCAGCGGTTGCGGTCGAGTCCCGCTGAGAGCAATCGTTTGTATGATGAGCTCGAATGTTTGTACTCCAGTCATAGGTGTTTATATTTATAATATGTATGTATTAAAGTTATATAATTGTTTATTCTCATCTATCATTGACGACACGTTTGGCTCAGTTTGTAGTGACCCTACTTGCTGTGCCAGCGGTCGCGGGTTTGAGTCCTGCTGGGGGCATTCATTTGTATAATGACGAATGTTCGTACTCCAGTCATGGGTGTTTATATTTATAATATGTATGTATTTAAAGTTATATATGTGTAGTGTTTCAACTATCTGGTATCCATAACACAGGCCTCGTAGCTTACCATGGACCTAGATGGTGCTGTGTGTTAATGTCCTAATATATTAAAAAAATATGTATGTAGATTCAAAACAGTTTAGTTAGACAAATATTATGTTTAGATAATAATTATAAATTAATTATTAACAAAAAATATATAATTATTACACTCTTAGATCACTCTTGAATTATAAGATGTTACGTGAAATGAAAGAAGGAATATACCTTAGGCCCTTACCATACATTGGAATTATGTAGCTACCTCCTTTTTTGAAGTCGGACAAATATTAAAATTTCACCGTCCATGTTATTGATTGCATCAATCATTTATAGTGTGAGCTCTGTTTCAACTCACATTCTCTAGGTTATTTAACAGTTAAAAGTAAACCTATTATACAAAACCATGGCTTTCTGTCAACATTTCTTCCTTGCCATCTTCTATCTTTTATTATAATTGTTGATTTTACACCCTAATTCAACGATTTAGAGCTCGTTTTTCATTAAATACTCCAGATTCCTGAAGAACGATCGTGACCTATTTTAATCCTTATTAAAAGGTAATACGGTTCAACCATTATATATGATGGCGTATGCTGGAACAGAATGCTTTATTGTATTTTGAACCTTAAATTATTACAATAAGGTATAATTTCCGTTATTCGATCTAACGCCATAAACGTAAACTCGCTTCGAGTTCACTGCCCTCGCGTCTATCGGTTTGCGAACATATCACTTTTGCGTATATACTCACTCTTATTGCTATAAAAATAAGGTGGAATTTAAGTTATTACACTTTTATGGTTGCTTTGTAGAAATAAACTTGAATTATTAGGGAATCTAATAATATGCTTGTTAGGAGTCGGAATTACATTACGGTTTCTATAGAAATAGTTTTGACTCACATCTGGATTAAATATAGATTATTAAAACAATTTAAATTGCGATATTTTAGTATGTTTGTTCGTCAGAGCGTTAAATACTGACTTTTTATTCTCTGTACTATAGTTTTTAGAATTTTTATGTCTTATGTGCCTGTCTCATGACGCAAAAACCACTGGACAGATTTTGATGAAAGCTTTTTACTGCGGGAAAATGTTCTATCTCTGAGAAATCTATACTAAACGTTAAAACGAGCGGAGAGAAGGTGAGTCACTCCTCATACTATATTAGGTGTTCTTCTGCCTACTAGCGATTTCAATCATGAAATAGCGTATATATACTTATATTTATTACTGCTTAAGCGATTTCTGTTTTAAACGTGTAATAAATTTTCTAATATAACATTAAACGTGTTTAAAATTGTAAATGTGATTGTTTAATATAATAATTTTATGTTTAACTTTAAATATTGGTGCATATATAGAAATATGTCTTAGAAATTACTAATATTATTATCTTTAAAATTGTCTATTTTTACTTGACAACGGCTGGACTAGATTTTTTGACTGCCTTCAAAATTGAGGTATTCGATTCTGTTGAACGTTTGTTCGTGTGTATGTTAAATAACGAATGTTCGCGATATCTAAAGAGCGCTCTAATTATTCATTGTATAGTTAACTAGCGACTCACCCTCACTTTTTTCTTTCACGCTCGGGTTTGTCAATCAATAGCTTGATTCCCAATACAAACTTTCATCCCCATTTTCACCCCCTTAAGGGATGATTTCCAGGATAAAAAGTATCTTATGTCCTTCCGAGGGTCTCGAACTATCTTTTTACCAAATTTCATCTAAATCGGTTCAGTAGATCCAGAGATTACCCCTTACAACGTCACAAACTCACAAACTTTACCTCTTTATAATAATAGTATAGATAATATTTAGATCTTGGTCGAGGCCGCAGACAGGTGCTAGTATGTTCAACAGATCTATAATCATCAATGTATTATTATTGTCTAAGGTAATTATATGCAAAATATAATATAATATGCAATAAACATACGAAAAGCTTTCAAGTGATACATCCATTTATCATGATGATTCATCTAAAATATCGCAATCTTTTAGACTTCGCATGTCTTCCGGCATGAATAATTGTAGCTGGGAATTGAGATTAATATCTTTGTACATATTTTATAGTAATTTTTCATCGTTGTTTAAATAAACCCAACATATATAATACTAGCATTGCCCGCGGCTCCGCCCGCGTTCAGATTACCATAAACCAATTTCTTAGGTTTTACATATTAGTATACTCTTACAATGCAGTTTTTGTATTTTTTCTCAGAAATGAGACATTTTCTCGCGGTAAAAAGTATCCTATATGTTGACCCGGATAATCAGCCATCACCATACCAAATTTCATCAAAATCGCTCAAGTGGTTTTTCTGTGATGCGGTAACGGAGAGACAAACAGACAGACAAAAATTCTAAAAACTATAGATTCGGCCTCTGTATCGATAATAACGTCTATTTGAATAAGATTTTCCAAAAAATATTAATTGTACAGATTTGACTCAGAATTTTATTATATGTATAGATATATAAACCTACGGTATGAGCTGATTTCGCAAGAATTATACGAGTTGTTTTTTCTTTCTCATTGGTTGTTTAACTTAATTATAATATTTAAGTACAAATAAAATTATTCGTACTGATTTACTCAAAGGGTACACCCATTTTGGATTAAATGTGATAATTATTCTACTTTCAAGGGTGGTTTGTTTATTTAAATTCAATACGAGACAACCCTTATAAGGTATTTTATAAGTAAAAATATGAAACTCAATTGACGATAGGAATAGGGTTAAAATATCGCATAATATACAAACAGACCCCCAACACAGTAAACGACGGTATGGTAGGTCCCGACGGATATGGCGGGATGAGTTGGACTCCTTCTAGAGAGAGTGATTTATTATGGCGAAAGATAGGAAGCAGTGGAGGAAGAGAGAGAGCCCTTTGCTCTGTTGTAGGACATTACAGGCTTATAATTATAATAAAATAATATACAGTGCAAAGAACATACATTCGAATTGAGCTTCTCTTTCTTTTTTACTAAACTAAATTATAACTACTAACAATATGTACCTACTTATCCTATGTTAACCGTTCGTTCCTCCACCTGTTCTAGTTTTAAAGATATTTGAAACTATAGCAGATAGCCTGTTAATTTTTCTATAGAATCTGTGCAGCAAAATAAATACCTAACCTGACGCTTCCTACTCGTTCTTGATGTTTTTGTTTTAAATTGCCAAAGAAATATTAAGGACACACTCGAACGATCACATGATAAGTCACTAGTCTATAATATTAGTAAAGTTTTTATATATTCTAACCCAAAATATATATTACCGTAGGAGGTAATATATACCTACTTCTGAGTTAGTCTCATGCTCCGGTTTCATTCGATGTCGGTCTAGGTCAATATCTAGGTCAAGTTTATTGGGTTCGAGACCCCTGTTAGGGTGATGACGAAAGAACTTTCTCTTAATTTTATAACGTCACTATATAGGGGAATGTTCATATTTACAACTTTTTAATAGCTAATATTCATTTATTTCTATACTTTTATTTTGAGAAATCATTTTTTTTAACAATTAGGATTAAGGAGGTGGTGTTCAAACATTCTGAATGTAATAATATGACTATATATCCATATAGAAGACTATTCTAGATGGATATCTAAGTTATTATGTTTAAAAGAGATTCGCACCTATAATCTGAGCGGTCGAGACTCAGAATTTTTGATTCCCAGCTTTACAACAATTGTAGTCACGAGAGAGAAACTGAAGTGATACAATTTTAAAATTATAATTGCTAAAGTACAATTTTAATTTCAGCGTACTGGGGCAGAGATGGTTCTGCCGGCGGTGCCGCGGCCGCACAAGCGCAGGCGCAGGCACAAGCGGCCCTCTTTGGCTTCGGCTCCAGATACCCCCCGCCAACCACGCTGGGGGTCGCCGCCAATCAAGCGGCGTCCCTTGGACTACATCCTGCTGCGAGTGAGTATAAAATAGCACTAATATATTCTAGGCATAAACGATTGTTTAGCCAGGATGAATATTTTTTCTTTATATATAGAATTATAAAGAGAAACGAATGTAAGTCATGCGGTATATGATTCTACATATTTTTCGCTTTTCTTTACACAAGCTTTTTCGGGAATGCTCATAGGTCTTACGTGTTCTTCTAACGAATTACATATTTATCAAATTAAATCAAAATATATTTCATTCAAATAGACTTTTACACAACACTTATGAATCGTCAATTTTACATTTTAAAATTAAATATCAGTGTAGTCGGTCCGTGAGGAATCTACAACCGGCTCGGAAAGCAGTTCTGCTGAGGAGAACAGGCGAGAAACTCAACAGTTGCTCTTTTAAAATAATATTTGTTAACAATATCTTTTCATTAGTCGCAAAACTTCCTCTCATATATTTTTCATCTCACTCTGAACGGGAAAGCAAAAACTATATTATCTCTATTTATCAAGCAACGAGCGACAAGTTTTATATAGATTTGCTTTCTAAAGGCCGCTCGTTCATGGAAACTTATACATGTTTAGAAGTTTTATCACATGCATGCATACATACATACATACATACATACAAACATACATACATACATACATACATACTCATAGATATGATGTGATAGATTTTACAACTATATATGCAACTTCGCAACGTAGGCAAATAATAAATCATATCGTCATTTTTATTGTGCGATCGCTTAACTGCTAGGTAAATACTTAATGGGACGGGAATCAGGTCATATTCCACAACGCTAACGAATGCTCTACCTCTATTGCTACGTATTATAAAACATGATGAACCAACACACTCTCGCATTTCTAATATACAACAATAATATAATATATTATATATATGTAGCTAAGGATATATACAATAAGTAGTAAAAGTATCATCGTATGGAATTATTAATGAGATCAAATAAATTGGTTCATGGAAGACGTCGAGATGTTTTGACGGAAGAAGGAAAATGCCGAACGGAAAGCTTTAATTCGAGCTAACGTTTAAATAGTTATTTATAACATATTGACTAATGTCTCAGAGCAGACTGATTCGAGACGAGTTTAAAAGACCTAAGTACGTGGTGCGAATGTTGTAAGACTGTAGTGTGTTGGTAATTAGTTATTGAGTCACGTACCGAAGTAGTGTACACTGTCGGGTCAAACCAAATTTTATATTTCAATAGCATCTTTACATATTTGGATCGTTTAGCCGGATGCGTAGTTGCAAATAGTATGGCTTGTTTAAAGCAAAATCTATACATACCGATAATAAAATTGTAACTTAGCCGAATCTGTACATTAAATATTTTTTGGAATATCATATTGAAATAAACATTATTATCGATACAGAGGCTGATTCTATAGTTTTTAGATTTTTTGTTTGTTTGTCTGTCTGTCTATCTATCATCACAAGAAAAGGGGTTTTGATGAAATTTAGTATATTATATGAAATTTAGTATGGTATAGATAGCTGGTTATCCGGGTCAACATATAGGATACTTTTTACCGCAGGAAAATGTCTCATTTCTGAGAAAACATAAAAAACTGCAATGTACGAGTATACTAATATGTAAAACCTAAGAATTTGTTTTTTGGTCATCTGGACGCGGGCGGGGCCGCGGGCAATGCTAGTATATATATATAATTTACATTATTCTTCGACTCTTTGATATATTAGAGATAGGGTAGAAGTGATTTAGTAATGAGAAACTTCTTTTTCAATTAACACCTTCAGGTAAATTTCTAAGAAATTAATTAAATTTCTAAGAAATCTATTGTTAACTGTAACGCCGGCGTGTCCGCGGTCGTTGAGGGAATAATAATAAATTACTATTATGTGTATATTAACTGTATATGCCATCGGTCAAAACAGTTATCCCATGTGTCCCATCCCGTGTATCCCATCATAATCCCATGTAAAAGTTCTCTTAAAACTGTCACCAATTGTGTTTAGGTAATTATTCTAGTTAAAATAAATATACAAATATGTAAATTGAATCTTAAATGCAATGCTTCAAGTTGTTTTCTGAAGAAAAAAACATTAAAAGCGCGCTCAAATGTTCAAATGAGCGCTCATTCGATGAGGACAATTTTTGTCGCTGATTATGTATCTAGTAGTACTTTTTTTGGTCGATGGTATACGCGAAAGTTTATATGTGTAAGTTTGTTACTCCTTCACGATAAAACGGCTGGGCCTATTTAGATGAAATATAGTACATCACTATAGATTATATATATATATATATATATATATATATATATATATATATATATATATATATATAGTATACAATATAAATAAGCATTTTACTCGCTTTTGTAAAAGATAAAGCGTTTGGGAACCGCCTTAACTGATCCCATGCTGTATAGTGCATGAACAACGGTAAGCTTATCGTTAACTTATTCTAAGAACTCGTTTAATAGCTCGTATTTAGTTATTAACCGGAAGTGGTAGAACAGTGTAAAAACTAAAAAGTTATGCGTGATCAGAATATATATTCGGGCGAAAATGAAATACACTATTTTTTATCCCGGAAAATAAACATGTTTTCTACTGGATATAGAAATTGCTTAACTGATTCTAATAAAACTTTTACTGCTGAGCGATACAGGAGAAACTCGTATAATATATTTTTCTTTAATGTAATTCGTAACTAAAAAACTAATGTAATATTTCTCAATCAGGTGCAGCATGGTGGTCCATGGCGTCGCATCTCGCGGCCCAAGACTACCTCGCGAGGTTACAGGCTTCGGGGCTGAACTTCCCACCCCTGGGGGACCCCTACGCTGCTCTGTCCGCTTTGTCGGGGGCTAGCATGAAGCAACCACAAAAGCCCGTGAAACAGTCGAATAGGAGCGAGAGGTCAGTGTGGCATACATACTGATTTAAAATTACTTTATTATAAAACTTTCTTAAATTTATGCGAACATTTAACATTTTAAATAAAACCTATTTAACGGGTTTTTTTTTATTTTAAATTATTTCCAGGCTCTTCGAATGTTTTACAGCAATGCTGTAATTTTATTTAGAATGACGATATTACGTTTATTTTTGTTTAATTTCAATCATTTTTCTTATTAATTATATTTGAGTATTTTATTACTTGAATTGCTTTTAAAATTATAGCTATAATATGGATGTATTGAAGAGAGCTTTATTATTTGGTATACTGAAGTTTATTCTATTTAATATGTTTTTTTTTTCATAATGGCTTAGAGCTGCGTTAACAGACGGAATTCATTCTGCCAGTGTCACTTTATGTGTTTATAATAATCATTTAAATTATTAAAGGACAGTTGAAATTTTATTGGAAATATAAAACAAATAGAATTAAAGCAAATTTAATAAGAAAAAATATTTCTAAGAAAATAAAAAATCTAGTTTTTCGATCATAACGTCAATTAAACGTAGTCGTGCAAAGTAGATCCAACCACTAAAACTTACTTTTGAGAAAATAGGAGTTTTAGTAAAATTGGTCTATCAACGAGATCATAGTTTTTTTTTAATTCCTCTTAAATGAGTTGATATGTAGGTGCCATTTTCGACAGTAACTAAAATACCGGTTTTCGCATGCTTGATCCATTTTGCATAGCTACGTCCAATTATTAATATATATTATGAATTATATATTTATTAATCGATGATATATAATATAAATACAATTTTTCAGTAGATCAGGTCGAAGTAGCACATCGTCGAGTGTGTCGGCGAAGGAAAAGAGCCCTTCCACGAGCACGTCTAGTTCACAACCCAATATGGCGGATTGGGGTGAGTCTTCTTTTTAACACACTGTTATTATCTATTCAATTTATAGTGTTATTATATACTCTTGGCAGTGATAGCCCATTGGTAACGCGCTCGCTTTGGAAACCGAGTGAAGCGGGTTCAAATCCCGGGTCTCGCACCTCTGATATTTTCATGTGCTAATCATTTCTAACATGATTACCACTTGCCTTACGGTGAAGGAAAACATCGTGAGGAAACCTGCATGTCTGAGAAAACCTAGGAAGTTTTCGAAAGACATACTCAGTCCGCCCGAACTTGGTCAGCGTGGTGGACTGTGGCCTGATCCCCCTCGTATTGAAGGGAGGCCCACCCCCAGCAGTGGGACGTTAAAAAGGGCTGAATACATTAAATACTCTCATAGGTAACGCCATCTTATTAAAAAAATTATCACTAAGAGTATGTGTTAAATTTCATCAAAAAACTAGAACTTTGTGGGATCAATTTTTTACCTTTTGTTTAAATCTCATGATATGAGAAGTGAATAAGTAAAATAGTTTTTATCCCGGAAATCAGCCCTTAAGGGGGTGAGAATGGGGATGAAAGTTTGTATCGGGAATCATGGTAGGGACTAACCCGAGCGAAGCCAGAGTGAGTCGCTAGTTTTACATAAAGTCCTTGAATTAATTAATGCATATAAAGCCGTCTATTGACATTTATTTGAACTATTTTTTCTTTGTTCCTGATGAGCCCCCATGATTTAACACTATACGTAACAAAACATGACAGAGGCGTGACTTTTTGAACATTTTTGTTTTACCGTTTATGTTAACATTCCCATAATTTCCAGGATCACAATACGGCTTTCCCAAAACTTCGTCGCCCTCCACGATGCCCTCGCAGATGTCGAGTCTGGCCTCCCTCAACAACTTGGCACAACAGCCGCTGCACTCTAAACCTGGCAAACCACAGCAACCACCTAGTGAGTATAATTTATACTTTTATAGATTTTGACATTTTAAAACTATCTTATCATTTTGATTAGAATTTTGATTGCCGACATTTCGAATGCTTTATAGCAATCTAGGTTACGGGAGAGATATGTGTCTAGATCTAGTCGTGTATAGTCTCTCCCGTGACCGTGATTGCTGTAAAGCATTCTAAACGTCAGGAACCAAATAAATTCGTAAAAAAATCCGAGTATGTTTTATGCGTTTGAATTAATATAATTTTAACACTTATTTTTGTTTTATTATATTGTTGTATCATTCATTCATTCTCATTTCATTCATTCACTATATACCCTCATCTACATATTATGTAAATATTTGATGTTACACACAAAAGTTGTTATTAATTGGTATTTTTGTTTCTGAAACTTTAACTGGAATATTACGGTGAAGGAAAACATCGTGAGGAAACCTGCATGTCTGAGAGAATCTAGCAAGTTTTCAAAAGATATGGGAAGTCCGCCCGTACTTGTTCAGTGGTCAGGGACGATCACCCCCAGCAGTAGGACGTTATAAAGGGCTGAACACAATGGAAATATTAGTTACATGTACTAAATTTTAGATACTGGTGGACGATGGGTTCTCTTAATACACTTTCTTTTTAAATTCATTACATGAACTCTTCATTTTTATGAATTAACGAAAAATCTAACTTATTTACTACTTGTGCTTATTTAAGTTACTTAATTTATTATATAATGACTTTGTTTTTATAGGAAAAAACAGTTCCAGTAGCAAAGAGAAAGAGAGGGAGTTGATGCTCGCTCACGCACACTCCGCCTACCACGCAGCGTTACAAGCACATAAGGGGAAGGTAATTGATGAACTTACTCTATGATTTCACCATTCACAAGTTACAGTGACCTTTTGAAATAAACTTTCTGATTAAAAACTGCGGCTATTTTAATTGAAACTTTAATTTTTTTTTGCTTTTTTTGTTGTAATGGCTGATGGATTTCAATGAAATCTATACTAACCTCAAACTCGCAAACTTTAGCTCTTTATAATATGTTATAAAGAGATAAAGTTTGTGAGTTTAAGGTTGAAAGGGTTAATCTCTGGATCTACTGAACCAATTTAGATGAAATTTAGTAAGTTAACCCAGAAATCATCCCTTAAGGGGGTGAAAATGTGGATGACAGTTTGCACGTGGAAGCAACTTAGGGCCAAACCCGAACGAAGCGAGGGTGAGTCATTAGTTTTGTATATAGACAGACTGTGACCTGGAATTAGCATAGACTACCGTTAGGCACATACAATATGATATGAAATAAATCTATTCCATACTAAGCGTCAAAACGTATCTAGGGACGAACGAACCTGAGCGAAGCGTGGGTGAGTCGCTAGTATTTGATAAAACTAAATTAATTATTATGTACAATTTGTTGCAGAACATGTCTTCATTATACCCGTTTGCAGTCGGCTCGGAGAAGGACCGACGGAGCGGGATCGACTCGCTCACCGGATTGCCTCATACTATACTTAGGTATACTGATCTTTATGTTATTTATTATTCTGACTCCTATAACCAGGTAACTTATCATTTTTATATATTACATAAGTATATATTTATTGTATATTGTTGTTACTATGCGTGTGTTCTTTTTGTGAATTGTTTTTTTTTATATATATTTTTATAAATGATTTCAAAAATTGTTTTTACAAATGTATGTACATACACTTTTTACTTAGTTGGAATATATAAGTGAGTGAGCTGTGGTCTCCTATAAATGAATTAGCACATATATTGTAATTCATAATTTCTTTTCAACCTTTTCAAAGAGTCCTTTTTGAAGTCGGTTGAAAAATAATTTCTCAATTCGGCTGTTTTTTTTTGTTTGTTTTTTTTTTGTTTGTTAGAACTCTGTCAGTTATTAAGCGATTTGGACAATTTTTGTTTTGTTTGAAAGTGTACACTTTCAATTTGGTATCATTTAAATTTAAAAAAACAAATATACCCCCTCTAAAGGTGGAAAAATAGCTATAATTTAATTTTGTTTCATTTGACAAACCCAAAACGCAAGAATTAGATTTTAGTGCCAGATTTTTAGTGTTAACAATAAAAGCGAATTTTATATATTTTGTCATATAAAAATTGGCATCAAACTAACTTAAACGGCTTATGCGATTGTTTATTAAAATCCTTTCTTTTTACTTTGCTACTGCTGTATCTACTTTATAACAGCTGCGAATGTGTGTCTCCGACTGTTTAATACTATGTATCATTCCTTCGTTAACTTGTTCTATTCTTTTTAGTTCAATTTTATGCAGTTGGTTTTTTTTTTACTTAGTTATAATACATAAGTGAGCAAGCTGTGGTCTCTTATAAATGCAGAAGCACACTATTTTTTTTACTTATTATATTTTTTTTTGTGTAAATTGTGCATTTTGTTGGTCGTTAACCAAATAAAATAAAACTATATATTTACTATATTTTGCTACTAATATTATTATTGATTAGTGCGACAAATGCTTTGCGAATTTGTGTTTAAGCATGAATGTTTGTACGTTTGTTTTACTTATAAACATTTTTTTATACAAAATTTTGGAATTTCAATCTTGACAAAAATGGAAGTGCAGTAATTATAAATATAACTCATCCTAAAATAAAAAAGTAGTTTATAATATCGTTAAATATTAAATTAATTACCAAAATGAGAATTCTATGTTTTAAATAGAATTTCATACAACTATTATTATATTTAATTAAATTTTCTCTGTCAGTGCTGCATTGGAGGGCGGGTAAGTTATAAATAGTTATAAAAACATTATTACTGTAATTCAAGTTTTAATAATAAAATAAAAACACAAATACAACTATTTATAGGGTTCCATATCTTAAAAGAAAAAAAAGGAACACTGTGTTGTTCGTCTGTCTGTCAAGGAGCTTTTTCTGAGGAACGCGTCTAGGTATCAAGTCAAAATTAATATTAAGTACTCAGGTCTGTAATGCCTTGGAGTTGTAAAAAAATTAAAGTTCTAAGTCAAAGCAGTCAAAAGTTACGGCCGTTTACGTTTGCATGTTTTGACACTCGCAATGCGTCTTGATCAAACCATATCGTCTGCTATCTATCCCGAATCGTGAAATTTGGCAAGAAGCAATGTCATGCACAAGAAACTTTTTTTTTGCGATTAAAAACTTATTTTATTATAAGACCTTCTTAAATTTACGCGAATATTTCACACATTTTAAATAAAACAATCATTTCGGATTTTTTTGGGGATTTATTTTGATTTGTGACCATGATTGTTGTAAACCATGAAGGAAGTGGTTAATTCGTTCATGTTGTAAACCATTCGAAACGTCGGTAATCAAAAATCCGCCACAAAATCCGATAAGATAGTTTTATTTATTTTATTTTTTATGCTACGGAAACCTCTTCTTGTGCGAGACAAACTCGCACTTGTCCCATTCTTTCGAATATTCTCGCTTTTCGCTCTTGCGATTTTTTTTCCAACGTATCAAAAGATATGACGTCTCAGAAGTCATAGTTCTGTGACTTTGCAGACGTCAAATCCTTAGTTTCCTTTGAACAGAGAAGTTCAGGCAGAGAAGATCAAGCCCTACCAGCCCTAAGAAATACCCTTTTCGTCACTCTTGTCAATCAGCCGACATATTTATGTTAGCACTGTTATTTTAATTATATTTTTTTTACTGAAATCTATACATATAATAAAATTCTGAGTAAAATTTGTACATTAAATATTTTTTGGTAAATCTTATTAAAACAGATAAAAACTTTTGATTTTTTGTCTGTCTGTCTCGGAACGCATCAAGAGATAACCACTGGACAGATTTTGATGAAATTTGTTATGACGATAGCTAGTTATCCGGGTCAACATATAGGATACATTTTACTGCGAAAAAATATCTCATCTCTGAAAAATCTATACCAAACTGCAAAACGTAACTAGGGACGAACCCGAGCGGAGCGAGGGTGAGTCGCTAGTTAAGTATAATATGATTAAATTATTTTTTTTTACCTTACAGTGACCCTTCGTCAGTACTGGGAGGAGTGAGGTTGCCTCCTGACACAGAGATTATCAAATATACGTCCTCATTAGCTGGACCTAAGGTATTATAACTTAGAATATAATAAAAATATCAGTTTGTACTATTATTATATTTGTATACTAAGCTCACTGAAAGGATTTTTACTGTTTAATACAGGATTCTATATAGTATTCTAGTAGTATTAATTAAAATACGAAAGTTCGTTTGTTGATTTGTCTTTTTTTCACATACCTTTTTATGTAGTGAATTAATGTCTTTTGTTTTCGGAGAGCGAGACAGATAGATATTTAAGGTATATGAAATAGTGAAATAATCTAATATTTGTCTCACAAATGGTTGTCGGACAACTGGTTTTTGGACAACACTGGCATTGTTGTTGATGTTTAGTTTCGATTAGAAATAGATTTCTTGTGTTGTTTCTTGTATATTCGTTACTTAATAACTACGGCAATATAAGCAAAGAAACGTTCAGGAAGAAAAAGTCACAAAAGTTGGACTTAATCAGTTTTTTAAGTGAAACTTCTTTAGAGTCGTTGTAATTTGAAACTCGATGAAACGGAAATGCGACACGAGAAAGAAACAACACATAAATATATAGGATTAAGCCGGCGAGAGAATGAGATAGAATACATTACACAGGAAGTTAAAAATTATAAAACTTAATTTTTTTGTAATTTAATAACTGTGTTAACATGTAGAGGAAGTGTAGTGTATCGATCCTAATAAAATTATTCCTAACGATCCCAATCATTTTTTAGGCCCATCAAGATAAATCATGGGCCCCTCATATTTATTGCATAATGAATGTGAAGAGTTTAGCCGATTAGAAGAATCCCTTCATATGCCGCATGCTGTACCGAAGATTTAAACGGGACCAAGCTATCACATTTAAGACTGCTGTTTTTGTCCTACTGACATAAATACTATAAATTTTAAGAAAAAAAACGTGTGTGTGTGTACTTATGTACGCACGTAAGAAGTTATACTTCTTAGGCGTAACATAACAAAAATAGCTGAAGATTTTACCCCGTATGTCACAACTCTCTGTTAGTAAAAGGAATGCAGCTAACTTCATCATCTCTTTTACTAAATGAATTGTTTGTTTGTTTATAGAAACTTTATTGTTGTGTATTTACTATTATTATTGTTATTTTTTGTTATGTATAAATAAAATAAAAATGAAATAAAAACCACAGTTATTTACCCTGATTTACCTCCATCTATAAGACCAGTCCCTCATAGTTAAAATTTGTATGTATACCAGTTACATCTGCTTGTGCAAAGATTGAAAATTCACAACCTTCCACTTCAAGCTAATGTGTACTCATCAACACATGGACGAAGAAAAAATCCCCATAACAAGCGACGCAAAGATAAAAGAGGGTATTTTTCTAGAACGTCTAACCAAGAAGTTAGTATAATATGAAAAAAAATTGTGCGATTTAGAAAAGTTCGCATGGAAATCTTTGAAGAATGTTACTACAATTTTTTTTGTTAACCATAAAAATAAGCTACAAAGATTTGGTTAGCTCGCTATTGTTGGATTTTTTTATGGTATTCAGTGACAAACGAGCCGACATCCCATTTGATGGAAAGCGGTACCTGTCGCCCATAACACCTACGGTTCATGCACTTAAGTTTTATGTTACAAAACTGCAAAAGCGCATGTGCGTTGTCACTGTGAGGACTAAGATGATATGCCTCTTGCCTGTAATTGCGCTGGCTACCTTATCTTTCAAACCGGAACACAACAATGCAATCATTGTTGCTTGGCGGGAGAAATAGATAAGGAAGTGGTACCCATCCAGTCAGACTCCTCAGGCTCACAGAGTCCTACCACCGGTATATTGACTTAGCAAGCATTGGGTTGCAACATATTATTTTAATAAATAAATATTTTGGGACATTAACACACAGCACCATCTAGTTCCATGATAAGCTACGAGGTCTGTGTTATGGATACCAGATAGTTGATACACTACACATATATAACTTTAAATACGTACATATTATAAATATAAACACCCATGATTGGAGTACAAATATTCGTGCTCATCAAAAATTTGAATACCACGAGCGGGACTCGATCCCGCGACCGCTGGCACAGAAAGTACGGTCACTACAAACTGGGCCAAACGTGTCGTCAAACTAAGACTTGAGAATTTGGGAGCTGTAAACGATGAGCAAGATAAACAAGTCCATCAAGGCATTTCAAAAGTGGAAAAACGTCACTAAGGCAAAGGACGTTGGCAAATTACTGCTGGACTATCAAAAGGGTCCAAGTTCAACCAGAAGCTAAATATGCAAGAACCTAACTTATACACAATAAAACCCTTTACATTTAGGTCTATGATTTTTGAATTATCTTGAGTTAGAGAATAAAATTATTGGCCGACAGGTTTTTTTATTGTTTGTTTTTCATGACAACCACCAATTAAAGTAAAAGATATCAAAAAAGTCCGTGTGGCACGACAATTTTTTTTTTATAATGTAAATTCATAAGTAGTACATTTTTAACAGTTGACCCCTGGATTTTATCATTAGTATGTATGGAGTAAATATAAATATATATAGGTTATCTTATTATAGATATTAGTAAAAGTATAGAATTTACTTCTACATATAGCTTATATGTTTATGTAAATTGTTTATTTTAACTATAAATGTTCGTGTAAATGACGAGTATTGACATTAAAATAAAGCAGGGTTCGCGATCGGTTTCAAAAACAGTTAATTTCGCTAATGTAAAGGTTAATTTAGTTCATTAACCGGTTAATAAAAACGAACGGTTTCTTAAATCGAAATAATGTTTAATAGTTAAAACAAAGGTTATTCTTAGAGAAAGGTTACACTTAGATTAGGTTTTGATACCGAAATAAACCGGTCAATTCCTTCATAAGTAAGAAACGTTCATGTTTCCTTCTACTAATCAAATCACCATTAGCAGAGATTCGCCTAATGTAAACGCACAAAAACTCATTTTAACCGGTTAATTTCGATCATGGAACCTTAATTCAACAAAAAACCGGGTTTTAACCGGTTAAAGAACGTAACCGAAGCCTTTCGGTTTGTGGTCAATGACCAAAATTGATTTCAAATTGACCGTGTTTCCGAGCTCTGGTATAAGGAAGTACAAAGCATGTCCCCGCAGGCGGCGCCGGGCTCCACTACGCGCGGTCGCAAGAAGACCATCTCGCTGGACCCGCCGCACGTGTCCGTGCACCCTGCCACGCACTCCGCCACACACTCCGCTGCGCCGTTGCCCAAGCGCCAGAAAGTGGTGAGCATATACTATAAACATATATAGATACATATTATAGACTGGTTAAAAAAAATTGACTGTAATTTTTTTTTAAATAGATTCAGGTAAGTGAGAAAAGATGCCTGAAGAAACCGGTACTCTTAATATTAATATTTAAAGGTGAGGAGAATGTTTTAAACGTTTCCCTCTCCCATGAGTCATACATTTCGATTGTTTAACTATTGTGTCTATTTCGCGGACTGTTAATCTGTTAATGAAGTTTTTGGCAGGGATTTACAATAAGTAGGATTTCCAAGAACAAAATTATAATATTTAATGATAATTTAAATCATTTTACCGGAAATTGGAAATTTAATTATAACATAAATATTAAACGATTTAGCTCAGTTTGTAGTGATCCTACTTATTGTACCAGTGGTCGCGGGTTCGAGTCCCGTTAGGGGCATTCATTTGTGTGATGAGCTTGAATATTTGTACTCCAGTCATGTGAGTTTATATTTATAATATGTATGTATTTAAAGTTATGTATATGTTGTGTATCAACTATCTGGTATCCATAACACAAGCCTCGTAGCTTACCATGGAACTAGATGCTGCTGTGTGTTAATGTCCCAACAACAACATTTACTTTCAGTTTGAATAGATTTTGAACAAGTAGGTTTATCGTAAAATGATAAATGACGTTTTTGTAGAGCGTCTAACGACATACAAGAAAATGTTTTGTTCATTCGAATTCATCTATTTGTTTTTGAGATATAAAATTTTGAGATTGAAAACTAATTTTTGCCATACTATCCCTTTGGAAAATGGAATTTTGCGATACGTGACCTCCAAATATTAATATTAAGAATTCAGGTTTCTACAGGCATCTTTTCGCACTTTCCTGAATCTATTTCGGAGGGGATTTCGAAATAAATAATTATAGTCGGTTTTTTGAATCAGTCCTAACTAAACCACTGAGGCAGTAACAGCCCGGAGTTGCGAAGTTGGCGGTGTTTAACCCAGTGCCTCGGACAGCACGTGCTGCGTCGGTCTTGCACCTTCCGGCCCAATCAACTAAAAAATATTTATTACTTTTAATTTAAACGATTAACAGATTTTTTCGTTAACTTTGACAAGACTTGAATTATACAGGTACAATAGGTACGTCCCTAGTTCCGCTATAACCTGTCAAAGTTGTCATATAAAATACTCTGTTCAACGGTTCTTTTGATGTTTGTGTTGGAGTATAAATACGTACAGTGGTAGTCGAGTGGTAACGCGCTCGCTTGGGTATCCAAGTGAATTGGGGGTTCAATGTCCTTCCCAGTTAAACTTTTTTCATACTAAATTTCATCTAAATCAGTTTAGTGGATTTTTAGTTGATCCATTACAAAAAAAAAAATACATTTTTTGTTCTCTTTTAATTATTTGTTAATAATAATAATGGCATGGATATGATGTTATATTATGATCGCATCTCTTCTAGGATGAGTTCGGCAACTCGCGTTCGTCGGTGGAAGTGATCCGTCTGCCCAACAAACCCGACAGAACCACCAATTCCGTCTCCGGCACGCCTCCACCCAACTTGTCTGATTACGCAGGTACATAAATTATTAGTATTTTAGCGATGTTATTTATCCCCTAGTTAAGTAGGACGGGGATGAAGCGTAGCCTTTTTTTGTACCCACGGTGCAGTCTATGTTCTTGCTAAATTTTATCGAAATCTGCTTAGTAAAATCGGACGTATAAAATTAATTAAAATTACCCCAATAAAAAAAACGGGTGTGTACTTATGTACGTACGTAAGAAGAACAAAAATAGCTAAAGATTTCATCCTGTACATCACAACTCTCTGTTTGTAAAAGGAATGCAGCTAACTTCATCATGTCGCTTTTTGGCTGTCGGTGTACGCGCGCATCGTAAAAATTTTACTCACATATTTTTTTTCAAACGTGCCAAAAGAAGTATAACTTCAAAAATAATTTGTTGGTTTGGTTTGGCATGCCAAAATGTTTTATTCAACTTACCAGTAATTCACGTATATAGTAAATACTTTAAAAAAACCTCGTATATCACCATTTTTAACAACAATATATTTCGATAACTTATTATAATGTTAAATGTATGTAATATATTTATATTTGTAGGTATATCCCGAGAGCTATTGCAAACTATAGCCAGTCAAAGTGGAGTGAGTTTAGCGGCTTTGGAAAGGCAGCTAGCTGGCTCCGGAGCTACAAGCGCAGGTAATATAATTATAGTATCCATACTTCCATACTAATATTATAAATGTGAAAGTGTGTTTGTTTGATTGTTTGTTTGTTTGTCTTTCTTTTATGTCGAAACGGAGTGAGAGATTGGCGTGTTTTTTGTGTGGAGATAGTTGGAAGGCTACTTTTTACCGCGAGAGATTATCTAATTCCCACGGGAAAATACGTTATACAATCCAAAAAATATTTATGATCAGAATTACTTGAAACTTGATATTAATGCTCTTTAATGAAATTAAACAAATACGTGTTTTAGCAGTTTTCGAAGTTCATCCTATAATGGAGTAAAATAGGGGATGAAAGCTTGTATGAAACCACTTTTTAGATTTTTTTTGTAGTTTTAGCGCGATTTATCTATAGTAGTGATCGCCACTTGATCGAAAATCGACTTTAATTCATTAAGTTTGGACGTTATTCAGGTTATTTTGTCTAAGTTACAAGGTAGCCTGTAACAAACAAACTCGTTAGCTTTATGGACCTGTAGCTAGCGGCCGACCAGCAGCCACCTGACGAATTAAACAAAGGGCCGCAACGGTAGCGCGGCGTCGAAAACATATTATGTTAATATATATATATATATATATATATATATATATATATGTCGTGTTATCCATATACTACGAACATCATCTTTAGTGGTTACTCATCTTGTGGGCGTTATCAGGGCTCAAATAATAAAGTATTCAGTGCTCAATACACAATTTAATCAGGGAAGTCACAATGTTATAAACTTGAAACGGTAATTCTAATGATTTAGAGCTAGCGGGTTCACAGTCACCGATCATCGACTTCCAACTACAAGATCAAATATAACTCTCTATGATCAACCAACGTTACTAAGCCACGTATCTCCAAAGAATGTCGTGATGGCGTCTCGACCCCGCTCGAGACTAAATCTCTGTTCTAAATTCAAAATCTATTTGGAAGCAATAAAAAGTAAATTAAAGAACATAGTGACTTTAAACAATAATAAGGTTTCATAACAGAAAAAGGTAACTAAATCCTCCTCCGTCTTATATATATATATATATATATATATATATATATTATGCGACATATGCAATTAAATATTAATTTTTAATACAATAATAGGAATGTATAGTGTTTTATGTAATTTATTACCCATTTTTAATTTAAATAATATTCGTGTGCGTTCTTATCGTAAAAGGTCATTTAAGCCAAGAAAAACTAGAATAGAAAGCATACTTGAGTCTTGCCAATTTTTTGTACTGACGCTTCTAATGTATATTTATTCAAAACTAAACGAATTTTGTAGAATCAACAGTACAAGTGTCGTAAAAAATGTATTGTTGCCATTGAGCGCGTAATTATAAAACCAACATTAAAAGCCATAAAAACTATAGAAGGCAAACTTGTTGGGAGCTTGTTGATTTTTTATATATTACTATACTTATATATGCTAACTTAAAACCGTTTGAATTAGACAGGATCAAGCTATAGTGTATTTTTAAAATTAAATACGAGTATGTATTGCCTTTTAGTGCGTACTCATGCTAACATTCAAACGTATGAAAATACGAGGAAGCAAACTCAGATCATGTTGAAATTTATACTAAATATTCTTGTTATATTAAGCTACTCAAAACTGTTTAAATCCCATAGAATCAAAACAGAATAATTGAAAAAAAATTTTTTATTATTCTCATATTCACCCATACTAGTTTCTATGAAAAACTTAGAAGTTCGGAAAGACTATAGAAAGCAAACTGGAAGCTCGTTGATATCTTTTACATATTATTATACTTATATATATATAGGTTTATTTTTAAAGTGAAACTTCTTTAGAATCGTTGTGATTTGAAACTCGATGAAACGGAAATGTGACACTAAAAAGAGACGAACACATAAATATATAGGATTAAGCCGGCTAATTATTATACAATTATATATATTTATACATATATATATATATATATATATATATATATATATATATATATATATATATATATATATGATCGCCAGGCGATGCAAAGCAAATCTAATATAAAACACATATTTACCTATTAGACATTCATATCTTAAAATATTGTCGGCTGGCACCGACTTCGAAAAGATCTGATTAGGTATCTATTCTAAATGAAAACCTCCGTTTAGTTATTTTTTTACATTTTAGTGCCTGGAAGTCGGTTTTTTTTTAAGTTTTTATTTGTCCATTTTTAGTGTAGACGTAATAAGCAGGTAATTTGTTAGAAGAAAGTTTTTTAATTACATGTTCGATTAAGCAATTTATTTTAAAAAATAATTTATTTGTTGATTAAAAAAAACCGCTTGACCGATTTCCATAAAATTTATATGCGACCACCTGGGAAGTATAAACTTTGAAACTAAACAAAAAATTTCCAAATCGGTTCAGGCGTCTTCGAGTAATCGGTGAACATACATAAAAAAAAAGATTCCGATGAATTGAGACCTCCTCCCATTTGTAAGTCGGTTAAAAATCAACAAGCTCCCAGTTTGCTTTCTATAGTTTTTATGGCTTTTAATGTTGTTTTTACAATTACGCGCGCAATGGCAGCAATACATTTTTTACGACACTTCCACTGTTTGATTCTGCGAATTTCGTTTACTTTTGAATAAATATACAATATATAAGCTTCAGTAAAAAAAAAGTCAACCATGCTTTCTAGTTTTTTTTATTTAAATGACCTTTTACGATAAGAACGGGCACGAACATTATATATTATATCGATAAATTATATAAAACACTATACATCCCTATTATTGTATTAAAAATTATTAAAAATTAATATTTAATTGCATATGTCGCGTATTTATTCTATTAACATAATATGTTTTCGACGCCGCGCTACCGTTGCGGCCCTTTGTTTAATTCGTCAGGTGGCTGCTGGTCGGCCGCTAGCTTCAGGTCGATAAAGCTTTATATATTAATATAAAATGGGTGAACTTTATAGACAAATAAAGCAAATCGATAAATCTCAGATTTCTGCCTTCTCCATACAAATTTTAACTATTCCATAGCTCATATTCCTCCGTGTTCTTAATGTGCTTAAAAAGGGATACTAAGTTTTTACTTGAATTTTATATTATTTTATTAGTTTCTTTATTGATTAATTTGAATTTAAATTGAAAAAAGTGTAACCAAAAGAACGTATATAAAACATTTCAATTTCCATTATTCTAGATTCAGGTCTAAACCTAAGCACTAAGTCTGGCAGCCCCGAAGAGACTCCGCTCGACCTAGGTCTCAAAACTGAAGACGATGCGCCGCTAAATCTATCACTTAAGCCTGCGCCGCGTAAGTATTATTTTTACCTACTTTGAAAAAGCAGGAGATGTTTGAGTGTTTTTTAGTGTGTCGGTTGGAGGTGATAGAATAATTACAAGTACCATGGGGGTCTCATCGGGAACAAAGAAAAATTAGTTTAAATAAATGTCAGTAGATGGCACTATATGTATCGGTTTTTCATTGTTAGTATATTATTAACAAAAGATAAAAAATATATTCCAGAAAGGTCGTATTGTGGTTTTAAAAAAATGTATAAGTAGACGAAAATGAAATATTGCGTTCGTGAATCAAATTCGCCTAATTTTACTAAGTATTATTGGAAGATCTGCAATTACGTAATAAGTTTGTAGTGTATATTCATAGATTATATATTATTAGTGATTTTACTCTTTATGATTATTTAATCCTGTTAATTTATTTAATTAAATTCAAGAAAATTTTTACAATATTTATGATATTTTAGTTTACACATATGATTAAAATAAAACAATTTGAAAGTTGGTGGATCAACAACTATTAAGTAAACAAAAATAGTTCGAATTAGCGCTGTTCAATTTATTTGTTTGTTTGGAATGGAGCATTTGTACTATAGTAGGTTGACAATAATATTATGTAATTTTGAAGCACTTTAAAAAGAGTTACAGATCAAAAATCTAATACTTTTACAAATTCTGAGTTTTTAAAGTTTTTTTCTACTATTTACTTGTTTTGATCCTTTCGTACCCAAAGGGTAAAACGGCACCCTATTGCCAAGACTCCGCTGTCCGTCCGTCTGTCTGTCCGTCTGTCACCAGGTTGTATCTAATGAACCATAATAGTTGACAGTTGAAATTTCACAGGTGATGTATGTATTTCTGTTTCCGCTATAATAACAAGTACTAAAAAACCGAATAAAATTAATATGTAAAGGGGCTCCCATTCGACAAGCGTGATTTTTTTGCTCGTTTTTGCTCGATATTGATAACGGCAACAGGTAGACGCTTGAAATATTCACATAATATTCAGTTACATATTCACTTTAAAAATAAATAATTAAATTAAAATAAAACAAATATTTAAGGCGGGCTTCCATACAACATGATTTCTTTTGCCGTTTTTCTATATAATACTACGGAGTCCGACTTGCACTTGGCCAGTTTTATTATATAAATGTGTTTGTTACAGCGAGCTCGCAAGCATCGGACGCACTCTCACGTCTGACGTCACTGAGCAGTTCGCTCAGCGTTTCTAATGATAGAATATGTAAGTATGCTTTTTGTTTTTTTATTAACATTTTTTTAAGTTTTACTATTAAGTACGTTTTAATTTTTTTGAGCGGAACCCTAATTCTTTTTCTAAAATAAAAGTATCCTATGCTACTATGCTACTATGCCCTATATCTTCCAGTGAAAGTCCCGTTAAAATCAATCCAGCCGTTCCAGAGATTATCCGGAACAAACAGACAGACAAACAAAATTAAAAAAATGTGTTTTTCTTATAAGTACCGTATATTATTTCATATACATTGAGTTAAACGCTGTTATTTTGACATTACAAACAGACACTTTAATTTTATTTATCTGTATTCTGCATAGATGAATATCTATTTGAAAAATATGATTAGGTATGAACTCTAAATTATAGTTAAAATATTACAGGTACATCAATTTGTGATGTATTTTACGTATCGAAATATATTAGATTTGCTTTGCATCGGCTGGCACCGTCTTCTAAATGAAAACCCTCGTTTAGTTATATTTTACATTTTAGTGCCTGGAAGTCGTTTTTTTTAAGTTTTTATTAGCCTTGACGTTTACTATGGCGGGCTCCGTCTATATGATTTCTTTAGTTTGAATAGTTATATTAAAGCTTTACAAAACTTGCAGCACGGCGCAAGCCCGGCGCGAAGCCGCGGCGAGTGGCGCCCGAGCTCAACTCTCAAGTGGCGGACTCGCCGCGACCCAAGTCTAGTGGCAGTGAAGATAGTGAATGTGAGTTGATATATATATATATATATATATATATATATATTTAAAGTGAAACTTCTTTAGAATCTTTGTGATTTGAAACTCGATGAAACGGATATGTGACACTAAAACTAAAAAAAAAAGACAAACACATAAATATATAGGATTAGGCCGGCGAGAGAATGAGATAGAATACATTGCCTCGTTGTCATGGTAACCGTTGATATTGTCTGACAAATATATAAACTGTTCCATTTTTAAACAGGTTTTGTCATTGACACAACCTCGGCTTTTAGTTAAAAGGTTTGGTTATGATTTAACCAGTTAAACCCAGGAGAAAGGTTTCTGAAGAATTTTATTTTAAACCGGTTTCAAGTAATCAGGATTAGTAATGTAATAAAGATTTTAATATAATAAATAAATTTTGACTAATGATTTTGTATACATAATATTATCTGTACTATCTATACTAGTATTATAAAGAGGAGAGATTTGTATTTTTGTATGTTTGTAATGAATAAACTCAACAACTACTGGACCGATTTAGATTTAGAAATTTGGTAAGTAGATAGTTTGAGACCCTGGGAAGGACAAATGATACTTTTTATCCCGGAAATCTTCCTTAGGGGAGTGAAAATGGGGATTAAAGTTCGTATGGGGAACTTACCTATTTATTACGCTATTATATATTATATTACGCTAGTAATATAATAAATTTAATATTACGGCTATGAAAAATGTTGACAAAAGGAATTGTATATTATTTAAAATAAAATATTTTAATATCAATAGTGGGCTTTAGAAGCCCAGAATTCTAACGTTACGTTGGTTTTGATACGGTTGTTGGTTTAAAAGAAACTATAATAATGAAGTACATTTGACGACACGTTTGGCTCAGTTTGTTGCTCTACTTGCTGTGCCAGCGGTCGCGGGTTCGGGTCCCGCTGGGGGTATTCATTTGTGTGATGAGCACTCTGTAGCAAGCAGTGATGAGCAGTTTGTACTCCAGTCATGGATGTTTATATTTATAACATGTGTGTATTTAAAGTTATATATGTGCAGTGTATAAACTATCTGGTATACACAACACAAGTCTCGTAGCTTACCATGGAACTAGATGGCGGTGTGTTAATGTCCCAACATATTTATTATTTATTACATTGTGTATGTGACAGCGGTATCAACGTGGCCCGCGCGCGAGGGCCGCCCGCGCAACCTGGGCAGGGGAGTGTCCAAGCCCAAGAAGAACACGGTGGCCTCGCTGCTCGCGCAGAGCCGTGCGCTCGGCCTCAGGCCCGCGCTCGCACACCACCTGCTCGCCGAGACTGATCTGGTGAGTGTACACATACATACACATATGTATGTATGTGTATGTATTCAACCCTTTTTAACATTCTCACTGCTGAACACGAGCCTCCACGCCACCACCACGCTGGCCAAGTGCGGGCGGACTGAGCATGCATTTCGAAAATTTGCTAAGTTCACTCAAACATGCAGGTTTCTTCACGATGTTTTCTTTCATCGTAAGGCAAGTGGTGATCATGTTAGAAATGATTCGCACATGAAAATATCAGAGGTGCGAAACCCGGTATTAGAACCCGTTTCGCTCGGTTTCCATTGTCCCGGTTAGCATTGGGCTACCGCTTTCTTTATATCAATTTTTATACCCTTTACAGCAGTCACATATATGTGAAATAATATTTGATGAGTATGGGACGTATGATTTCATTTTAAGCATGGAATGGACTGAAAGATGAATAAAAGAAAAGAAGAATGTTTTTCATAATGAACTCAATATGTATGTAAGTCTATATATATATATATATATATATATATATATATATATATGTGTGTGTGTGTGTGTGTATTCATAATACTCGTAATGATTTCAACACGACGATACGCGTGAACATTGTTATCTGTAATTTTAAATATAATAAATAGTTGGTGAGCTGTCAAGTGCTTTTATTTGCATTCTCTGGTCCTACATACATACATATATGTACGTTACGTATAAACATTTAGATTTTACTTGTAAAACACATTAAATTTGGAGTTTCGGTTATTTAAATATTAAAAAAACAATGTACAGAATAAATATATAAGTGAAGTTAATGTACAGATTATTATTAATCGCACATAAACGTGACAGTTTTTATGTGTGTATGTTCGTTTGTTGTTCACGCTGAGACGATTGGACAGATTTCGATGAAATCAATACACAAATAAAATAACAATATTCAATAAATATATCTTTTCGGATGGGTACTTGGATTTATTTTGGTTTTTGGTTCCCGACGTTTCGAATGCTTTACAGCAATCATGGTTACGGGAGAGACTAAGGTTTTGAACATCTCAAAGGTATTATATACTTCTTACAGACAGTGCCTACCCACAATTTTACATAATAATTTCAAAAATTCAAAAATGCCACCAAAATACCTTACAATGGTTGTTGATTTTAATTCTAAACATTTTTTTTATATTAAGTATTATAATTAAATACGGCAACATTATTTATTTACCAAAAATCAAAATAAATCCGCGAAATAATTCGAAAAGATATAGTTTTATTTAAAACTAGCGACTTACCCTGGCTTCGCTCAGGTTCGTCCTAGCACGTTTTGACGCTTAGTATGGAATAGATTTTTTTTTTTCGTGAATTTTTCCGATGTTTTAATAGTTATTCTGCTATTCGGGGTGAAGACAAATCTAACAAAACAAATATCATAAAAATCGGTCCAGCAGTTCTCGAGTTATAAGTGTTGTAACAAACCTGACTTTGTTTTATATATACAGTAAATCTAAGAAAGTATTATAAAAATTTATACTAATATTATAAAGAGATAAAGTATGTGAGTTAGTGACGTTGTAGGGGGTAATCTCTGGTTCTATTGAACCGATTTAGGTGAAATTTGGTAAGAAGATAGTTTGAGACCCTGGGGAGGACATAGGATAATTTTTATTCCGGAAATCATCCCTTAAGGCGGTGAAAATGAGGATGAAAGTTTGTATGGGGAATCAAGCTGTCAAATATTCGCGTAAATGTAACAGTATTATAATGATATTATTTTGATAACAGGATAAACTACGTGCCCTCCTCGGTGAGACGGCCAGCACGGACTCCGAGTGCCCCTCCGACAGCAACCCCTCGGACTCGGACGCCAGCGACGGCGGGCGCAGGCACAACGACTCGCAGCTACGACTGCCGCTCGCTTTGGGTAACATTTATTAGATATTAAGTTACATTATATTATGTAAAGATAATTTGAATTTAAAATTTGATCATTTAATTATTGTATTTTATATCTAATAATAGCTAGACAAACAAAAACAAATCTATCCCACGGGAACGTTACATTTTTCCGGGATAAGAAGCCTTTTTGTTTTTCTGATGTATTAAATATATTATTGTAAAATTTTATTAAAATCCAATCAGTAGTTTTTGTGTACTAAACTGTATAATTTATTATAGTTTTTTAATAATCCCACGAGAAATCCTCAATTTTCCGAGATGAAAAGTATTTAAAATGTTGACCGGGGATATAAGGTACCACCATGCAAAAATTTATTTAAATCGGTCCAACAGTTTCGAAGATTAGCCGTACAAACAGACAAACAGACAGAGAAACCAAATAAAAAACATCTGGATTTGTTCTATTTCTCTTTTTACATCTCCCTGACTCGGTTTTTAGCAAATTTTTTTCTATGTACAGACATTCGACCTCTACAGTTTTATTATATGTATAGATAATTTGAATAGAGAAAACAAATCTATAGAAACTGGGGCCTGGTATTTACAGGGTTCAAAATTAGCTACAAATGAATACATTTACAAATTATTCTAGAGCTCAATTTTCAGGGGTTCTAGCAATGGCCAAGTTCGTTAAATCGGGTGTTGAATATGCAATGTTTATGTTATATTTTACATCACATTTTGAGAAATCATTTACATTACGTAAATCCATACTGCTATACTAATATTATAAATGTGAAAGTGTGTTTGTTTGTTCGTCTTTCTTTCACGTCGAAAAGGCTTAGCGGATTGGAGTGATTTTTTGTGTGGAGATAGTTGGAGGGCTGGAAAGTGACATAGGCTACTTTTTACCGCGGCAGATTATCTCTTTCCCACGATAAAACACGTTATAATACAATTCAAAAAAATATATTTATGATCAGAATTACTTGAAACTTGGTATTAATGCTCTTCAATACAATTAATTAAATTCGTATTTTAGCATTTTTTTCATTTCATTTCATTCATTCATTTTTTCGAAATTCATCTCATAAGGGGGTAAAATATCGGATGAAAGTTTGTATGAACCTACCTTTTTAGAACTTTTTTGTAGTTTTAGCGCGAGCGTAGCCACGGGTTCGTATATTAACGTTCGTATAGTAACGTTATATAAACGTTCTTTCTTACGCGCCTACAATACTTCGACGTGCATTTTTTAGTTTTATTGAACTAATTAGACAGCGCGCGTCTTGTATGTCTAACGAGTGTAATATGTATTAGTATCCTCATAAGATTACATGTATCCAATTGATTATTGTCTGTATTGTCTTCAATTTCCTTCTTCTATTTTTTGTATCTATAGTTTGAGCGTAAACACACGTACACCCTAAAAAATGCCCCCCAGCGGGACTCGAACCAGCGACCGCTGGCCAGCAAGTACTACAAACCGAGCCAAACGTGTCGTCAAATATTTTCGTATTCGTAAAATATTTTTGAAGTGAAACTTTTTTAGAATCGTTGTGATTTGAAACTCAATGAAACGGAAATGCGACACGAGAAAGAGATAAACACATAAATATATAGGATAAAGCCGGCAAGAGAATGAGATAGAATAGTGTACTCGATATTATGACTAATTGTTACCATGGTAACCTTTGTTATTGTCTGACAAATGATATATAGTATTATATTCTTGCCTATTATAAGAAATATATCGATTTTATAGAAATAAACTAGCATTGCCTGTGGCTCCGCCCGCTTTCAGATGACCAAAAACCAAATTCTTAGGTTTTACATATTAGTATACTCTTACATTGCAGTTTTTGTATTTTTTCTCAGAAATGATATATTTTCCTGCGGTAAAAAGTATCCTATATGTTGACACGAATAACCAGCTATCACCATACCAAATTTCATCAAAATCCCTCCAGTGGTTTTTCTGTGATGCGGTAACAGACAGATAGACAAAAATTCTAAAAACTATAGATTCAGCCTCTGTATCGAAAATAATGTCTATTTCAATAAAATTTTCCAAAAAATATTTAATGTACAGATTGGGCTTAGTTACAATTTTATTATATGTATAGAAATATATGATTGTAATATCTCCAACATGCCTTATTTAATTATTGTTTTCTTATAATTTAGTTGCGTTACCAAAGAAGTCACTTCAACCGCGCGTAAAGATTACATGCACCCATTTTTTTTAAATGAAACATGAAAGTTAATCAATGGATGATTAAAATGTATGTTTACTCGTAGGTTGGAAACGTGTGACGCTAATCAAAGGACTGTCCCGCAACTGCAACATAAAGGGCGAAGTGAGCTACTCGCCGCCGGAGCCTCACGCCGCCGTACAAATTAAATCTGCGCAGGAGTTGCAAGCGGTGAGTGCTTATATATAATGATAATATGGATTAATTTTATCATCTTATTAGTTATTTTTATCATTTCATAATTACATTTATATAGTGGGTAGGCACTGTCTGTAACAAATATGTGTTTGAGACGTCTATAACCTTAGTCTCTCCCGTGACCATAATTGCTGTATGTAAAGCATTCAAAACGTCGAGAACCAAAAATCAAAATAAATCCGCGAAATAATCCGAAAAGATAGTTTTAATTTAAATGTCAAATATTAGCGTAAATCTAAGAAAGTATTATATTGTTAATTTTGTAAAATAAAGTCGTTTTTTTGACTATTACATTTTATTTTAAAGACTACTGTATTAATAATAACTTTAAAAGTATTATTTTGACGTATATATTGGATGCTTTCTTTAAATTTATAAAATATTAAAACCAACCTCACGTAAAGCTTGTTAAAAAAAAAGAATCATTAAAATCTGTTCAAAAACTTTGACTTTCTGTTATTAAAAGCTGAAGGCCTGCAAACGTCTGAACAGATTTTCTTGATTTATAGCTAAGAACACTCTCGATCAAATTATCTTTCAAACAAAAACAAAATTAAAATCAGTAAATCTATTTGGGTGTTACGATGCCACTGGCAGGCACACATACACACGTTAAACTTATAACACATATATACACATTATATATATATATATATATATATATATATATATATATATATATATATATATTCTAAGTAGATTTCGTAACGCCAGTTCCTAGATACGAACCCGAGTCCAGTGCTCTCGCGCGACAACTTCAGCTTCAGCGCGCGCACTCTACTGGGCGAGTATGTGCAGCCCGCGCCCGACCACAGCGACCCGCTCGTGCTCAACGAGGCAGAGATTGTGAAGAGGTATGTGTTACTGCCAGCGCTTGCATCACTGCTGAAGGCAGTGGTAGCCAAGTGGTAACGCGCTCGCTTTGGAAACCGAGTGAAACGGGTTCGAATCCCGGGTCTCCCACCTCTGATATTTTCATGTGCTAATAATTATAACATGATTACCACTTGCCTTACGGCGAAGGAAAACATCGTGAAGAAACCTGCATGTCTTAGAGAACCTAGCAAGTTTTTGAAAGACATGACATTTAGCACCTAACATCCATTATTTAGATTTTTAATAAAATTCTGATAACATTCGCGTTATCAAGGCGAATCTAATGACGTATGAATCATTAAAATCATTAAAATCAATACAGATCAAACTTAGAACCTTACTTTTGACTTAAAATTTAATTACAATTGCACCTGAAAACCATATCAATATTTTATCTTTGATTAAAATTATACCTGCCCTTATGTTATTTCTCTCTGTTTTTCCTATTTATGTGCAATAAAATATCCAGCTATCTATATATCATTGTTACTACCTATCTAATAGTGACGAAGGTTCCCATACAAGATGTCTTACCTTAAAATGTATTTTCCTATAATTTTACATACATTTTTTTTTTTAATTTACAAATGTTCTTTTGGAAATATATGTGATGTTCTCCTGGCCGATTCCGGCTATGGCGGCCAATCTCTTTGAGATTAGCCAACTGCGCAGGAGATATTATAGTGCACAAGTGTACGCGCAGACACAACGTGCACTCTCTGTCACTCACATACTCCGGTGGAACGACACGAGACACGACCGGTGAGAGTGTCGGCGCAGGACCGACGGCTTTACGTGCTCTTCGAGGCACGGAGGTGAAACACCGCCAAGTTCCCAACTCCGGGCTGTTACTGAGACTTACTATATAGAAAGACTCAATACCTAAACTTGGCCAGACCCGGAACTCGAACCCAGGACCTCCGGGTGTGCAGCCGTACATGCTAGCCACAACACCACTGAGGCAGTTGGAAATAATAACAGCTTTATTTATTTTTGCATTTTTGTGTTTTTTTTGGAACGGCTTAACTCTGCTAAAATTTCACCATTCACCACTGAGATCTATACATGTATCTCTGTATGTCATCAGATTAGAGGAAGCTCGATCGCTGGCAGCTCTATCGGGGCGCCCTACACCGCCGCCGCTCGAGCGCCGCATGGAGCTGGCGCGCCGGCAGCAGGCCGCGCGTGACGCCCGCCGCGACCATCGCCCGCGTGACCAGGTACACACACACACACACACACATACTCACACACACACTGACACACACACACACTGACACATACACACACTGACACATACACACACTGACACACACACACTGACACACACACACACTGACACACACACACACTGACACACACACACACTGACACACACACACACTGACACACACACACACACACACTGACACACACACACACACTGACACACACACACACTGACACACACACACACTGACACACATATACACACACTTACACACACATCTACACGCACATACACATAATGACGACACGTTTGGCTCAGTTTGTAGTAACTCTACTCGCTGTGCCAGCGCTGGGGGGCGTTCATTTGTGTGGTGAGCACCAATGTTTGTACTCCAGTCACGGGTGTTTATATATTTTATAATATGTATGTATTTATAGTTATATATGTGTAGTGTATCAACTGTCTGGTATCCATAACACAGGCCTTGTAGCTTACCATGGAACCAGATGGTGCTGTGTGGTAATGTCTCAATATTATTATTTAGTTATATATACATATACACACATACATACATGCACGTATACGCTCATACACATACACATGCACGTGCATGTACAAGAGCGCACATCTACACACTCACGGCTATACGTATACACACATTACGAGACAGCTTTACAAAGCCTGGGTTCGAGTCTCGGGTTGACCTAGTGTAACTATGGGGTTTTAATATCAAGAAGTTGACACTTGCGTTCTCAACGATCGTATTGGGGTCCTTCGGAGAGTGCCGATGTGCCTGAGATTAGCGGAACATACATACATACAAATAGCTCTATACTGTACCCTATACAATATACTTATGTACTGAATTATATAATTTGTAAAGAAATGAAATAAATATTGCTAATATTCTTGTATGATGATTGTTATTTAGCACAGCATGTTGCTATTAAACTTTATAAATGTGAAATGATCCATCATTTAATTTGAAGGTATTTCTAGATAAGGAATTTTAGATACCTTTACTTATATATATTATAAAAATTATACTTCCTCCAATAACGAGTCCGCTATCTGGTGCATTAGTAATAATGTAAAACATAACATGTAAACATACACCCTTAGGTACTAGCGGAACCCGCGGCTTCGCTCCCGTTCAATCTACAAAAAAAACTGGCTTTATTTATATAATATTGTTCTTACAAAAATACTAAAATCGCGATTATAAAATGGTGCGGGTAGGAGAGTGAAAAATACTTTACGACCTATTCTACCTATTATACCTAACAAATATACAAAAAAAAATATCATTAAAATCGGTCGAGCTGTTTCTGAGGAGTGCGACCACAAACACCGTGACACGAGATTTGTATATATTGGATAATATTGTGTGTACTGGTAAAATATTCGTTTTTAGGGTTCCGTGCCCGAAGGGTGCCAACGGTACCCTATTACTAATACCTCCTCTGTCCGTCCGTCTGTCAGCGAACTGAATCTCATGAACGGTGATAGGTAAAAAGTAGAAATGTTCACAGTGTGTTGCCGCTATGATAACAAATAATTAAAAAAAAAACAAGATTGCTAATTTCAAAATGTCCGTTAGGCGAATAAAAAAAATTGAATAGTACAGTGTTATATCTTGTACGATGGTATGGAACCCTTCGTGTGCCAGTCCGACTCGTACTTGACCGGTTTTTTTCAACTAATTTATATGAAAAACGCAAGTATAGTTAAGTTTACAGTTCAAAAGTTTTATTCTTAAAATCCCATCCCCAGGCCCGTCTCGTGAGAGAGATAGAGAGATCGGAAAAGGCGGAATTTGTTAAACGCGAGAAAGAGGTGCGAAGTCAACAGTTGTTAGAGGTGAGTTGTTGGGGGTGTATGTTTGTTTGTTCATTATTATGTATAGTTAGCCTCTAAAGTAGATTTTGCCCATTTAGAAATACCAGAAAATATAATGAAATTATTAAGTCATATTGAGGGTATTCTTATATGGTTTTATTTGCGTCGATGTTGTGAGGATTGCGAAGGGTCCTCTAGCGGTTATTTATTTATTTGATTTGAGATCATTTTGCATTTGTATTATAGGTTATGTATTGCTATGTAGTTTAAAATAATATTATTGTTGATTTTTCATCCATATCAGACATTATTTTAAATACTGTTAAATTTTGTTTGTTTTTGCTGTTAGTTTAAAGGAAATGTCTGGACAGTTTTGTTTTTTTTTTCTTATTTTTTTTATATGAAACCATCTATCTATCTACATCTACCCTATACAAAGAGCAGTTTTATTTATTTTTTTTTTATTCGGATCTTATCATTTTCTGGTATGTGGGTGTAAATGTATTATTATTATTGATTTGATTATTATTATTTAATAGAATATATTTTTTTATATTATTATTATTTTGTCAGTGGTACAAACCATAGATTAAAAATCCCTTCTAGTATTTATTTTTATATATTATTACATTTTATATTTTTCTTCTGTGTGAATGTCCTTTGTCTATAATATGGGGACTAATATATTTGTATATTGATGTTTTAGATACATGTGCTTGTGTTTGTTTTTTTTATTATCAATTTGACGCTTGGCAACATTGTGCTCACATTCCGTAGTTATTCTCTTTCTCAAAGGCAAAAATGGACTGTTAGTATGAAGAAATAACAATTCTTAAGTTAATTTTTGCCTTTTTGTAGATAGAACTATATATATAGCTTTATCAGTAGTGTTGTGTTAAACGGTAGCTACTATATGTTATATGTAAACTTGTTGGGGACCTAACACCAGAATATATTGACTGACAATGTTGTCATGAATCCAATTGATAATAAAATGAGTATAAACAAAAATTAACGAAAGGAAATTCGAAACAGCAAATCAACAAGAGCAGATCGCAGCTCACCATAGAACCTTTGCCGACGCCTAAGAGCGATGAGTGGAAAATTCCAGAAATTATCATGGGGCCGGCGGTTAAGAGTAACAAAGACAGAACTATGCCGCAAATAAGCCTCTCTCTCATACCTGTCAGCGGTCTAAAAGAGAACACTCCAATAAAAACGGTCAATTTAGATCAACATTGGAAAGGCGAGGAAGAATACAACGCCTTAGATAAAATGAAAGACTTTGCCGAAAAAGCTGCTTTCGATCTCCCAAAACGACCTAACGACAGATATTTCGACTTCTCCCTAACGAAAACGCCAGATAAGAGAAAAGCTCCGGATAAAGAAAACAATTTGGAAAAACTAATAGAGTCATACTCTCGCATATCAGAGTTCATAAACGGCTGTGATTGGTCCAAATTGCAAAGCGATAGAAAAGTAGACGACCCAAAGAGCATAGAACAAAAATATTTAGATGCGAAAAATGAATTTATGTCGCAAAATCTCATGTTAATGCCTAAAGACAACCAAAAATCCGTATTAAAAGACGTCATAGATCTAAGCGGTGACGATGATAATATACTCACAGATATAATAACGAAAAAAGTCAGCAAAGGCACTTTTAATGTGGGCAAAGATGGAGCTTTATCGATATCGGTACAGCCTTTCAAGGACGTGTACAGTCCGGTACGTTCTGTTAACTATCAGGATGCACTAACTAATGACTAACATATGGTGTCTATGGTATGAATTAACACGGTCTATCTTGTTTATGGGATTGTATAGAATGAATGGTTATGTAAGGGAAATGAGTGCGGGTTCGAATCCCGTTCTGTGATCGGTAGCAATTCTCTTCACGTCTTGCATTTTCTAATTGATTGTATATCGAATGTTACATGTCTTAGAATATGCCTACTTCTGCTTGAATTGAATAAAAGCTTGTAACACCATTTTATTGGTTTTATTTTTTTTATTCTATGAGTTATGCACGCTTTGCACTTTTTTTAAGATATATATTTTTTTAAATTTATTAACAAAAATTGATTCATATTGCGAATATTATAAAATTTTAAAAATTAATTTGTTTACGATTCCTATTAAAATTAATTAATTTTATTTTTGATAAAGCTTTGCATTAAAAAAAAACTTTTGTATTTATAATAAAACTTTTTTTTCAAAATTAATTAAAATTATAAATGATAATTCACAAAAAAAAAACTATTAACATAGTTTGTGTTATGATTTTATTTTTATTTCCATTTTGTTTCATGTTTGCTGTATTATAATTTGCTCGTCGCTTTCGATGTTGTTTTTGGCTAATAAAAGGCTAAGAAGAGAAAGCAGGAGGAGTTAGAGAAGCAGAAGATAGAAGATCAGGCAAAGAAGCAGCAGGTAAGGTGGAGAAGTAGAGTCGTAGAATGTAACCGCATAGACAAGTACGTTATGGTGGACTTTTACTATAGCAAGATTGTTCTTAGTGTTTTTTTTAATAAGAATTGATTAGTTTGCTTTTTTTATTTTGTTGTTTATGATGTCTAATTTGTTCTACCAACATTGATTTACAAAACTCAATATATACAAGTGTCAACTTTTTTTAAATCTCTTTTGTTCATTGCTTTTCGGATGACAAAATTAAAACGCACGTGGTTTCGTTTAAAAAAGTACTTTATGTGGTGTGCGTAAGTTCGAATTTGTGTTTGTTTGACTTAACGTCACATGTCGACGCCACTTTTTGAAGAGATATTCGTTATCTGGGCATGTGTATCTATGTTTTTATACAGAGTAATTTTTAATTTACTGAAAACCTTTTGGGAATCTACTATTTACATCATAACAACAACATCTGTAAGAATATATATATATATATATATATATATATATATATATATATATATATATATATTTCTTAAATTTTACATAAATAAAAATATTTTTATCGCACCTTCTAAACGGTAATAGTCCAGCATTTGCAAAAGAAAGCGCGTTGCCGGTGGAGGGGGAGGGGTGGAGGAGGAGGCACTTACTCATTTAAACTTGACCAGATGCTAGGACAACTACCGTTTAGAAGGCGCCATTAAATATTTTTATTTTTGTATGAAAATAAAAATTTAAGTAATATATATTTTTTTTCTTACAGGCGTTGTTGTTATGATGTAAATAGTATATTCCCAAAAGGTTTTAAGTAAATTAAAAATGACCCTGTATATCAATGACTAAAATTCAATAACTAGTATCTATGGAATGTAATTCACGTTTGTTTTTATATTAAGTCAATATTTTTATATAATAATTAATAACCGCTTAAGATCGTAAAAGAAATTAAATAATTAAAAAAAAACTTAAAGGAGACGTTTAAAATGAATAAAATGTTAGAAGTAAAATTTTGTTCCAGGAAAGGGAGATAAAACGACAACAGGCCATGCTTTTAAAAGAACAGGTTGGTTCTATTTAAATTCTTTGTACTTTAGTTTTGTATATTTTTTTATTTTGAAGAAGTATTCAAGGTTCTTGTGTGTGCATGCGTGTGTGTATGTTTGTAATACTCTTACATATGTATATGACGTTATTAAATTCGTGTGGTGGAATATGTTCACGTAGATATTTATTTTATTTATTACTAGCGATTCACCCTCGCTTCGCTCGGGTTCGTCCCTAGTTTGATTCCTCATACAAACTTTCATCCCCATTTTCACTCCCTTAAGGGATGATTTCCGGGATAATATGTATCCTATGTCCCTCCCAGATTCTCAAACTATCTTACCAAATTTCATCTAAATCGGCTCAGTAGATCAGAGATTATCCCCGACAACGTCACAAACTCACAAACTTTACCTCTTTATCATATAGTATAGATAAACAATATTTGTCATTAGAATACGTGTTTTTAATTATTGTACATCACATTATTATATATTCTTTATTGCATATTAACAAAGTAACATAGATAATACAGAGACCAATGTAGACAAAGGTGGACTTATCTCTTAGAAGAGATCTCTTCCAGCCAACCTATGAAAGTGAGAAATAGCTTATTATAGGAAAAAGATAGGTGGAGTGTATAGCGCAATAAATGAGGATGAACGTAGAGTGGACTGAGTATTTCTTTACCAGCCGTCATATACGAAAAGAATATAATAATACTAGCATTGCCAGCAGAAATGAGACATTTTCAAATAGATAATCCGCTACCATTATACCAAGTTTCATCAAAATCCCTCCAGTGGTTTTCTTGTGATGCGGTAACAGACAGACAGACAGACAAAAATTCTAAAAACTATAGATTCGGCCTCTGTATCGATAGTAAAGTCTATTTCAATAAGATTTTCCAAAAAATATTTAATGTACAGATTCGGCTTAGTTACAATTTTAAAACAAAATGCTGATAAACTGGTGCCGCGCTAACAATTATTATTATACATTTATTGGCCATGCCGCATTAGCAAATACTTTTCAACGACGGCGATAGGACCTTAGTCGCCACTGGCTCCAACTGGTGTCGCCGGAAACGATAGCCCGCCGTCATTGCTTTATTTTGTTTCATATTTTAATTACACACACAGTAGGAATTGTAAGTATATGTATAAACAAGACAACTAATTATAATACAATTTCGAGCTTCAAATGCTATCTTCAGACCGCTCTACCTATTTTTTTGGTTTGAGTTAAGTAGGTATCGGTACTAATATTATAAATGTAAAAGTGTGTTTATTTGTTTGTTTGTCCTTTTTTTCACGATTAAACAGATTGATAGATGGCGTGATTTTTTGTGTGGATATAGTTGGAGGGCTGGAGAGTGACATAGGCTTTTTACCGTGGGAGATTATCTCCTTCCCTCGGGGAAACACGTTATAATACAACCTACAATACCTAATCATACCTATTTATATATAACTAGCAGTACCCGCGTTTAAACATCCTATCGCTACCAAACTTCACAGGATCACCCGCTGGTCTAAAGATTGCCTGGAAAAAAAACTGGAAATTTCATTAAAATCGCAAGCAGTTCTTCGGGAATACACATACACACATCGACTTTTATATATATATATATATATATATATATATATATTTATATATACTATATATACGGCTAGGGTTAGTAAAAATTAATGTAAAATAATGCCCGTCGAGCTGAAAAGCCGAAGCAGCAGAGCTATGTCTGTAATGCTGCGCGACCGGCAGCATTACAGATGTACTCGTAGCAGCTCCCACTTCCAAATTTTATTTAATAAATCATATATAACATCGCCTATCAAGTCGCACTTCTGTAATCGTTAGGAATATTTAAAAAAAGGTTCATTAAAATCTGTTGAATAGATTTTTAGTTAAATCCGTTCAAACATACATACAAAGATTTCATATAATAGTTATAGATGTATAGTATATCTATTCCATACTAACCGTTAAAAAAAACATTTTGTCATTTACTTATAAGTGACTAATACCCGATTTCACCAACATCACTTAAGCTACCACCTACTTATGGGATCCCTAGCTTAAAAGTTCCCCTAAACTAGCCCCTAAATTAAATTTCGTTTTACCATTGTCAGAGCCCGTATATCTAGTACCTACCTATATTTAGGTGGTATTTTAACATTTAGGTGAACCCTAACTGACCGGGAAACAGAAACTGTCCCCTAACAGCCCCCTAACCATGCTTAGGGGATCCCTTAAACTTAGGTGACGTTGGTGAAATGGGGCATAAATGTTTCTAGGAGCCCCAAAAATGAGTTAGTACCATTTTAATAAAAAAATAACAATTTTTAAATTATACGTTACTGAATAATTTTATTTAAAACCAATATTCAGAACATTATTATATTAGAATTTGTGTTTTTTTTCCAATCGGGAATTCGCGTTGCGGCCGCAGCAAAAATATATAACGGAGGTAATAAATTGTAATGTAATACACGCTCTTGGACTATTTCTTATTTATATTACGCTTCGTTTATTAAAAAAATAAAAATAATGATATATTTTATTAGCTGTCTTTTCTTTTTTTTTGCTGCCATTTTGCTTAACTTGTTAATATAATGTGTTAAATCAAACAACGCATACGTCAATGGCTGGTTATTTATTATTAAAAATATAAAACATATATTTCGCTTTTTCTAGTAAATTATAAAAACACTTTTTTTATTTAAACTTTTTTTTTTTTTTTCAAATAACATTTAGCTTGTAGCTCCTAGGATCGGTTTTTTTTTTCACTATTTGGTTGCATGGGTGTGGAATACTAACAAAGAAGTTCTTTTAGTAATCAAAATATACTAAAATAGAATATTAAAGACTTAAATATTAAAATTAAATAATTTATTGCCATAAAATATTGTTCATTAAAAAATAATTTTGAGGTCCAAATTGCAAAAGGCAATGGCAAAAGTTAGTAACGCAGCCGATGCCTTTGAAATCGAATTCCAACTATAACTTTATCATGTCTTTTATTTATAATATTGGAATTATATTGTTACATCAATTCAACTAAACTATTTTTAATCATTGCACATCTTTTGTTCTAAACACTCTAATAAAACTTATCTATACTAAGATAAATAATTTAAAATGAAATAGATTTCTAAATATATTTTTACTAACAAATAATGATTCCATTGAATATTTAACAGGAGCGTGAAAGGCGACGTCAGCACACTACATTCATCCGTCAACTGGACTCGCGTAGGCGATGGGAAGAGAGAGAAAGAAGAAAGCACCAGAACCTTCTAGATCGATTGCTTGTGAAAGAGAAGAAGCTGCAACAGAGACGGAAGGAGATGGAGCTATTGTCAGAACTCAGGTAATCTTGTGTAATCGAATGCTATTATAAATTCGAAAACTTATATGTTTTTCTGTGTGTGTCTGTATTTGTTACTCGTTTACGCTGAAACAGATAGTCCAATTTGAATGAAATCTAGCGCACAGATAATCAATAACCTGGAGTAAGATATAGGCTAGTGTTAGCCATAAAATTTGCCAATATATGGCGCTGTTTTGCTGGCAAACGCACCTTGGGACGCGTCTGAATGAAATGTGGGAAGTCGCAGTTACTATATTATAACGAAGCATTAATAAAAAAAAACAGCATCTTGTGAAGAATCAAATCTTATAAGTTAAATATAATATATAATATTAAAAGTGCCATTCTTATATGCATTATATGCATATTTTATTTCGTGTATCTCGGAAACGCCTCGAAAGATTTGGATCAAAATATTAATCTATATATAATTATACAATAATGTAATAAGTAGGTATGTAGGTAAATATATAATATAATAAGTAGGTGTGTCTTTTTGAAAAAAAAAACATTTTTATATATTTTTCCGAAAGACGCACAGGGACTAACAGTTTAAAATGACTTATTTATTTTTTTCAGACGACCCCAAGAAGATTCGTCTCTCTCCGATCAAAAGCCGCTGCCGGATCTAGACAGAATTCCCGGCTTGAAGATATCCGGGCAGGCCATGGCGGATCTGTTGCAAGTGTATGAATTTCTGCACAATTTCGGCCAAGCACTTGGGTTTGGTAAGGGATACTTTTGCTTATTGTTGATCGTATTAACGCAGGTCTTGAGTGTTGCTTACTTCTGAATAAAGGTAACAGGTGTTCGATTCTTGTTTAAAAATGTTCTACATCAGCCATTTAGCAATAAAGAATTTGGAAGAAATCTCTTAAAGAGATAAGTTATCCTTCGTCGACGTTATGTTACTTTATGATGTATAACATATATATTATTATATTATGGTACATAAATAAATAAATATATAATAAAGTTATTATTGTGTGATGTGATTCGCGCCCTTATAAGCGGGACGGGCATGAAAGTAACCTACATGATATAATAATAATAATAATAATGAACACTTTATTGCACACCACACAAGAAAATAAATAAAGCAGTGAAATACATAACAATAAAAAGTTTTTTTATATAAATTATTTTATTAAATTTTTTAATTAATTTTAATTAATTTTTTTTTTAATAAAACCCCAATACAAAAAACAAAACAAATATACAATAAGAAAAAGTAATAAATATCGTACTTAATGGAATAATATACGTCTGGTTATCGCCAAATTTAAATTGTTTAATTTTTGTATAGTTTCATGTATTTTTTTCCTTTACAAAAAAGCTTATGGCCTGGAAACAACTGAATAGATTTCCTTGATTTATAACTAAGAACACTCTCGATCAAGTCTCCTCAACCAAAGAAAAAGAACTAAATTAAAATCGGTACATCTTTTTGAGCGCTGTGATTCTACAGACAGACACAGATATACAAGTTAAACTCGTAACATCCCTCTTTTGCGGGGGTTAAAAAATATTTCTTTTTCTCGAATTACCACATTAATAATACTCGTATGAAATGAATTGATTTTAATATAATAAACGTTTTTCAACAGAAGTGGAATCGCTCCCGTCACTGAACACGCTCCAGCTGGGCCTCATACCAAACTGCAACCAGGAGGCGGAAGACGAACTGCTCAGTGTGTTGGCCAGATTACTTGTCATTGCTATTGGTACGTATCACAGATGATGGAAACTATAATAGTACAATCATATAAAGATTTTGAACGTCCATTTCTTTAGGCCCAAATAGAATTTACATGCCACTAAGTCTGGTAATCGAGTGAAGCGAGTTCAAATCCCGTGTCTCGTATCTCTGATATACTCATGTGCAAATCATTTTCGACATGATTTTAATTTGTCTTACGGTGATGGTAAATATCGTGAGAAAACCTGCGTGTTTAAGAGAACCTAGCAAGTTTTCGAAAGACATGTGAAGTCCGCCCGCACTTCTTCAGTGGCCAGACTATGGCCTGATCCCTAATGAAGGGAGGTTCGTGCCCGGCCCAGCAGTAGGACGTTGAGAAGGGCTGATTGGATACCAGATAGTTCATACACTACACATATATAACTATAAATATAAACATCTACGATTGGAGTATAAATATTCAGCAGGACTTGAACCCGCGACCGCTGGCATAGCATGTAGAGTCACTACAAACTGAGCCAAACATGTCGTCAATAATAATAAAAATAAATAAAGAATTATCTCACCGTACCCTAAAGGAGCCAGGTATCCCGCACCCGGGACGCCACACCAGGCTGCTGGGCTACGCGCTGCATATATATAACTTTAAATACATACATATTATAAACATAAACACCCGTGACTAAAGTACAAACATTCGCGCTCATCATACAAATGTCAATAATAATATATATTATACTAATATTATAAAGGCGTCAAGTTTGTGAGCTTGTGATGTTGTAGGGGGTAATCTCTGCATCTACTAAACCGATTAAGATGAAATTTGGTAAGAAGATATTTTGAGACCCTGGGAAGGACATAGGATACTTTTTATTCCGGGAATCATCCCTTGAGGGCGTGAACATAGGGGTAAAAGTTTGTATGGGGAATCAAGCTACAGACCAACCCGAGCGAAGCGGCGGTGAGTCGCTAGTAATATAAATAAAATAAAATAATTTTGTCACGGTACCCCAGAGGAGCCGGGCATTCCGCACCCGGGACGCCACACCACGCTGCTGGGCCACGCGCTGCGCCACGCCGAGCCGGCGCCGGACACTATCAGCGAGGTGCTGCGCATATATCTGTACGCGAACGCCACCGCTGAGGTCAAAGCTCTCACTGGTACGTGCCTATTTAATGTATTATTTTGATCAAACTATTATAATGATAACTAATTGTTGTATTTAACTGTAGTTTTTTTCTCCTAATTTAAAAATTACGCTTTATTTCTAAGATAGTCAGTTCAAGAAATGTCATCGTATAGTAACATAATATTTGTTCATAGGTCTAACAGTGGAGCGGGAGCGGGACCGGCGCGTGGCCGACCACCACCAGAGCGACGCGGAGATGCAACTCACGTGCGCCAGTACTAAGAACCATCTCTACTACGAACATTTGCATGCTAACGCTACTTATAAGCTTTCTGGTGAGTTTTCTCTTATTATATCATTGCCTTATTAGAATTAGCTAAAAGACAGAGGTATCTAGATTAGATAAGAGATATTTAGAAATACTCTATAGTCCATGGTTATGTGGACTTGTATTATTTTCATCCAGTTACAATTGTATGGAGGAACAAGGAAAACGGAAGTGGTATAATAACATTTAAGATATTTTGAAGTTCATACACGATTTTTAATTGTATAGACATTATTTAAATATTTATTTTCATCTTAGGCTTTATATTACGAGTAGAAAATTATATGTTATTACTAACAAAACAAAAACAAACCTATCCCACGGGAACCGTACATTTTTCCGAGATAAAAGTAGCCTATGTGCTATTCCATACTATAATCTATCTCTGTGCCAAATTTCATCCAGATCAGTTGAATAACAAACGTGTAAACTTTCTGATTTATAATATTAGTAAGACAATATGAATGTTTTAATTAAACGTTACCAAATTGAACGACGAGTATTCATTCACATCATTTCATTCACAGTCTTATATAATTATTTTCCCTTGGAATATATATAATTTTTTAAATTATTACTGTTTTGGTTGATGACGCAGTGTCTAACGCTAAATTACATATTTAATCTAAATTAGTTGGTAGTAGACTGAAGAAGTCAATCATTTTCAAACATTCGGACCCTTATTTTTTTTATAGGATTTCTCCTTTGTTTTCTTTATATTTTACTATAAAATTGTGTAGGTGTTCACTTGAGACATCCACGTACCATATTTCAGCAATGTAGGTCCAATAGCCATCGAGTAAAATAGCTGTGACATACAGATGGACAAATATGGCGATATACTATTTCTATACGAGTATGTTTACATATATATATATACATATATATATATATATATATTTATATATAATATATATATACATATATATACTATGTTTACATATATATATACTATTTCTATACGAGTATGTTTATATATATTAGTAAGTGTGTCTATATTTGTTACCCTTCAACGTCGAAATGACTGTATGGATTTGAATATAATTTATTTTCCAAGAATAGACTGATCTGGAAAAACGTACAGGTTACTGTTTTGTACTCATTACTGAAGTATATGTATGTTGGTATGATTCACACAGAGATGCTCCGGGACAAGCCGTTCGTGTCGCTGCCGCCGTGCAGCAAGGCGCGTGTGCTGGCGCGCGTGTGCGACGAGCTGCTGCAGGGCCGCGCCGTGCTGCGCCAGCTCGATGCCTCGCTCGACCACCTTGCGCAGCTGCGCCGCGACAGATACCTGCTCGATGCCAGGATACGCAAGTAAGCAAACACACACACACACACACACACCAGTGCGTGCATAGACACGCAAGTACGAACGCGCATGCAATTATATGAGTACTAGCGACTCACCCTCACTCCGCTCAGGTTCGTCCCTAGTTATGTTCTAATATTTAGTATAGATTTCTCAGAGATGAGATATCTTCTCGCATTAAAAACCGTCCTATATATTGACCCGGATAACCAGCTATCACCACACCAAATTTCATCAAAATCCCTCCAATGGTTTGTCCGTGATGCGATCACAGACAGACAGAGAGACATAAAAATTCTAAAAACTATAGATTCGGCCTCTGTATCGATAATAATGTAATATTTCAATAAGAATTTCCGTAAAATATTTAATGTATGGATTCGACTCGATGCTAGGCAATTCAATTCTCTTCATCTTGTTAATGGCTTCAAAGCATGCCAGTCGAACACATATTACTTCGCCATGGCACGTAGGACAGAAAAGACGTGAGAAAAATTGGTCCGTACAATAGATATATTTAACATTTAATTTTATGTCAAGATGTCAGTATTGTAAGCCCTTCTAAAATCTATTACCGGCTTGGAAGATAGTTCTAAGAAAATATAGCAAGAAACTGCAGGACTTACTTAATTATTCGAGTATTACAATAATTTAATACTAAAACTACTTTAGTATTACTTAGAACATTCAAATTATTATAAAAATCTATACAGATAAATAAAATTGAAGTGTCTGTTTTTAATGTCAAAATAACAGCGTTTTACTAAATGCATATGAAATTATGTATGGAACTTATAAGAAAAACACAATTTTTAAATTTTTTGTTGGCTGTTTATGACGATTATGACGGGACTTTCACTGAAAGATAGCCGATGTTATAGGGAGTAACATAGGCTACTTTTATTTTAGAAAAAGTATTACGGTTCCGCTTAAAAAAAATTAAAAGATACCTAGGGATGAACCCGAGCGAAGCGAAATAGAAATAAAAAGTATAAAATATTTGTAAAAATGGATTATTGATGTGTTTGATTGTTGTTGTGTATACAGAGTGCGTGCGCTGCAGCAGCGCAAGGCGCGGGCGGAGGCGGCGGAACGCCAGCAGGCGCTCGCGCTGGAGCGCATGCAGCGCTTGGTCGACGCGCCGCCCTACGACGCGGGTGCGTACCACTACCACACACAAAACATATATGACGTGTTATCCATATACTACGAACATCATCTTTAGTGGTTATTAATATTGTGGGTGTTATCAGGGTTCAAATAATAAAGTATTCAGTGCTTAGTACACCAATTTAATCAAGGAAATCACAATGTTATAAACTTGAAACGCTAATTCTAACAATTTAGAGGCAGCGGGTTCACAGTCACCGATCAGATCATCACATACAATATCAAAGCAAAACTCTCTATGATCCACCATGATCAACCAACGTTACTAAACCACGTATCTCCAACGAATGTCGTGATGGCATCTCGACCCCGCTCGAGACGTAGTCTCAGCTCTAAATTCAAAATAACTTTAAAAGCAATAAAAAGTAAGCTAAATAACATAGTGACTTTAAACAATAAAGTTTCACATTCTAGCAGAAAAAAGTAACTAAATCCTCTTCCGTCATACATTTAATGTTGTATATACACTCTACACAACCTTCACATTTCTAATTTATCGCGCAATCCAGTTTAAACCGCCTTTGTTATGAAATTAATATTATTATTTAAATAAAACAACACTTGACAAATATAAATATTAGCACTGCTTTCTTTTGTTTTACGTAACCATATAATTGTTTATGTTTTAAATAATAATTCTTCCAAACAGATAATTCAGAAAAATCAGAAACCCCCAAGAAACAAGACAAAGAATCGTCCCCAGACAAACCCCAAACTCCGTCTCCATACAAGGATGTACCAGAAGAGAGTGACAAGGAGTTATCGCCGTTGAAAGATTTATCTAACGTGAAAAAGGAGATATTGAATAACAACAAAGATGAAACAAGCGATGTGAAGATAGACAAGGATAGCGTTATGGGGGATGACGTCATGAGCGATCTAGAGAGTGAAGGCACGCAGCCGGAAGAGGTATTATATATAAATTTTTTATCTATACAAATAAGTAAAATGTATTTCGTGAATACAAACCAATCATAAACTTTGTACTGAATACCTTTTTTTTATCACCAGGATGAAGATAAGAACCTATCCTCCGAAGAATTGTCTCGTAAACTGGAAAAACTTATCCGTCAATCGGAGCAACAGCTAATAGCGTTGGCAGCCGGCTCTCACGCGCTAAGAGCCACGTGCTACGGACAGGACAGGTTAGAGTTAGACGAGATAGGTTATCCATTTATCAATTATGTGAGTTTAAAACGAGGGGATGGATTCAGTAAAAAGTCATCTAATCTCATTTAAATTGATAGGGGTTTGATTGAAAATCTCACGTGAACTTTTAAAGAAAATATATATAATCTCACTTAATCTCACCAAAGGGAAGGTGTAGTCAAAATTGAAAGGAAAACAGCTCACGTAATTAATAGATATTCTCTTACTTAGTTGTTAGATATAACAAATTTCAACCAAATACGTTGAGCTACAACGTGATGAAGTGACATTTTTTTTACATTCAATCCGTTTGTATGATAGGATGATTTAACACGAGGATGTAACCATGTGCAATAATGCAAACTTCATATTATCCCCTGTTGATAATTTCTTGACCGAAATACCCAAATATGTAATGACCCAATATCTACACCTAGCCCGACCTGAGACTCGAACCTAGAACCTCCAGAAACAACTATCCCGCACAGTTGACTAATCTCAGTGAGCTTCTCCACCGTTTCAAGAACCGGTCGAGGGAACATTTATTATTATTGGGATGATAATAAAATATATAAATTATTAAATAGTGGCTTTTTCACTTTGCTCTTAAATATAAGAGCTGGCAGGCACTGTACATAATAAGTACAAAGCCACCCGTTGACTAATGTTATTACTAACCGTAGCCTGTTTGTGCTAAATTTTAACCAAATCCGACCAAATGTATACGTTATGGAGTAACAAATATACATACATGTGCCAAACTTTAACATTCATATTATTAAATAAACACATAATAATAAACATTGAATATTTCATAGATACTGGCGTCGCTACTGGTCTCTGGGTAAATGTGGGGGCGTGTTCGTAGAAGCGATGGAGTCTGCGCAACCTGAAATATTGGAATATCAAGCGAAATTGGAGGAAGATGCTTTGGATCCTACGCCCAAAGTTAAGAAACGTAAGTTTTAGAAATATGTGTACATATACCGTTAATTCAACCGACTTCGAAAAAGGTAAGTGGTCAATTAAAAGACTGTCATATTTTATAGGATTCGCCAATATAAAACACAAAGCAGTTGTTGATTATTCTGATATTGTTTTTATTATTGTTTCATAAAAGAAAACATGTGTTTAAATTTTTATATGCTAAAATTCAGGCAAGTGCGAGTCTGTTCGATCAATGAGGGTTCCGTAGTGTCAAACATTTTTATATTATGTTTTAACCTACTTGACCCATGATATATATTTATCCCAATAACATATAATTTTTCAACTTAACTAACAACTTATACGGTTCATCTATACTTTTAATTCCACGTTAAAGCTACTAAATTTCAAAATTATCGCTCAATCTCATTCGTGTCTACCTCACAAAATATGACATTGACAGAATGAATTGCGTCTGTTAACGCAGCTCTAAACCATAAAGAAGAAAAAAACAACTTATACATACTTTAAACTTTCCTCCAATATACGTATTTATTTCTTCCAGTAAGAGCTAGTAATATAAAAAATTTTTTACAGTTAAAGAAAAATTCGAGCCAAAACTGGAAGAAGATGAACCTCAACTGGAGATAGACGAAGAGGCTGAGGCCTTAGAACTGAAAAGCATCAAGAGTGAACTGAACTTAAGCGATAGGACACAGATAATTAAATACGAGCCCAACGTCACACATGGCGCTTGTAAAGTTGAAGGTGGGTTCGTTTTAAAATATTTATTATTGTATCTAATTTTATAAATTGAGCCTATAAAAGCAGATAGTGTTTTTAATTTTTTACCCGATTGTGCCAGAATTAGGGCTATTTCTTTTAATGTTCTTGAAAAATGCTCTCTATTGATAAGTTTAGCGTTAATATTTAAAAAACTCGTAAATAATGTCAATTTAACAAATATTTTAAATGGCAGGTTCAATAAAAATGGAAGAGAAATATATACAACACAAACAAAACAACGAAGAAGAAGATATGTTGGACATCGAAGACTCTATACCTACAGCGTTTTTAGTCCAAAAACCAACCCATAAACCCCTATTTGCGACACAAGCTGAAGCCATAGACAGGCCTCAGGAAATTGTCAAAGTAGAGAACACGGTCAAAGAAGAAGAACCGGAAGAGAACAAAGACAATTTGGTCAACAATCTAGAAGAACTACGTAAAATGGCCGAAGCTGTATCCTCTCAACTCGATGCCGCCAAGAAAGCGGAAACTGAAAAGGCTGAAAAGGAAGCGAAAATTGAGAAGGAAGTTAAAAAAGAAATTATGGAACCGGAAGCCGCTCACGCTGTTCTATATTCAAAAATGATGGAAGGGAAATGGTTTTCCATTTTGAGACATGAAAATTCTTTTCTAACTAGCATTAATGAAGAGAAAACAAATGATATACCCATGTTTTGTGACAACGAACATACATGCAGCGAAGTTATCAACTGCCAAGGTCATAAATGGGACGTTTCTAATAATCTACATCTTTTAAACGATCCGAGTCTATTTACGTTGAACTCTATGGTCACCAGTGTACAAGTGCCAGCAAATAATGTTTATACTGATTCTAGTTTGACTATGTCCGGTTTGGATCAAGGTTTGATGGACGCAAGTCTAAATAAAGATGGCGGTCACGAACCGGAAGTTGAGGAGAGTAAGGAACCGGTACGTATATTATATTAAATAAATGAACGTGTGTATATTATATTAAAAAAAAACGTGTGTGTACTTATGTACAGACGTAAGAAGTTATACTTCTTTGGCGTTACAACAAAAATAGCTAAAGATATCATCCCGTTTATCACAACTCTCTGTTTGTAAAGGGAATGCAGCTAACTTCATCATGTCGCTTTTTCCCTGTCGATGTGCGATCGTATCATAAAAATTTTACTCTCATATTTTTTCCAAACGTGTCAAAAGAAATATAACTTCAAAAATGTAAATCACATCTTGTGTCGTGTTATCAATTAAAATTGTTAAATTCATACAATTTTCTATCAATAAACAGGAGAATGATCTAGAAAAAGAGTTACAAGCGGACGCAACGAAAGAGCTAGCAATCCAAAAGGCAAAAGCCACAGGTCTATCCAGCCTGGGCGTGTTGAACTTCAACGCGCTCTCTACATACGTGACATGCGACAGTCCCCCGCCCATACACATGTCGGCGGATGAGATGCAACAGCTGGAACTGTGCAAAATACACGGCTTGCCCAAGAAAGTGGAGGGGAAATATGTTCCGCGGGATTTGAGGTGGGATTTTGGTTTTATATTTAACTAGCGGCTCACCCTAGCTTCGCTCGGGTTCGTCGCTAGGTACGTTTTAAATAGATATAAATAGTTATTAGCCAGTGTTATTAGCCATATAAATATTTTTTTTTCGTTAATTTTTCTGACGTTTTAATACTTAGGTATTAGCCTATTCCGGAATGAGAGAAATCCAAAAATTCAAATATCATAAAAATCGGTTCAGCCGTTCTTGAATTATAAATAGTGTAACTAACACGACTTTCTTTTATATATATAATAGATTTGGTAGATGTATATATATTATATACTACTAATATAGGTTAGTTGTGTTAATTTTAATATGACTATTCTTTATTGCACTTAAAAAGTCCGAGGTTTAATTGGTTATAAAAATATTATCAATTTAAAAAAAAAAATATTTATTATGAATAATGAGATCTGGTAGTTGTATAGCTTGGTCGCATGAAATAACGTCACGTGTGACATACTGCTCAGTACTTCAGAAGCGTGAAATTCATCGTTCCTACGTCTGATCTGTCGCTCGTGTTGAATTTTAGACTCAGTGTTTGTTAATTGTATAATTGTTAATTAAAGATATAGTCAATACACGTTTTATTTGTTCATTACAACGTCTAATGTAAGTCAATTAGATAGATATCAATAAAATTGAAGTGTCTGTTTGTAATGTCAAAATAACAGCTGTTTACAAGTATATACGGTACTTATAAGAAAAAAATAATTAATTTTTGTCTGTCTGTACTATGTTCCGGATGGTCTACGAAACGGTTGGACCGATTTTAACTTTAGTTTAACTGACATATAGCTTTCGCGTTATAAGGAGTAATTGAGGCTACTTTTATTTTAGAAAAAGAATTGGCATTCTGCGCAAAATAATTAAAATCTATGAAATTGTGAACAAAATCCGCGTACACAGGGATGCATCCGAGCGAAGTGAGAATAAGTCGCTATTTAAGGTCTAGTATAGATGTCTCAGAGATGAGATATTTTCCCGCAATAAAATTATCCTTGTTGACCCGGATAACCAGCTATCATCACACCAAATTTCATCAGTCCAGTTGTTATCTCGTGATGCGTTCCCAGACAGACAGAGAAAAAATCTAAAAACTGTAGATTCGGCCTCTGTATCGGTAATAATGTATTTTATTATATGTATAGATAATATATAATATAAACACATATGCAGACACGGCTGGTGGCGTATATCCGAGCCGGAGCAGCTGAAGGCGCTGCTGGACGCGCTGCACCCGCGTGGCGTGCGCGAGCGGGAGCTGCACGCCGCCTTCACGCAACACTTGCCCACATTGAACAACAAGGTATGTATCGTATTCAACGCTGCCAATTTTAGTGGAATAATTCAAAATATCACCGGTCAATCTCGAACGTGACTCCTCTATTCAACGTGACATTGGCGAAATAATTTGTGCTCAACTATCCGCATTAAAACCATTAAATAAATAACTGAACTAAACTAACAACACACTTGTCCCACAGCTTTACATAGACAAGGGCGAGCCGAGCAGCCAGCTGCCCGCTACGGCCGTGCCCGCGCCCGGATACTTGCCGCCCGACGAGCCCAACACCTTCTGCGCGGTAACTGCTAGAAGAGTTGATATGCAGTTGTTGTCTATGGTATGTTATTTTTAAAGTTCTATATCTCAATAGGAAAATAAGGAACCCTTATAGGTTCATTCCTTTGTCTATCTGTCTGTCTGTCAAGAACCTTTTTTCTCAGGAACGCGTGGAGGTATCAAGTTGAAATTAATATCAAATACTCAAAGCAGTACCTTAGAGCTACAGCTTGGCTACAGCCGAAATTCCGTTTTGTAATTTACACGCGAGCGCGCTTATCATTTTCTTCTTTTGATTGTGTAGAATTGTAAATAAATAAATATGGTGTATGTAGGTGGAAGCATTAGAAGCGCGATTTAATCACAGGGACATACCACTCATTTTCTTAGAGAATATAGAGTTGTATACACTATACATATAAATAAAATTGAAGTGTTCGTCTGTCATTTTAAAATAAATATATTTTCTCAAGTATATGCAGTTATTTATGTGATACCACAAACTAAACAGGCCTTTTAAAAAAAACTGTTTGCCAGGGTTATATTTGGAGCGGCTTTACTGATTGCAATGGGACTTTCACTGAAAGATAGACGAGCTTGCAAAACTACAATCTACATATGAAGTATGTTTTATTTCGGATATATTTAGGGTTCCAGCGCGAAAATCGATTTACGTTTATAAACTGCCAGTATTGAATGCCAAGCTCCAGTTGTGATGTTGGGGGTCTCGACTAAATAGAACACGCTTCGTTAGTGGAAAGAGTGTTATGTCGTTGATAAGATGACCGTATGTATGCACATGGCGAGAGGCGGCCAGTTGATTGAGAGACCGTTTAAACCGGTCCAATTACGCGTTTTTGGAGCGCCTCGATGTGACGTAGGAATAGCCAGTAATAAACAAATATGTTGGGACATTAACACACAACACCATCTAGTTCCATGGTAAGCTACGAAGCTTGTGTTACGGATAACCAAATAGTCGACATACTACACGTATATAACTTCTAAATACTGACATGACAGGAGTATAAACATTCGTGCCCATCACACAAAGTAACGCCCTCAGTGGGATTCGAACCTGCGACCTCTGGCACAGCAAGTTGTGTCACAACAAACTAAGCCAAACGTGTAGTTAATATATAACATACTAGCGACTCGCCTTCGCTTCGGTCGTGTTCGTCCCCAAATTGATTCCCCATACAAACTTTTATCTTTTCCCCATACAAAACTATCCTATGCCCTTCCCAGGGTCGCAAACTATATTTTTACCGAATTTCATCTAAATCGGTTCAATAGATCCAGAGATTACCCCCTACAAAGTCACAAACTCACAAACTTTACCTCTTTATAATATTAGTATAGATAACATTAATTTTTCCCAGGTGGAAGCGTTAGAGGAGCGTGTAGCGGCTGCGTCTATGCAGGTGAAGGGATGGCGCGCGGCTCGTCTGGCGCTACCGGCTGCAGCCACAGGCGCCGAGATAGTGGCTCGAGCTCGGCACAAGCTCGCCTCCCTCGAGGCTCACATTGAACGCCGCTACCTGAAGCCTCCGCTCGTACAGAGGTATGTAGCCGGTTCTTATCCCGTCTAAGGCTTCTTGTTTGAAAATTGGTAGTATACTCGTGATGTTCGGTTAAATATTGTAATGATTTAATGCTGTGTTAAATATTTTCAATTTGAATATGTGTGGGTATATACAATTGTAGTGCACATGTGTGTGCCGCTACTGCCGCCGGTGTAGGATCACCTTAAAACGTGCTGTCTGAGGTGTAGAGATGAAACACCTAAATTTTTATCCAACTTCTAAATTTTTACTGATTTTTTTTGACAAAATACTCAATCACTAAACTTGGTCCGACCCGGGACTTGAACCCAGGACCTCCGTAACAGTAACTGGAGTTCCAAAATCCTTGTATTTTTAATTTAATGGAACTGCGAATGGGATTCTATTAGTATTATAAAGCTGATCTCGCCATAAGCGTATATCTAATGACGGTACCTCAAGCCAAAGGTGGTGCAGAGATTTTTTTTAAATATAGGGATAACTATGTACTTGCTTATTCACTTCTTATTTGTATACTAGCGACTCACCCTCGCTCGGGTTTGGCCCTAGTGAATATTTAGGTTTGTATGTGTGTTTTTGTTACCGTATCATAAAAAATTTCAAATAAAAGATTATGTCCATAATTTTTTTTTTGCGGTAGACCACCATTATCTTTTAGGGGTAAGAAAAATAGTTTACGTTCTATTCTCAGACCTACTGAATATACACACAAAATTTCACAAGCCGTTTCGGAAGAGTTTTGTTACAAACACTGTGACACGCGAATTTTATATATTAGATTCTATGCTAGTGATTTACCCTCACTCTGTTCGGATGCGTCCCAAAGTGCCGTACAGTAGCCTATGTGTCACTCCAGGAATGAACGTCTCGTTAAAAATGGTAAAGCCCTTAATTACTTAATTTTTGTTTTCCTAAAATTAAAAAAAAGTGTGTGTGTGTGTACTTATGTACGCACGTGAGAAGTTATACTTCTTTGGCGTAACAGAACAAGAATAGCTAAAGATTTCATCCCGTATGTCACAACTCTCTGTTTGTAAAAGGAATGCAGCTAACTTCGTCATGTCGCTTTCAGCTAATTTTATCATGTCGCTTTTTAGCTGTCGGTGTGCACGCGCTTCGTAAAAATTTTACTCCAAACGTGTCAAAAGAAGAACTTCAAAAATAAATATACTAACCGTCAGTAAACATTTTGTTTTATAAACACGTAGACATTTATGGGAGATTATGATGTAATTATAAAACTCAATTTGGCCATTTATTTGCAAACACCAAAAAAATAGTAATATATAAATAATTATATTTTATTTTCCATTCTAACGAAGGACATGTTGCAGCACGACAGAGGCGACGTTGGGAGCGGTGCTGCAGGCGGAGCACGGCAACGCGTCGGTCTCGCCTCATTCCGAACAAGCTAGTGAGGCTAAGAGTGAGTATTATATATTATTGCTTTAGCTACTATTTACAAACTGTTTGTGTATATTGCTAATTATTGATAACCTTTACTTTTATAGGCCAGTTTACACATATGTATGTATTTATAAGATAAAATATATACACACAAAACACAAAAATAAATCTTAGTTTCTACTGTACTAGTTTAGTTTTATTTGATCTGTGTTTTATAATATGTAGTGAATGTATAACATATGTGAAATCTAAATTATTCGTAGGTATTGTTGTTAACAACGTTATTATCTAATGTGTGATTTATAACACGTGTGTCTGTCTGTGTGTACGTACAGCGGACAACAAGGGCATAGCGCGCGGGCTGGCGACGTGGCGCGAGGCGGTGGCGCGCTGCAACACGTCCGCGCAGCTCGCCATGCTGCTGCACGCTCTCGAGGCGGCCGTAGCCTGGGACAAGAGCATCATGAAGGCGGTCAGTGCTCCCTCTATCTCTCCATCCCTCGCCCTCCCTTTCTCGGACCCCCCCCCCCTCCACTCTGTGTGTGTCGGTCTCTTTTTGGCACACTTCAAATGGAAAGGTTTTTTGTTTGAAGAAGACAAAAGGAAGAAATGATTCTTGGGCTCTCTCTCTCTCTATCTTTCTTTTTCTTATATTTTTGCCGATTCGGTTTATTTATATATTTGTTTGTTTATGAATTGGTGTGAGTGAATATTTTAAGTTAATATACAACCAATTTCAATTCAATTCTCTTGTTAATGGCTTCATATCGATTCAATTCAACAGAATGGTGAAGAACTATTGTGACCTCTATTTCTTAGTGTTGATCGTTTGTTCTTACTCTGTCAAAACTATTTATTATGAAGACGTTGAGTGTGATGGCTATTTAATTTTGCTTCTTAAACTTCTTTTCTACGTCACTCTCTTACTAAATTATTTTGACATTATCAAGAATTTTAAAACCTACTGTCGAGGTTTGATTACATATATGATACTTTCTTAGATTTACGCGAATATTTGACATTTTAAATAAAACTATGTTTTCGGATTTTGTCGCGGATTTATTTGCATTTTTGTTTCCCGACGTTTCCATATTCAATTATAATTAAAATTATGAAAATGTTTAAAGTTAAAAAATATTGTAATGTAATTGGTGCAATTTTCATTTTGTTAATTGTGGGTAGGCTGTCTGTAACAACTATACCTTCGAGACATGTAACACCTCAGTCTCTCCCGTGACCATGGATGCTGTAAAGCATTCGAAACGTCGGGAAACAAAAATGCAAATAAATCCGCGACAAAATCCGAAAAGATAGTTTTATTTAAATTGATTACATATATGTTAAAAATTGAAACTAATAATAAAAGCCAATTAAAAAGCATTTTTTTTAAATGCATTTTTTTTTAAATAACAGAACTGCCAATTCTGTTTGTCCGGTGACAATGAGGATCAGCTTCTGTTGTGCGACGGGTGTGACAAGGGCTATCACACTTACTGCTTCAAGCCTAGGATGGAGAAGATACCGGAGGGGGATTGGTGAGAGTTATAATACTGTTTTAATAGGTTTATTACGAATATTGGACATTTTGAATGTTATCTATTTGTCGGTATTTCTTTACGTTTTTTTTTATATTTTAACGGGATGGCAAAAGTTGCAAGTTTAAAATTTAGAAAAAAAATTTACAACGTCAAAACAAAATTTATTGTGTAATCAAAATTTATTTTAAAATATATCCGAAAATAACATTAAAAATTTAAGTAACAGTATAAAAAATGTTCAAATATACAAAAAAATCGAAAGTGCATAATAATATTACAAGACTTCCGCGATACCATTCAGACAAAGAGAAACATTAGCATTCCCAAGGAGCTTGACGTCAGGCAGGCGTGGGGCGGCCGGTCGTTAAACTTTTGCCAAATCCTATCAGCAGTACAAAAGATGTACTGCGCCGACCCCTAGTGATTGGGAAATGGGCAGGGAGAAGAAGAAGAAGACAAAAGTCGCAAGTTAAAGAGTAAGACGCGGGGGAGGTGCTCTATATATATTCATATGTATTTTTATTTAACAGTCGGTCGGTAAACTACCTTAGAGTAACATGTATACTTTTAATTTGCTCCGAGATGGCATTACAGCGCAGTAATTTCGACAATCCTTTCATTCGATATTATTTCCATTAAAATCAAAGAGGATTACCAAATGTATGAATTATTAAACTGTAAACCCTTACAGATACTATATCTATTTTAATTGTGTATGGCATATGAATACCGTGGTAAGTAAGTTAACGGCTAACGGTAGCGTGCGCGTCGTCGTCAGGTACTGCTGGGAGTGTGTGAACAAGGCGCGTGGCGGTACTCGCGAGCGTGTGTGCATCGTGTGCGGCGGCGCGGCGCGGGGCCGAGCGCTGCCGTGCGCGCTCTGCGTGCGCGCCTTCCATCTGGACTGCCACTATCCGCCCTTGGTCAAGGTATATATGTATACACTGTATACACACACACACACACACACACACTTCTTTGTAGTGATAACTTCTTATGGGAGAATAAACCGCTTCGTTACGTAACGCGTTACGGCACCGGTCTGTCTGGCTTCCTTTTCTCTCACGCATACGACAGCGGTAGGCAGGCTCCTCCTCTCTCACTCTAACAGCGCTAGCCGTAACGCTACATATGTATAAAGAATAAAAGATAATTTATAATCATTTAAAAATTTATTGATAAAAAACCTTTCCTTACATTATCATATTAATTATATACATAAAATTTAATTAATAACCTAAACTTTTCTCAAGTTAAACAATTTCAATATTAAATAATTCAACATAGATTAGTTATCACTTCTGTCAGGCGTCTCGAGACGCACGTTTTTTTTTTTGATTCGTGGGGAAACACCTTTACGGGTGCCCGGGTGCGGGGGGTGCGCGGGGTATGTGGGACTCCTGTCGCGAGAAGCGCGAACATACACACACACACACACATACTTTATGCACATATTTACTGTACACACACGTATACTTCACACACACTTATACTCTACTACACACGCACGTGTACTATACACACAATTATATTATGCGTATATTAAGTATACGCACTAAACGGAGCGTGACAAAGCACCTGTGTAAGCCGACGTGATGAGGTTGATCGGTACCGAGATTTTGTCACGGAACCGATGGATCTCATTCCTGGATTCCACTGTCGCTTAATATCAAGCGGCATGGAGTCATCTTGTCAAATGTCAAATAAAAAAAATACTTGTAATCAATGCACACATGTAGTACTATAGTACACACACACGTGTACTTCTTCTAGTTCACATTTCTTTACATTTTTGAAGTGGAACTTGTTTAGAATCGTTGTGATTTAAAAATTTATCTAATCTATTTCACAGATGCCTCGTGGCAAATGGTACTGCTCCCAGTGCATCTCGCGCGCGCCGCCCAAGAAGCCGCGCAAGACCAAGCGGGACAGCAAACATAAGGACGCTAGTGCTAACGCGGACCTGGATTCTAGCATGATACCTAGGTAATAACAATGAACCCTAGGTATATGATGACGTGTGACCTAAATATTCAGACACCTGACACACTCGTAGGTCCAAACAACCTTAGCATTCAAAAATCAAAAGGAGAATGACATTACACATAACTTATTTAACAACTCAATTTCTATATAACCATCATATTTTTTTTGACCTTTTTCTGTTAATAAATCACTAATCTTCATTGGTTTAAATCATTAACTAAGAATATGACAAAACTTATTGTGTTTAACTTAAATCTATTTTACATTAAAAAATCATATTATCATAAAAATCTATCAAAAATATCACCCATCTATACATATAAATAAAATTGAAGTGTCTATTTTAATGTCAAAATAATAGCTTTTTAAACTCATGGACGCACCCAAGCGAAGCAAAGGTAAGTCGCTAGCTTATATAGTATGTTATTCAATATAATGTTTTTCAAACCAGCCCAGCAGCGTCGCACGCATCAACATCAACTACAGCAGAAGAATGCCAAATCACAGCGCAGACTCCAGATAAAGAGCCGGAAAAGGATGAATCTCTCTCCGACCCCCACTGCATCACTACTCCCACGCCCATCCCCAATTTCCACTCTACTCCCACTCCCAATATCCACTCCACTCCCACTACAACATCTACGCCAGTGTCCAATGTGCCCGTGACAGGCGGTATTGGTGATCCAGAGAACGGATTGAATCATCATACAGGTTAGTTGTAATGTTTTTAGATTATATATTATTAATACATATATAATATTTTGAAGTAATAATCTACACTACAATTATAAAGAGGAAAGATTTGTATTTTTGTATGTTTCTAACGAATACACTCACTACTGGACAGATTTAGATGAAATTTGGTAAGTAGATAGTTTGAGACCCTGGGAATGACAGATTATTTTATTATCCCCGAAAATCATCCCTTAAGGAGATAAAACATTTTATAGGGAATCAACCAAGGGACAAACCCGAGCTAAGCGGGGGTAAGTCGATAGTACTATAATATAACATATTTATTATTTATTAATAAATAAAAAAAATAAAAATGCATGTATTTAACAACTGTCTACATCACGCACAGCGGTACCAGAACCCCCAGGGGACGGTCCTTCTCCGGAGAAGAGGCGCGCTCTGCAGTTCGTGGCCGGCAATGGCGCCTTGCAACACGACGATGGCGATGTCGACGGGCACGGTATCATATAAATATATCATAATTATTTTAACTGTCTTGTTGGTCTAGTGGCTAGGATGTATGGTTGCATATCTAGAGGTCTTCGGTTCGATTTCGAGTCAGGCCAAGTGTAGCTATTGAGATTTCTGTTCGCCCAGTGTCATCAGGAATTCGGTATATAAACAGAGAAGAAAATGTACTGAGCTGTTTTGTTATTATCTATTTATACATAAATATATCTAACTAGCGACTCACCCCCTCTTCGCTCGGGTTCGCCCCTAGTGAAAAACAAAAACAAATCTATCCCACAGGAACCGTATATTTTTCCGGGATAATAAATGACCTATGTGCTATGCCAGATTATAATCTATCTCTGTGCCAAATTTCATCTAGATCCGTTCAGCCGTTCTGGCGTGATTGAGCAACAAACATCCATCTAAACTTTCACATTTATAATATTAATGAGTCTAATGGGATACGATAAATCATGTGAAATCCATACAATAAATGACAGAACAAATTTTGAGAAAGTTTGACAAAAACATAGATTGAATAAAAAGAACAGAAATATGTAGTATAATTTTTTATCCCCTCACCGTGGACATATATTTTTAATATTAAACCCTTTTGACTTTTCACAGCTGAAGAACATGAATCAGAAAACTTACCATTGCTGTCTAGAGCCAAAAAAGACAAGAATTCAGCCAAGAAATTGCTCAAGGAACTACAGTTTTGCAAGTGAGTGATATTTAAATTTTACCGACAAAAAAATAAAGGGTTATATCGAAATATAGGTATCAACTTATACCTACTTATATTAATATACAAAAAGAACTTTGCTATTAATAATAACTAATAAAATATGGAAGTCTGCCCGATTTGTTGACATTTATGATTACTGCTCCGCTCCCTTGGGTAGTAGCATGTTGATATATAGCCTATAGCCTTCCACAATGAACGGACTATCTTATGCAAAAATATTTTTTTAATCCGGATTAGTAGTTCCTGATAATAGCGCTCAAACAAACAAACTCTGTCTCTTTATAATATTAGTATAGATATTAAATGAGCATTTTTTGTATATATATATATATCGTGTATCTCGGAAACGACTAACGATTTGGATCAAATTTTGTATTTTGAATAAACGCATCAATGCAATGACTAGATGTTAATATTTCGAGTTTCGGTATATTTGATTTGTTTGTTTTACATTGCATTTGACGAAAAGCCAAATTATTTTGATTTTTAAAACTTAAATTACTTAATATTAAAGAATAACTAATTTTATGTTATAATTTAATAATATTATAATGTGTATGTGTAAATATATAAATATACATAATAATATCATTTTTATACAGAAATCTACTCTGCGAAATGGAGTGTCACGAGCACGCGTGGCCGTTCCTAGTGCCCGTCAATACCAAACAGTTCCCGCAGTATAGGAAAGTTATTAAATGTCCCATGGATTTGTCTACGATTAAGAGGAAACTACACGACTCTATGTAAGTACTAACTGAAGAGTGACACTGGACGTTTTCCAATTATAGCACTAAAGCGCATTATGCGGCATAATGCTCAACTTCGAATGCTTCAACAGCAAAGCTCCATACAATTGTGCCCTTTGAAATGTTCTGCTTTGGTGTGATTAACCAACTAAGTAGCAGAATATGTAAGAAGTGTTATTTCGCGTTGTTCGTGTTTGTGCGCCAAAGTGCGGCATTTTGCTATGTAATTGGAAAACGGGGACTAATACTAGAATCTGGGTCTAGTTATCTATATATTGAGCAAAAAATATTATTCCGTTATGGGAATATTTTGAAGATGTAAATATGTGGGATTACTATTAGTTGATATTCAAGTAGGATAAGAACATAATTTTATATTGGAATATTGTAAATTATATTTAAAAAGAGCAAGTGTTGACTTCCTCTCGGGCTCTACTCGCCAGCACTGCCTTGTATACTCCGAGCCTGAGGTAGATACTTTACAGACTTACATATGGATATTTAATTGTAATTTAAAATTTACGATTTAAAAGTGCTTGTAAAAGTGATACTTTCTTTTATATGATACTCGGGAAGCGGATTTAGGGTTGATGGTTCACATTATTTATTTATTAAAACCTTTTTTTTTGTAGTTTTTTTTAAATCTTTTCTTGTAAATTAAATATTTTGCAGTATTAATATCTATATTATACAAGGCAGTGGTAGCCCAGTGGTAACGCGCTCGCTTGGGAAACCTAGTGAAGCGGGTTCGAATCCCGGGTCTCCCACCACTGATATTTTCATGTGCGAATCATTTCCAACATGATCACCACTTGTCTTATGGTGAAGGAAAACATCGTGAGAAAACCTGCATGGCTGAGAGGACTTCACAAGTTTTCGAAAGTCATGGCAGTCCGTCAACCCGCACTTGGCCAGCGTGGTGGACTACGGCCTGATCCCCCTCGTGTTGTAGGGAAGCCCACGCCCAGCAGTGGGACGATAAAAAGGGCCGAATACATACAATATCTATATTATTAAAAATATTTCTTACAGATATAAATGCAAAGAAGAGTTCGCGTCCGATGTGCGTTTGATCTTCAGCAATTGTGAGGTTTTCAATGAAGACGACAGTCCCGTGGGGCGCGCGGGACACTGTATGAGACAGTTCTTTGACCAACGTTGGTCCCTTGCCTGACCTTCGGGCTTTGACATGGACCGTGGGCCGTGTGGGTACGCGGACTGATAACTGCGAAGTTTAGTGGTGGTCCATCTTTGATTATGTTAATGATGATGATTGATGATAAATGATGGTCCATACTTGAAATATTAATACTGCCTAGTGGTGGCATCTGATTGATACGTTTGAGTTTATATGTGTAGAAATAGTGGACAGTGAAGTGATGGTCCATATTTGATTGTTTGCCAAGAGTTGGCATTTGATTGGTCCGTTAGAAGTTTCTTTTTTTTTATTTGAATACTTTGTGATTGTTGTGAAATTAGAATGCGATGTGTATAATAAAATTATGTACTGAATTACAATATTACATGTTTGGTCCATCGGTCGAAATATTTCTTAACGTTACGTACCCAAGAATTTAGGGTAGTTACGAACGAAATTTGAAAGAATAATAAGATACTTAGTTTTTTTTTTCGCTTTTGATTTATAACTTTATATAAAGATTGCCAAATTTTATGAAGAATGATATATTAAGTGGAATTATGTTACGTTCTTTAAATATAATAGACCCAATATATATTATTACATGATATGATGCCTGGTTTAATAATAATTGATATGGATGTTATGATGAATATTTGGAAGGTCCATATGGACCGTATTAGTTTTAGCTCTTATTAACTACATGACTTTAAAATAATAATAATTATGTCAATTCAACTTTACTTGCACAGAATTAGAAGCTGGACTTTTATTATACATAGTATGTAATAGTAATTTTTGTTTTGCATTTAAATATAATTCAGAATGACTGCCATTTCTACTCAAATGTATGGGAAATGTTTCTGTGGATATACTGAATATGACAATAAAACTCGAACATGACATAACACGACGAAGGCTTTATCATTTACAGTTTTTTTTTTCACATCACTCCATAAATACACATAATTTTTTTTCATATCATACAAAATAATAGAAAATGTAATGAACGCAATAAATAAAATAATTATTTGTACAATAAAATAAAACAAAAACATTCCTAACTCGAAACTCTTAGACCGAAAAGGTCATCGGACGAGACGTGTATATTCAGAATCTCATGTAAAAATGTGATTTATAATAAAAAAAAATAAAAACATACGCACACGCGTAAATATGTACAGATTAAATAAGTTAAATAAGCCTAGAGAATTTAGTCGATGTTGTAATTTTTTTTTAATAATTTGCGTAGCAACGAACCAGTATTCTCTGCGTAAGTTATTGGACTGTAAATGTTTAGGTTTCTAATGTATGGGCGCCATGGAGTCGGTATCGGCTCTCGTCCTCGTTTAAACGGACTTTCATATTGATAGTGTAGACTAGGCCTAAATGGTTAATCGATAGTGGGTTTCTCCACTCGTTTCGTATTAGAACCATAAAATTTCCTTTTTATAGCCAACGTTTCTTTATACGCTTTTTTTTTCATTTTATTTCTGTTGTCTTTTTTTATTCAGTTAACATTGCGCTTGTATAAATAAGTTTAGGTTCTTTTTTTCAATGTATACCGTAATAATTATGAGTAATATTTATTTGTGGGAATTCCAAAACTTAGTACTTAATTTTTGTTTTTGTATTCTGATTGTATTCGGGCATTAATTTTTGAATGTTTTCAATAGTAACTGTACGTCGATATTGATTTTAATTATATATTCTTGCACACTTATGGCTACATAATAGTTTATATTTTTAGTGTAATGTGCGCGTTGAGCATTTGTTTCGTTTTAGTTATGGTCATTCCTGCACAAACTGTGTTTCTACTCGAGTATTTCTTAGTATTACTTAGCAGCTTTCTGTTAACTGGTCACAGATAGACGAAACTTAAATTATTATATATAGATATAAGCTGATATGTTTGAGCCTCTCTCCACTGCCATGATAACATTTTTTGCTGAACATATTTTGGTGGAAATCGCGAGGCGTGTACGAGATATTATAGTTTTATGTTGTGTGAAATGGTTGATTTTAACTATAAAATGGATATATAAATTATATATACGAATAAATAATTAATTTTTGAAGCACTCTGTCTTTGTTTCTATTCTTTTCCCTTTACCTTAGATGTATGTAGATGTGTGCTTGTTCGTTACTTTGAAGAGAATTTTAATTGTTCCTATATTTATGAATATTCGGTTAGGTATATCAAAGAAATAAAAATCGGTAAAACGGCCATCTTTTTAATAAAATATGGAAAATTTCTTAGAAAATCATTAAAAAATTATACTACCGAATAGCGATGGACATTTTTGTTCCCAGTTTAAAGCTGAGATATAATATTTAACTAATTTAGATATCCAATACCAAAAAACTAGACGGCCTTGGCTTGAATAGCTAACGGCCTATATAAAATTATCTATACCTAAAATAAAATTCCGATTGAATCTGTACATTAAATATTATTTGGAAAATCTTATTGAAATTGTCATTATTACCGATACAGAGGCCGAATCTAATTTATACTTTTTAGAATTTTTGTGTCTGTCCCTCTTTCTGGGAACGCATCACGAGAAAACCTCTGTACAGATTTTGATGAAATTTATATACTATTATAGCTGGTTGTGTGGGGCAACATATAGGATACTTTTTACTGTGGCAAAATATCTCATCCCTGAGAAATCTTTATCAAACGTTAAAACGTAACTAGGGACGTAATCGGGTGGAGCGAGGTGAGTCGCTAGTTATTTTTTTAAATACCTGTGTACTAAGATGTGCCAAATATACTTAAAACTAGCTATTTTTTATCATTATAAATAAAATGTACTTGAAACATTTAATCTATGAATATTTTTAAGTAATCTAAAATTTCACATTTAAAATAAAACAAATAAAACTTCAAGTTACAGTAAAATATTTTGTAAAATTTTTATTATTTCTTTATAATATATCTTTAATTCAATTCAATCATCAGCTGTCGCTTGCGCTTTCTTCGCCTTGGCCCGTCTCTGGCTCCTCTTCTTGTTCAGTGGCACGCTGCCCGCTAGTTTGCCAGACTTCTGTAATGCGACCATTTTTGCTGCTTTACCCTGCACGTGATAAATTAAAATTAATATTTAATATATAAATATTTCGTGTCACTGTGTTTGTGCATTCCTCCGAAAGGGCTCGACCGATTTTAATTATATTTTTTTGTATTTTTGGTAGGTATGATAATTTAGGTCGTAAAGTATTTTTCACTCTCCTACCCCCATTCCAATATGATGTTCTCCTGGCCGATTCCGGCCACGGCGGCCAGTCTCATTGAGACTAGCCGACTGCGCAGGAGATATTATAGTGCACAAGTAAACGCGCAGACACAAGTGCACTCTCTATTCCTATCACTCTCATACTCAGGTGGGACGACCATTCGACACGACCGGTGAGAGCTAAGGCGTAGGACCGACGGCTTTACGTGCTCTCCGAGGCACGGGGGTGAAGCCCCGCCTACTTCCCAACTCCGGGCTATTACTGAGGTTTAATATACAGAAAGACTCAATAACTAAACTTTGCCCGACCCGGGACTCGAACCCAGGGCCTCCGAGTGTGCAGCCGTACATGCTAGCCACTACACCACAGAGGCAGTTTCCAATATAATAGTATCCAAATAATTTAATATTATATAAATACAACATAGGGATGAACCCGAGCGAAGCAAGGGTGAGTCGCTACATAACATAAAGCAAGAGTTTTTTCTTGTAGATTGAACGCGGGCGAAGTCACGTGTTCTGCTGGTATTATAATTATTTTTAAAATAGCTTAATAACATTCCACAGTTAGACTGGAATTTTCTTTATAATTTATACTAGCGGACCCGACAGACGTTGTCCTGTCTACACGTCTTTAATTTGAAAATTTCAAACTTTTTTTAATAATTTTTTTGATGAAAATTATTATTTAAATTGCGAATCTAAACCATTCCCAGATCCCCTTGTACGCACACACAAAAAATTTCATCAAAATCGGTCCAGTCGTTTGAGAGAAGTTCAGTGACATACACACTCACAGAAGAATTATATATATAAAGAAGATTTGACACCTGATAGCCTATTCCTCATTCTATAAATAAAAAATATGAGGAAGTGTGTTTGTTTTTAGTTGTTTCAGCAAAATAAATCGCGCTTGAATTCGCCGCGAGAGGGCGCCAGTAAAGAGTGAGGTCTGTACAAATGTCAAATGACACTGAACGTGCACTGTTTCCAAACCTTTCATCGCGGATTTTCACAATAATATTAATTCATGATTATCGTAAAGAAAACCTGTATATTAACTATTTATTTATATAAACTGATGCCGCGCTAACAATTATTATTATATTACATTTACGGCCCTGCCGCACTAACAAATATTCTTTTAACGATTTCGTTAGGACCTCACTCGCCAGTAGCGCCAACTGGTGCCGCCAAAAACGATAGCCATCATAGGGCTTGACCGGAAACCGGTTAGGAAGATATTATATTTGTTTCTTTTTTCACAGACTGAGGACATTATTATTGAATTGAAAACTTCTATAGGCATTTGTTTGGATGGGGAGTAAATTCATGTAAGTCGTCATCGACATGGTCACGTGACGTGTTAACGCTAACGCTCAGAGTGCCGATAGATGTTAAAACCAGATAAATGTGAACAAATTTTAAATTCAGATCACACAATTAATTTGAATATCAAAAAATAACAACTGTTTGTTTATAGTTTTAAGATTTCACTTCTGTTGGCAGTCGTCATGAATGCTTTTTTTTTGTTTCTCATGAAACATACCTTAACTTCAGTTTTACTGAGTTTCGTATTCTGCTGTGCGGAGTAAAGCACGTTGATGCGTCTGTTGTTCAACATTGAATGGTGTTTTGACAAAGCCAGCTGGAGGAATATAATACAAACGAATTAATTATACAATTATAATATAATATTTAATGAGCAATGCATTTGTATATATAAATTTATTTCATATTTGTCGAAAACGGTTTGGATCTACTTCAATTTGGATGTATTTTGATAAAGTTTTGCATTTTACGTTTATTACCTATATAGTAGGTGTTGTAATAGGTGTTGGTTTGAAAAAAAAAATTACATCTTTTTCAAAAAACATCGAGCTAAAGGATCTAATAACACATAGTAAGGCTGCAAATTTTGAAAACTTTAAAAATCTATTTTACACCATGTTTGTTCACTGGACATAAAAATAACAAACTTCAAATGTACAAAATAATTTTAAAAAAATCATGTGCGTATACTTATTGTACGCACGTAAGAAGTTATACTACTTTGGCATAATAGAACAAAAATAGCTAAAGATTTTACCCCGTATGTCACAACTCTCTGCTTGTAAAAGGAATGAAGCTAATTTCTTCATGTCGCCTTTCGGCTATCTGTTTGGCTGGTGTGCGCGCGCATAGTAAAAATGTATTTAAATTCAAAAATGTTGTCTATCTAAATAATAGTGTATTTACCTCATAACTAGGTTCATTTTTTAGCTCCACATATGCTATGGCAGATTTCTTTCCTTCCTTTGCATTCGGTATCCTCACATCCACTATGTGGTCTTTCAACTCAGAGAAATGTTTCATTATCTGCAATATTATTTTTTATACAATATAATAGGAGATACTATAGTACAGTGCGTGTGTCGCCAATTCCGAGGCACCGCCCGCGCCCGACACACCGCCTACTTCCCAACTCTGGGGTGTTGCCGGGACTTTCTTGACAGAGAGACTCAATGACTAAACTTGACCCAGGACTCAAACCCAAGACCTCCAAATGTGAAACTCTATGAGCAAAACTGCAGGGAACCCTTAGTTATAAGCTAATAAAGGTATAAAAAACTAACCTTTTCTGTATCAATATCAAGTGGCAAGTTTCCAACAAATGCAACATATCGCTTTGGTCCTTTCACTTTGTTCTCATTTTGTTTTTTCTCATCACTTTTGGTTTCACCATCTTTTTCATTTTTCACAGCTTTTTTGGGGTTCTTCTTCTTATTTTCATTTTCTTTTTTAGAATCATCTTTTTCCACACCATTTTCTTTGGCCTCTCCAGTTCCATTTTCAGAATTATTTTTACCTTTGTTATTTTTCTTGTGCATCTTATTTTTTGTCACTTTTGATAATCCACTGCTTTCTTTAGTAGTAGCAAGTTTAAGCATATTATACAGTATTCTTATCTTCCGAAGTTCTGAGTCTGATAGACTCTCTGTATCCTTTACTATTGATTTTATCTTGTTATGAATTACATCGGGAAGAATTGATTCTGATGTCCCCTTTAAATTGTCTCTAAATTGTTGTCGAATTCGACCTGCAACCATAGTTTAATAGTAAAAACCCATAAAATATTTTGTTTTTATGTTTGTTTGTCACAACATGATGACTAACAATTCAACCAATTGTTCTTCAGTTGTCAAGAAGTTTATAACATATAGCAAGATGTAGACTGTTCTCTGATCACTCTTAATTCAAACAAGTGTTTTATGATTTATCTTATTATAGAGGGAGTTGTCTCTCTACTTTGGTCTTACTTCTGATAAAAGTTATCAAAATAAATTATAACAATTTGTAATTAGAATTACATTACATACCTTTTTGATTATTTGTAATTGACACTGCAAGAAATTTTGTCACCAAATCTTTGTTTTTTAATATAGGATATTTCTCTGCTAGTTCCTCAGAAGGAAGATTTTGTGCAACCTAAAAAATAATGTCAAAACATGACTTTTAAAATGTATTTAAATCCAAGAATTTATTGAGAAAAATATTAATATTAAAATGAATTATTTTCTTAATTTGGTTTCAAATGAGAGTGATAATATCAAAAATAAATTCTTTTTAGACTAATTTTAATGCACATAAAATTTCCCTTAGCCAATATCAACTTATCAATTAAATCAATCTTCATACACATTAGAAGAAATAAGTATATAAATGCATAGAAAAAATTATATATATCACCTTTTTTTCTCTATCTAATACAGCACTAACTTCATTTTTATTCATTTCTTCCTTTTCTGCTATCTTCGCTGCAGGTGCAGCATTTTTCTTCTTATCTTTTTTTCCTTCTTTAACTAGGGTGACCACATTATTCTGTTTACCTTTTTTTCCTTCTTTAATCACAGGAGCAGCATTCTTCTGTTTACCTATATTTTCTTCTTTAACCACATGGGCCGCATTCTTCGTTTTACCTTTTTTTTCTTCTACTTTAATTACTGGTGCTACTTTCTTATTCTTGTCCTTGTTTAGAGCTACTACCACTTGCTTAATAACTTCAGCCTTAGCTGCGTTTGGTTTTGATTTATTTATTTTTGCCTTACGTTTTTGTTTTGCCTTTGTTATAACAGGCTTGATAGGACTCTCCACGCTAGTAAAAACATTTCAATATATTAAGTCAAAAAATCATTAATTTTATCTAAATATTAATTTATTACTGAAAAAGATTATATTACTATCTAACATGAACATTATTATTAATTAATTACAATTACTAAAATAAAACTCACGGTAATTTCGCCATGAGGGATTTTGAGGTTATATCATGCGGCGTACAAATTAAATATACCTGCAAAGACGCAACTTGCAAACGATTGACAAACAAATGTATGATAAGATACTGTTTTCTGAAACAATAACAATATAATAGAAAAAAACTTGTATTAAGTTTACAAATAAAAACATTCTTTGTTAGGTAAAAAGTTTAATATTTAGTTTTAATGTTAAAACTAAGATACATTTCACACGTGTTATATAATAATAAACATTGCCTTACTTTTTGAAATAAAAACTTAAATGTGTTTTTATTATAACAATAGGTATATATTTAATACAATAATATTATAATTTGTTTACTTGAATAATTTTACGCACCTTTTGAAATTTGAACTATGAACCTGTGACAACTGACAATTACTTTGTAGTTGCCACATAAAATATTAAATAAATATTAATAAATCATAACACCATAATGACCAGCTATAAAAATTCACTACTTTTTCCTTCTCTGTTTAACAACCGATCCTTTATTATTTGCTTAGTATCTATTTATGATATTTTGTGTTATAGTATATTAAATTAATTTTTATATATTATATATAAATTTTTATATATAATATATAAAAATTAATTTTCAGTAGTGATTATGGTTGAATGTCGACCACTAGATATGTTGGGTAAAGAATGAAAGAGTGGATGGATTACCAGGAATCTGGATCGACGTTAGCCCCGTGTAGGGCTGTTGATAAAATATCGAACTATTTATATTATCATTTAGAAATATCGATATTTATTACTAATATTTTTTGGACGATATATCCATAGTTCGATATTGAAATGTAGATATCGATGGTCGATATTTTTTACATATGGACATGGTTGCTACTTCGCAGTTAACTATTTTGCGCAATTTAGTCACGCTACTTAGTCCATTTAAAATAGTAACAGAAGATTTGAGTGCCGAGAAATATGTCACAGCTAGTTTAGTTATACCACTAACAAATTTATTAAAACAAGAAATCGAACAAACTAAGCCATCAACTGCTATTGGAGTGTCAGTACAAAATGATTTATTGAACGGTATTCAAAGTAGATTAGTGCCTTTACAAGAAAACCTTTTTTTGGCCAAAGCAACTATCTTAGATCCTCGCTTCAAAAAATTACATTTCATGTCGGCATTGGCTGTTGCTAATGCAATCAGATCTATCAAAAGAAATAATTGCAGAACACAAAATAAGAGGAAATCGTTCATACCTACAGTAGGCGCTCCTCCATGTGGAGAAAAAGAAGCAACTTCATCCTTATGGGATGAAGATATGCTCTTGAAAAATATGGCCGATACCAATTAAGTTTCTGGTAAAAGTTTTGGTACGATACCTGCTGAATTGAAGCAGTATTTAGATCAGCCAAATATTTCGAGGTTATCAAATGCGATAAAATTTTTGATCGATAGTAGGCATTTTACTCCCGTGCTATCAGAAATAGCTGTTAAACATTTAATTCTTCAGCTACATCTGTAGCATCTGAACTAGTTGCTTCTACTATCAATCTGTTAGTGCCTAATAATCGTAGTAGTCAAACAGCTGAATATATAAAACAAAGAGTATTTTTAAAAACTCTTACTGAAAAAGTTTGGTACACATGATTGTCTCACTTAAATTAAACAATAATTACTAAGAACTATATCCTAACACTTTTATACATTTATCGTTTAATTTGTTTAATAAATATACTGAACTATAAACTGTGTAATAATTTTTGACCTGCCTTACAATATTTTTTTTAAATAAAGCCGATATATCGAAATATCGATATTTTTTTTCGATATATCAAGCTTCGATATTGATATATTTAAAAATATCGATATATCGAAAATCCGATATTTTAAAAAATATCAACAGTCCTAATATATATATAATTGCTACATAAATAAGTTGACACATCGCTAGTGGATAGTTTTGTTTGGCGCGATATCAAGAAATCATCAGACATTTCGCGAAAAATATTGTATATACTTTCTTACTGACACAGGTAAACCATAAAAGTTTAAAAGTTATTAACAAAGAAAATTAAATGGAAATACAATAACTAACTCAGGGGACTGAATCAAATAAACTAGCAATCTTTGAGAAATAATATTAATATAGTAGGTAGGGACTCCTATTTTTTTTATTTGAATGACAGAAATAGAGATATGAAATTGTAATTGAGTCCATTTAATATTTCATTTAAGGTTCGTATTATTATTATTTATTGAAATTCTATAAAATGCTCTTAATTATTTTCTTCGATTGTACTAAGTATCCATACATATTATGTATACTACTAGCAGTACCCGCGGCTTCGCTCGCGCTAAAACTACAAAAAAATCTCTATAAAAGTAGTTTCATACAAACTTTCATCCACCATTTTACCCCCTTATAGCATGAATTTCGAAAAATGCTAAATAACATATTTATTTAATTTTATTGAAGAGTGTTGATACCAAGTTTCAAGTAATTTTGATCATAAATATTTTTTTGTATTGTATCATAAAGTGTTTTCCCGTGAGAATTAGGTAAACTCCTGCGTTATAAAGTAGCCTATGTTACTCTCCAGCCCTCCAACTATCTCCACACAAAAAATCGCGCCAATCCGTCATTCTGTTTCGACTTTAAAGAAGAACCAACACACTTTTCGATTATGGGAAGGATGGCAGCAATGACAATGAGACCAAGCTTTATTGAATCATCTTTAGCATGATCATTAAAAGTAACATAGTATTTAAATTTGTTACTAAATAATATATATATATATATATATATATATATATATATATATATATATATATATATATATATATATAATTAATACAGTCAATCTATTCCATACTAACCGTTAAAACAGACCCAAAGAAACGAACCCGAGTGAAGCGAGGGTGAGCCACTAGTACATAATAAATTAAAGATTAAACTTATGTCTTTTATCATTAAATTATAAAGTGAATTCAATAAATTTATTGTATTTTTTTATTTCTTTAAGACAATTTTTTTGAAGAAGAACAGGTAACCAGTATTGATTAAATATTGCAAAATGAATAATCGAAATGTGCAAACATCTAGCAATGAGGAGAGCAGCAGGTGAGTGACATTATACTTGAGCAACTATGCCATGATGTAAAACTAAAAACATCTTCTTTAGATAATATTAGACAAGCAACACTCGGATATATCAGGCTTGTAATACTTGAAGTATACATTATTTATTTGTAATATTATGCACTATCATGGATGAAATCTGATTAATATAATGGGGTAGAGAGAAAAACAAATCCCTTAGCTTGGGGGTAGAATTTGTAGTTTATAAAAAATAATTTGGGAAATAAAAAATTTGAGGTGGCCCACCAATATATTTTTAAAATACAAAATTTAAATTTATTAAATGTAAAAAAAGTCTTGAAATTGTTTTAGAAACTGTAGAATATCTTCCTTAAAGACAATAAAATTATTTTTTTCGCTCCACCCTAATATATAATTAAATAGCACATCTTTGATTATGTATATGTCAGGTCATAATCTAGATACAAGTAATATCTAAATGTCTGTCTGTGATTTTGAAATGTCTCTCCTTTATCAACTTTATATGGTATAACTATTTGATTTGATACAAAACCTTTGGAGTAAATGGTTTTATATTCTTATGGACTTGACAAGACTTTGTGTCTCTAGTGGGGTATAAATATATGTTGCAAGGCACAAGACTTAAATTAGATCATGAAAAAAGGCTTTTCATAGGTTATGGAATAGAAGAAGAATAACTTGATAGAATTTAATGACATCTTTATTTGCTGGTATAGGTTGCTTTTGTAATTGATATAGTAGACTTTATAATCAGCTACTAGGAATAAAATTCTGTGGAAATTTGTAGATTAAACTCAGCAGGGCTGTTCAAAGCGGGGTGGGGAGCCGCATGTGGCATTTCCTCTCATCAATGACAGATAATTCACTCAAACACGCAACAACTAATATTAATGTTGATAGAGTTGTAAAAGATAAATTAATTAAATATAGGTATTTTGCTCTGACGGCTCTCCAAACTGTATAGTGATTTATATTGGCCCGCGATTGTATCTGCTTTGGGCAGCCCTGGATTAAAGAATAGAATAAAATGTATATTTTTGTGAGTTGTTATTGAAAGTAATATCATTATTATTACAGCAGCACACCGTCAAATAATAATGGGGCCAAAAAGACATTGTTCGCCTTGAAGAAAAGAATGTGTAAGTTGTGTGTATGATGCATTTTTTATATTTAATACTAGCCTTTGCTTCACAGCTCCACTTGCACGCTAAGCATAGCGGGATAAAGCTACCCTATGGTTGACCGCATGATACAATCTATGTATGTCTTTGTCTATGCTGTCCTCTTATATACAGGATGAATTTTTCAAGTGAGCGTGGATGGCCAAATCGGAAACTATGAGGAATAGTGAAAAGTACTCAAAGGAGTCTCGGGCCCGATTTTGATGAAATCTAAAACTGCTTCATTGGATTTTTGAAAAATCAAGTTTCCTAGCCAGGAATCGAACCCGTTGATTTTGAAAAAAAAAACATACTGTGTTATTACACCATTCGGTAGTGTCACTAACAAGGAACCAATGCTGGGAAGTAATGTCATATGGTAAATTTAAGGAAAGAGCTCATTTTTAACAAAACATTTTTTTAATTTTATTTGTTACCTACATTATTAAACCTTAACTGACGAATTGTTCAAAATGATGGCCATTGTTTTTAATACATAGCAATATATAAATAATAATAATAATATATATATATATAAGAGGACCTTGAGCTTAAAGAGGATCTGGCATATGGTAGCTTTATCCTGCTATGCTATTTTAAGACTGTATAGTGTATAATGATTGACGTCACGCTAAGAACATAATAATTGTTTTTCAAATATACATTTGTACACGTAAGACGTATGTATAGTAATCGACGAGGTGGCATCAATGTCTGTGTGCAAGTATATGTATGAATTGAATTTTCGATTTGTTTTTTTTTTGGTATATTTGGGGTTGAAAAGTAAAAAATACACCAACATTTTTGGCCATTTTTATTTTTAATTAAATTATCACGTGTATAGCATTAAGAATACAAAAGCAGTTAACTTGTAACTTTTTTAAATATTGTGTAATACGGTCATAATTTTCGCTTACCTTTCATCATGTTGGGTCGTTAATAACGAGCATAAGGCCATATCTAAAAAATACAACATAAATAAATTAAAAATTAAAATCAAATGAATAAAAATTATTTCAAACGTATGTATGTATGTATGTATATATTATGTTGAGTTATTTTGTTGGATGGATCGCCATTATCGTAACTACCGTGCTGGTAATATTACATACAGTATTCCATCTTTATACAAACGGTCGGAAATCTAGTTATACCTACGCGCGTCGCGTTCGGTATACACTCGGTAGACAACCGTCCGGGGCTGCCACATCGTATAATTGGATACGGAAATTGTATAAGGTGGTTATGTTACGTAACTTTTATAATTTTGATACAAAAATAAAAATTTTATTCCTCCCGTAACTTCGCTAATGTCAAACAAAATAGTATCGAGAAATCGTATGTTTTAAAAATAAAAATTAATGAATTAAATTAAAAATTAAAGTATTTTTAACTAAACTTTTTATCCGAATGCGGATTCTTTATACTATTAAATTTAACAATAAACTTTTCGTACGTCTCGCTCGAGAAGCAAATATTTTTAAATCTCAAATTTATAAGGGTCACATACCAACCTTATAAATTTGAGATTTTTTAATTAAATCTACTAATAATAGTTTTAAATAAAAAATATAATAATCGAAATCACAAAATTAGAAAGAAAATCAAGTAGGTAGATGAAATTAAAATACTGGCCGGCGGGCAGCCCTGTCACGTGGGTACGTGCCGCTCGGTTGTAGGTAATTATTTCAAGGACAAGCCCGAGTTGGAGTACTGTATGCATTACATTACCGTGGTAATAGGGTCGTGTGCCCGAACTATAGAGCGTAGCACTTTTCTCGAAAGTAGAGCTTCCTGGTGTTAAATAAGAAAAACATGGTGATGTAAACAGTGTAATATATAATATTAGTTATGCCTAAATAATGCAAAAAATAATAAAATTTGCTTTATTTTACCGATAAAAAATGATCAGATTAGAAGTCAAAACGATAAAACAGGCCAAAAATTATTTGAATCAGGTCATGTTTTAAATGTAAATAAAATGAATAAAAAAATAAAAAATAAATAAAAGCGAAATACGAATAATATTTGTTTTATAATTTGTAAAAACTTGAAAAAAAAAAAATCTGATTTTGATTATTTTCTATATTAATTAAATTATTGAAAAAGCTGTTATTAAATTAAAAAATATTATTTTTAGCTCGATAATAATCTTTATTATTTATAGAAATTTTTTTTAGAACTTGTCTAATATATTATGCCAACTGTGGTATCATATTGATTAAACACAAAATTAAAATTAAAAAAGCCGGATAAGTGCGAGTCGGACTAGCACACCAAGGGTTCCCCCCCAACGTGCGTTCACCTTGTCGTGGTGGGGGGGCTCAGTAGTGCCCGGCAACCCAACCGGGCGCGAAGCCAAAAAACGCACAGGGAGGTGGCCCACTTCGGTGGGCGGTGGGAGGTGTACCATGCGGGTTGCTCCTGGTACTTCTCTGATAGCAGAGTGGACTGTGGAGCAACCCCGTGGTTGTTGTGGTCTGCTTCGGCAGACCTGCCGTCGGGGCGTCGTAGTTGAATGCGTAAGCGATCCTGCGACGCCCCATTAAGACGGGGGAAGGTTTTGTTGGGTTTTAGTGGGTAGTACTGGCTTTGCCAGTGAGTCCCACACCTCGTGCGTAAATGCATTTCCCAACGTTAAAAAAAAAAAGCACACCAAGGGTTCCGTACAAATTTGTAGGTAATGTGTTTAACTTTATTATTCATTTTTTTATTTTTGGATTTTTTTCCTTTTTTTTTGTGTTTGTGATTATTTGTGCTGTAAGACCTTGCTTTTTGCCAAATTTCGTGATTCTAGGTCAACGGGAACTACCATATACATAGGTTTTCGACCCAAACCTATAGAGTACTTCCGGTTGACCTAGTATTGCCAATTTTGGTTAAAAGAAAGGTCTTAAAGCATAAGTAAAGGGGAAATTCCGAAAAATAAAAAAAGTTGATAATTAAGATATATGTTGGTACTTACCAGTTTTCGCGAAAATCTAAATTTGCCCATATTTTTTTGTCGTGTTGACTCAGGACGTTGATTTTTATACACCTAATAATTACTATAGACCTCAGTATCTGGTATAAATTTCAACTTGCTAGGTCCACCCGTTCCTGAGAAAATCGGTATTGACACCCGCACAGACAGACGGACAAGAGAGTTCCTTTTTTAATTTTTGGAGGTACGGAATCCTAAATAATATTTTTTTTTAATACAAGACTTTACACGTGGTTGCTTATTACGTTTATCTATTTTTGACGTTTGAAGGTTATCCACGCAGTGTTCAATGAACTTTCCGGGAAACGATAAAATTTCAATTGCGTATTATTTTATACGGCATATTTGAACAGCCACGAATACAACAAGATACTTTTGATGAAGATATCACAAACATTTTTTTTAATTAACAAAAAATAATTATAACGCAAAACTAATACTGTTTACCATACTTTTTGTGTTTTTTTCCAGCAGATGGCATAATCGTCATCTTACTCCCTATAGCCTTTGCTATTTTTTTATCCCACTGCGGCAAGCCAAAGAAGTGTTATGTGTTTGACCAGTATGTGTGTATGTCCGACCCTACGTTCCCTCGTAATTATTAAACGGTTAATCGATTTTGATGATTCATAGATTCGTCTTGATAACTCGAGTGTCATTGGGTATATAGTTATAATAAAAAATCAAAATGGCGGATCATGAATTTTATAATGTAATTTTTTTTTTCAGTTTCATCACCAAATCAGAGGGCAAGTGACATAATATCCAGAAATGTAAGTACTTTTAGTTATATGTATGTAATATGCATGTAAATATAAACTAGCGACTCACCATTGCTGCGCTCGGATTCGTTCCTGCTTACGTTTTAAAGTCTAATATAGGATTCTCAGAGATGACACATTTTCCCGCAGTAAAAAGTATCCTATATGTTGACCGGGATAACGAGCTATCATCATACGAAATTAATCAAAATCCCTCTAGTGGTTTTTCCATGATGCGGTCACAGACAGACAGCCGAAAATTCAAAAAACTATCGATTCGGCCTCTGTATCGATAATAATGTCTATTTTAATTAGATTTTCCAAAAAATATTTAATGTACAGGTTCGGCTTAGTTACAATTTTATTATATGTATAGATTGTAGTTAAAATATTGTTGTTACATAATACATATATTCGTTAGTTTCTTTATAGATATGGAAATGGATTTGATTTGTTTTATGTGAGCTCGTTAAAACACTTAAAAATGTGACCTCTATAATATAATCATAAATAAGCTGTTCTATATCGTCGCTTTTACCGTCGAATTGTAACATACATACATAATTCAAATAAATCAAATCAAAATAAAACAAATATTTTATTCAATACACATTTACAAGCGCCTTTGAAACGTCAATTTTACATTTTAAATCTAATTTAAATGTCAGTATGTAAGTTTTTAGTGTGTGTTAAGTTTTTTTGTTTTTTAATGTTTCAAACTATAACTATCTAAAATAATACATGAATGCATGTATTCAGCCCTTTTTAACGTCTCACTGCTGAGCACTTTCCTGCCTTGAATACGAGGGGGATCAGGCCATAGTCCACCACGCTGGCCAAGTGCGTGTTGTCGAACTGAGAATGTCTTTCGAAAACTTGCTAGGTTCTCTCAGACATGCAGGTTTCCTCACAATATTTTTCTGTACTATAAGACAGTGGTAATCATGTTGGTAATGATTTGCACGTGAAAATGTTAGAGGTGTGAGACCCGGGATTTGAACGCGCTTCACTTGGATTCCCAAGCGAGCGCTTTACCCCTGGGCTACTGGGCTAGGCTGGGTCTAAGTTTAGTTGTCCAAATTAATGAATAATTAGTGTTAAATAATACGGCTGGTATATATGTATCACGAGTACTAAAAGACCTAGTTTGGTCTCGGTTTGGCGAATTAGGTAATGAGGATCAGTACAGTTATAGCAAATTCCATAGAACTAGTATCCACGTTATTTAATAAGACATAAGAATGATATATCTTTTTGAATTTTCAAAATCGGACCATAACTTACTAAGATATTAAGTAATAAACATTACGCCGTTCCTGCCGGCAAAATCCATGTACGCGGGTGCGTGTGACGTCACTGTGATGGAACGAACGTAGCCGGCCCGCCGCCCGGGCCTCTTACTTCACAATTCGACGGAGAGCGCGCGACGCGATTAGCTACTATGTTTAGTAATTACTTATTTAGTGTTTTTTCAAGTGTGTTTGTGATATTTAAATATATTTAGAAAGTATCTACATCTATTCGTATAATAAAATTCGAACTAAGTCGAATCTGTACATTAAATATTTTTTGGAAAATCTTATTGAAATAGACATTATTATCGATGCAGAGGCCGAATCTATAGTTTTTAGCATTTTTGTCTGTCTGTCTGTCTGTCTGTATGTACGAGTATGTCTGTCTGTTACCGCATCACGGAAAAACCACTGTACGGATTTTGATGACATTTGGTATAAGCTGGTTATCCGGGTCAACATATAGGGTACTTTTTACTGCGGGAAAACATCTCATTTCTGAGAAAAAATACAAAAACTGCAATGTAAGAGTATACTAATATGTAAAACTGACGTAATTTTCCATATCTTCTTTTAACTGAAAATGTATATATATATATTATAAAACTTAAAAAGTATTTAACACGTAGTGCAGACGCGTGAGCTGTGTCAGCAGGCAAACGACCTGGGAACTTACGAAACACGACACCCTGCGGCCAGAAGTCCTCCTTCATGAAAGCTGGCAGATGATGAGTCGGCACTCTCACCAAAAACGAATTGAAACTTATTTTGTGGCGAGGTACCAGCCGCTCAACCCTCAAATAACCCATACTTCACTCTTGTTAACCAAGAGCAATAAAACATCAATAGTGAAAAAGACGTGCTTTAATTTCCGATCCCCGAACTCATAGAATGTAACAATATTATATGTCGTAAGCAAATTATAAAAAAATATAATAATATATATTCTATTCCTTTATTTTACTAACAGTATGGTTCATATTGCGAATATAAAAAAAGATGTTTAAATCTGACCAATCAGTGACCGTTTCACCATTTAACGGCTTTTTATTGAATTATCTAGTGAAATTGTCAACATTTCAATGATTCAGAATATCACTGAATGTGCTCAGGGAAATTATAATATACCTAAAATATTCAGTGATATTGCAGAAAAAGAAGACGATCGACTATTAATTTCACTAGTGAAATTATAATTTGACGGATCTTACAATTTCCCTACGACATATTATATAGCTTGTATAATGTACATACATATGTACATATATATCTACATATATATAAGACTGATTGCGTGTATTTAAACTAATAAATTTAAATTATCTGATACTGGCAACGCACGCTTGTTTCACTCGGGTTCGTCCCTTGGTAAAATAATAATGACTATCACGCCCGTGCCTTTCCACGCTTAAACTTTGGAAAAAAACCTATTACCAACTTTCATCGAGTATTTCCTTACTATCACTTTAAATTATATATAATGTAAATGCATTTCCCAATATAAAAAAAGAAACTTCTTATGAGGTTTTAAGTTTGCACCATTTTTACTTTGAGATTTAGCGATTAACCAGTGAGTGGTATTTCAAACAAACGTAGTTATATTTTATATAGATAACTTAATTTCAGATATCAGATAGGACTGTTGCGAATACAAATATAGTGGATAGCACAATACAGCAAGATCCAGAAACTAATTGTTCTAGTGCCAACGACGAAATTCTATCGAGCTTCAATCATTTCTCCGCCGAAATTTCTAGAATATCTGAACACCGAGCGATAAAAGAGGATGTGGTATGTTTATTTCCCGATTTTATTTTAGGGCTGTCGCCTGTGATGTTACAGTGCAGATTCGACCATTACAAAAGTGAATGAGAAGAACTGAGCATTACAGTGCGCAACCTATAATGATACCATTTTTAACATCGTGATACAATGTGTAACGCATTAATACTTGTTTGATTGTTTGTTCGTTTCTTCGTGAGCGAAGCCGCAGGTTCTGCTAGTAATAAATATAGAAATAAAGTATATTTAGTCTTCAAAGTTAATAAATCTTTTATGGGCTGACTCTTTGTTAAGCGCGTCTATTGAGAACGGCTGATTTAGCACAAAAACGGCAGATATGGCATTTTTTTAAATTGGAATGTCAGTAGTATTCCGAAAAACTTTCGGGAAAACTTGAAATGTTGAATTAATGTTAGTATGGAATAGATAGTCGATCCCTTGGTCTGTGAAAAACAAAAACAAATCTATCCCACGAGAGCCATACATTTATCCGGGATGAGAAGTAGTCTATGTGCTATTTAAATACTATAATCTATCTCTGTGCCAAATTTCATCCAGATTCGTTCAGCTGTTCTGGTGTGATTGAGTAACAAACATCCATCTATCCAAACTTTAGCATTTATAATATTAATTGGATGACACAAATGATTTTCTAATCAAAATTTCATGGAAATTTGGGCAGGCAATAAAAAAAGTTTGTCGGAACAGTTAGTATAATACAGAATTCCTTAAAATATTTTAGATTTAGATTTTCAAGATTTTAAATAAAAAGTAAAATACAAAATCGGCTAAGATATACGCTCATATTTAATATATTAAGGTTTAAATTTATCAATAATAATAATAATTTCATTTGCATAAATTTTTCTAACTTAAAATCATTTCTAGGACGTAAGTCAACTGTCAAATAATGAAATTGACGAGTGTGGAACAATGTACGGCGACTTATTAGAGACAATAAGTGACGTTTTTCTTAATTTGCCAAAGCATTTAATAAAAACACAGCCAGGATTCAATGACTCGATACACACAAAAAGCAAAGCGGTTGTGGACAAATTGAAAAAAATAACGAAACATCGTACCATAAAATTAAATGCCCAACATAATGGTCCAAGGACGATTTATTCAGAGCCTTCAGTCGAAAGGTCTGATTTATTAGAGAACCCTTTACCATCATCTTCTGGGTCAGTGATAAAATTATGTTCAAGCAGTGAATCTATTAGCGTAAGTCAAAATGAAAGTTCAATAGAGAAAAAAAGTAAAAGCAGTTTCGTTCCCAAAACGAGAAAAAGTACAAGTCTTGACAATGCCGACGACGAGCCGTCCACATCAAGCACTTTGGATAGATTTAGAGCTGCATCAGGAAAGTTACAGCCAGTACAAAATGAGAAACCAAAAAACATGCCTCCACCGGCTAGCTCTGTCCCATTTCAACCTCCTTTTGGTGATACACCCTTTTGTCCCTCATCTGAAAACAGTGTACCAACATTGAATGACGAATTTGAATTAGAAAATGTAGATTGGGACGATGATATACAAGATTTCAATGATGCTGTAGACATACCAGTAGACGAAGCAGATTGGCCAAAAGACAGACCCGAAGACATTGAAATGCAAGACGAAAGAGTAGATGAGAGTGATAACAATCAAAGAAATGAAGGCGGTGAGTTTTTTTTATTTCTTTTCTATATTTAAAATAGATTTTTTAATTTTACTGCAGTTATTAAAAAACTTATATTTATATCAATACAATCGACATACCCTCACTTTGCTCAGATGCGTCATTAGGTGCGTAACAGAAGGCTATGTGCTACTCCAGGTCATCGTTTATCTGTATGCTAAATATCCAAATCCGTCTAGCTGTTTTAGCGTAAAGGAGTAACAAACAAACGCACTCACACACACATACAAACTTTCGCATGTATAATACTAGTGTGTTATGTCACTTTTAGATCGTTTCGACAATGAAAACTATCCTCATTCGGTGATTTTGAGGGAAACTCTCCGAAAGACTTTTGGATTAAGTGAATTCAGACCAAGGCAACTCAGGATTATCAACGCCACTCTCCTAAGACACGACTGCTTCGTCATCTTGCCAACGGGCGCCGGTGAGTCACTTATAATATATATACATATAATAAAACTGTACAGGTCGAATGTTTGTACATAGAAAAAAAAATCTAGAAATCGAGTCAGGGGGTTGTAAGAAGAGAAATAGAACAAACCCAGATTTTTTCAATTTTTTTGTTTCTCTGTCTGTTTGTACGGGCTAATCTCCGAAACTATTGGCCCGTTTTAAATGAACTTTGTATAGTGGTACCTTATATCCCCGGTTAACATTTTAGATACTTTCCATCCCGGAAAATTAAAGGGTTCCCGTGGGATATTTAAAAAACTATAGTAACTTATACAGCTCGGTACACAACAACTTATGCAGCTAATTTAGTAAAACTTTGCATGCTAATAAATATATTGCGGTCAAACAACAGGTTACTTTTTATCCCGGAAAAATGAAAGGTTTCCGTTGGATAGATCTGTTTGTGCTTTTTTTAGTAACAAATAAAAAATACTTCCTAAAAAATATTCCTTAACAACCCAATGTATATAATAAATATAAATAATGTTTAAATGTTTGTGAAGTTAAGAATTTTTCTCCTCTTTGTTTAATTAATAACTTTTTTCAGGTAAATCCCTATGCTACCAGCTGCCGGCCGTGCTCACTCCCGGCGTGACCATCGTCGTATCGCCTCTGATATCGCTAATAGTAGACCAAGTCAACAAACTGCTAAAACTAGGTGTGAGTATGAACTTATTTTGGTTGGACTGTCGTTATAACTGTACTATGTAATTTATTTATCCCATCATAAACATAAGTGTGAAAATGGGAGCCAAGTTAAATATTAAGAATATGCGTGGTTGTCGACTTCGCTGATAAAAGAATTAATATCTAAATGGGTGCCAAGTTCTGCAGATAATCCTGATTTTTTTTCCTAATAACATACAACATTCTAAAATAAATTTTAAACACACAGTTTCTTGTTTTTTTCTGCTACAAAAGTGTTTGGTATTTAAAAATAGAACTTCTTAAATTTGAACAGTCGAAAATTATTTACGCAGAGTAGATAACTAAGGATAAATTGAAGTTTGGACTATATGTAATATGTTTATGTACAATGTACATATATGTAGGCAGTGGTAGCACATCGGTAACGCGTTCGCTGGGTTAGTGAATTGGTTTCGAATTTCGGGTCTCGCACCGCTGATATTTTCATGTGCGAATCATTTTAACATGATCACCACTTGTCTTTACGGTGAAGGAAAACATCGTCAGGAAACCTGCATGTCTGAGATAATCTAACAAGTTTTCGAATGACGTGCTCAGTCCGCCCGCACTTGGCGAGCGTGGTGGACTATGGCCTGATCCTCGTACTGAAGGGAAGCCCACCCCCAGCGGTGGGACGTCAAATAGGGCTGAATCCAATACATACATACATGTGTCCCAGCCAACTAGTTTAATCAGCCGTTTAATTAGCGACCTAGCTTTTTTATTAAACGGCGCCGTTTAATTAAAAGGCCGAAATGATATCCAGCCAATGCGTCTAATACAACATTTAATGAACGGGCTGGCAGATGCTTAGGCCGTTCATAGAATAGGGTAATCGTGAGATGAAAATGAAATATTTAATATTGAAAATTGTTTATTTATGTAGTTAGCGGCGACAAATATATTATATAAGTATGTAATTAAACTTTATTATATTATTATGTACGTGTACCTTTATTATATACTAGCGACTCACCGTTCAGCGCTCAGGTTCGACCCTTGGTACGTTTTACGCTTAGTATAGAATAGATTTTCTTTTCAAAATTTGTATCTGTCTGTCTATTTGTTACGGCTAATCCCTGAAATGGCTGGACTGATTTTGACCGGACCTTCAGAGGTAGATGTTATAAGGAGTAACATAAGCTAATTTTAGTGTAGAAAAAGAATTAGGTCTCGCTCAAAAAAAATAGAACGTACCTAGGGACGCACCCGAGCGAAGTGAAGGTAAGTTGCTAGTGAAACCTAAATTCGTCAAAAACCGCTTTCCGGGCTTTATCCAGTTAAAGAACGTAACCGGAACCTTGATCCGTAAGTCCGGTTTGAGGTCAATGACCAAAGCCGATTTAAAAATTGAACTGGTTTTTAACCCCTTTTTTTATGTCGGGAAATGCATTTACGCATACCACCTGATCCCCCAGGTGGTGATGTGGGGCTCACCGGCTAGAACAGCCGGTACTACCCACTAAAACCCGACATTCCCCTCCCCTCCGCCTTAATGGGACGCCGCAGGATCGCTTGCGCATAACTACTACGGCGCCCCGGCGGCAGGTCTGCCAACGGCTGACCACCACACCGATGGGGCTGCTCCACAGTCAACTCTGCTACACCAGAGAGGTACCCGGAGCAGCCCCATTAAATCTAACCTCCGCCCACCGAAGTGGGCCACCTCCAATCGGCTGCAGAGGACAGGGAGAGCGGCAACGAAACACCGACACTCCTCTTCCCCCGCGGCCCCCCTACCGTCGGCCCACCTCCGGACCAAAATGGCGCTGGGGAGTCCATGCGGCGCATACCGCGAGGGTGTGGTGCGAGGTGTCCTCGGACGCACCACACTCGTGGCATACGGGCGACGGTTCCCGACGTGCAATCTGAAACAGATACTTACCGAAGCACCCGTGCCCGGTAAGCATCTGCGTCAGTCTGAACGTCAAGACGCCGTACGGTACCCCCGTATCGCCCTCACCGCCAGGACCCGCTGTGCCTTGCGCAATTGGGCCCTGTTCTCAGCGGCGAGGGCGTCTATCCAAACAGGAGCACCGTACAGTGCCATGGACCTCACGATGCCGGCATAGAGCCGCCGGCAAGGAGATCCAGGGCCCCCGACGTTCGGCAGAAGTCTGCCGAGGGCCGAGGCGGCGCTCATCAATTTCGGGGTGAGCTGGGCGAAGTGGACACCGAACGTCCAGCGAGCGTCCAGGGTCAGGCCCAAATATTTCATTTAGGCCTTTACCTCCACCATCCTCCTCTGGACGCGCAGGCAGGCATTTCTAGGGGCACCCTTGCGTGGGCCATGGAAAAGGAGGGCCTCCGTTTTAGTTATGGAGACCTTCAGGCCCAGCATCCCAATCCGGTCGACGACCAGATTTGAGCCGACTGTGGCCAAGCGTGCCGCCTCCTCATAGGAACGACCCCGGGCTGTGACGAGGGTGTCATCGGCATAGGCGATGACTCCGAGCCCGGAGAGGAGCGGACAACGCAGGAGCCAATCGTAGCCGAGGTTCCACAGTACCGGGCCCAAAACGGCCCCTTGTGGAACCCCGCAGTCGACACGTCGTCGACCGACCACCCCATTTGCCCCCATCCACATGACCTGCCTGTCATGGAGGTACGCGTCCAACACCCGCCGGAGATAGAGATGCACCTGATGGTAGCGTAGTGCCTCTCGTAGAGTCTCGAACGGCAGGGTGTTGAAGGCGTTGGCCACATCCACCGAGACGGCTAGGAGCACGTCTCCCTCCTCCACTGCGGCCAAAGACCGGACCTTCAGGGTGTTCAGGGCGTCCACCGTTGATCTTCCCGCCCTGAACCCGAACTGAGCCTCTGAAAGGCCCGGCCCCACCTCCTCCAGATGCCGAGTGATACGGGCAGCGAAAATTCTCTCGAAGAGTTTGCCCGTCTCACTCAGCATCACGATTGGCCTGTACGCCGAAGGAGAGTCCAGAGGTCGACCCTCCTTGGGCAGTAGGCACAATCTCCCCTCCTTCCAGACACATCAGAGTACATCGGGCGGCTTGGTCTCCGTGACCGGGGCGCCGTGCGCGCGGAGCTTGTTCCGGCCGCTGATATAAGGGCGCCCCCACGGATCCCTGTCAAGGCCCGCCAACAATTCTTGATGGGCCGCCGTCTTAGCCTGGCTTATGGCGATCTGCAGAGCCTTCTTTGCTGACTTATAGGCCTGCCGCAGCTCGCTCTCCAATACGGGGTCCAGGCCTGGTTTTTAACCCCCTTTTTTTTTTGTTGACGCTGGGGAAACCCATCATGGGGACCCTGCCGGCCGTCAATGGGCAGGGTACTGTGAGACTCCTACTCACTAAAACCCACAGCGGAACCCGTCGCCGCAGTGCAATGGGGTGTGCAGGATCGCTTGCGCATTCACTGCAACACGCCTGCGGACAGCCCGTACCCCGCGGGCCTGCCTCGCCTAAACCGGGATGCCCTCGATTCACAGAGCATCCCGACCGCCCCGATGACGTGTAGGGGAGTCAATGAGAGACCCCCCCGCAGTAGCTCCTCTAGGGTGGCGGGAGAAGATGCGCGTACCGGCGCCTCCTCTCCCCCAGCCGACGGCGACGAAGAGGGTCTGCTAAGGCGTTAGCCTCGCGTTCCCTTTCCGCCGTCTCCTTCAGTGAGATGACGGCCTCGCTGAAGGAGACCATCGCCGACCAGGACCTCTCATCGCGTAGCATGGCCCCCAACACGCTTCGCAATGAGAGGTCTCCACCCACTACCGCCATCAGGGCATGGCGCTGGGGAGCCCAAGCGGCGCATACCGCGAGGGTGTGGTGCGAGGTGTCCTCGGACGCACCACACTCGTGGCATGCGGGCAACGGTTCCCGACGCGCAACTTGACACAGATACTTACCAAAGCACCCGTGCCCGGTAAGCATCTGCGTCAACCTGAACGTCAGGACGCCGTGTGGCCGCCTGACCCAGCGAGACAGGAACGGACGAACCGCCCCCACCGTCGCCAGGCCAGCCGCTGGAGTCCCCAGGTCTTCCCACCAGCGCCGGATCAGTGCCTCGTCAGCTAGGCGCCTGATCCGAGCGACTCCCTCCCGCGCTGGACGTTCCCCTCGAGCCCGCTCACTCGCCCGAAACTGATACACTTCGGCGAGCACCTCCGCCTGGAGTTCCCAGGGCGGATCGCCCGCCAGAAGTGTCGCCGCCGTGAAGGACACCGTACGGTATCCCCGTATCGCCCTCACCGCCAGGACCCGTCGCGCCTTGCGCAGTTGGGCCCTGTTCGGTGCGTCGAGGGCGTCCATCCAAACGGGGGCACCGTACAGTGCCATGGACCTCACGATGCCGGCATAGAGCCGCCGGCAGTGAGATCCAGGGCCCCCGACGTTCGGCAGGAGTCTGCCGAGGGCCGAGGCGGCGCCGATCAGTCTCGGGGTGAGCTGGTTTTTAACCCCTGGGATTTGCAAAGTTAACTATAATATAGTATTTATCTATCTATCTATATAGATTTTGACGACACGTTTGGCTCTGTTTGTAGTGACCCTACATGCTGTGCCAGCGGTCACGGGTTAATGTCTAGTTGGGGATATTCAGTTGATCACGAATGATGAGCACGAATGTTTGTACTCCAGTCACGGGTGTTTATATTTATAATATGGATGTATTTAAAAGTTATATATGTGTAGTGTATCAACTATCTGGTATCTGACCATGGAACTAGATGGTACTGTGAGTTAATGTCCCAACATATTTATTTATTTATTATTTACAGATTGCAGCAGCGCATTTATCAGGGGACTTAACAGAAGTTCAAATGAATGCAGTTTACCTGAAGTTAGCCATGGCAGAGCCAGCGATCAAATTGTTATATGTTACTCCTGAGAAGTTAATGAACCACACATTGCGAATGACTTTGAAATCACTTTATATACGCCGTAAAATCGGCAGGTGAGTTAATGTATACTAATATTATAAAGAGGCAGAGTTTGTTTGTTTGAACGCGCTAATCTCAGGAATTACTAATCCGATTTGAAAAATTCTTTTTGCATTAGATAGACCCTTTATTTAGGAAGGCTTATATATCATCATACTACTACCCAAGAGAACGGAGCAGTAATCATAAATGTCAACAAATAGAGCGGAATTTCATACATTAATGTACGAGTCTCGTAGAACCGATCAAACAAATTTAATGTAGTGAAACCGCGGGACACTGCTAATAATAAATATATTCATAATAATAAATCGGCAGGTCTGCCGAAGCAGACCACAACAACCATGGGGTTGCTCCAAGGTCCACTCTGCTATCAGAGAAGTACCAGGAGCAACCCGCATGGCACACCACCCACCGAGGTGGGCTGCCAGTGCACTTCTTGGCTTCGTGCCTGGCTGGATTGCCAGACGCTAATGAGCCCCCCAACCACGACAAGGTGAACGCACGTTGGGGTGATGAATTGCCATCCTTTTCCATTTTTAAAATGACATTTTTGAATTTGGAACACATAACAAGGTTCGTGGTGGACGAGGCGCATTGCGTGTCGCAGTGGGGCAACGTCTTCCGGCCGGACTACAAGCGGCTGAACGAACTGCGGGAGAACTACTGCGACGTGCCGCTGATGGCGCTCACGGCCACCGCGACGCCGCGCGTGCTCGTTGACATCGAGCGCCACCTGGGGGTTGGTACACACACACATACACACACATACGCACACACACACACACACACACACACACACACACACACACACACACACACACACACACACACACACACACACATACGCAATAGATGGTGCTACGGTCCATCTAAATCGCGCTGTGGTTTGGTTCAGTGGAATAGTATTGTTTAATTTAATATATAGTTATAAAAAGTATATGCTAATTTAGGATCGAGTTTACACTGGCTGGCAATAGCTTTTTAATTTTTTGTAATGAGACTTCAGTTAGAGAAAAGAAATAAAATGAGTTTGACAACATTCAACATACATTGTGGTATTTTATTTTAGTTAAAAGTAAATAAGTTAACAGTACGTGCAAAATACATCTGTTGCCGAAACCCGGGAATTAGTGTGAAGAACAATAGTTAAAATTAAGTGAAAACATATAAAAAACGAACATTTTAGAACTTTGATTTAAAAGTATTTGGTTCATATATAATTGACGTTTATTGTTGCATCTAAGATATAATTCATTGTTTGGGTTCGACGTTACGAACAATAGTAATCAGTGAAAATGGAAGGATTATTGAACAAACAAGACGCTATAGCTGAGCTAATTATTAAAAAACTTTACTAATTACAAAAAATCACCAAAAGAAAGAGTGACGAAAGCATACATAGGAGTTAGAACAGAGAATTTAGAAAAATCTTGGAACGAGTTTACGGATAATCATTTTCAATTAGTGGCTTCGGTAAAGTGGTCTGAGCGGACGACGCTAAAATATTTTAGCGAAGAGATGTATGATAGTACAGAAGAAATATATATCACATACAAAACTAAGCTAAAAGAAGATTTAGAAAGCCGAACCAATCCCGCCCTTGAATACAATGTATCCTCCGCTACACCGGTATCATCTGCAACGGAAATCAAGCTCCCTAGAATTCAACTGCCTACATTCTCAGGTGTCTATGAGGAATGGCAAACATTCTACGATATTTTTGTATCTCTTATCCATGAGAATCAGACACTAAGTGCAGTTCAGAAGCTTCATTACCTAAAGAGCAGCTTGTCGGGTGAACCTGAGGTTCTATTACGAGATTTATCTACTATTGGAAATAACTATGATGAGGCCTGGAACAAATTGATAAAAAGATACAATAATAAACGTTATAATGCAAATGAGATACTGAAACGCTTGTTTTCTCAAAAGAGTATTAACACAGAGTCTGCTTCAGCGATTAAACAAACACTCGATACAACAACTTCATGTATTAAATCACTAAAGAATTTAGGTATTAACACAGACTCTTTGGATGTACTTATCAATTATTTAGTGGTATCCAAACTTGACTACGAGTCCCGAAGACAGTGGGAGATTGAGGTTTGTTATTTTGATTTGGAAGATTTGCCTACATGGGAACAGTTAGTTAAGTTCTTAGAGATGAGATTCCGGACATTAGAAATGATGGATGGAGTAAAAACCACTACGAAATCTGCTCTAAATAGTACAACTAAACAAGTATCTAAACAAAAGTCAGCGTTTTAGAGGAGAAAAAAGAAAATAATAAATTAGTATGCGCGTTTGTTCGAGTCAACATCTTTTGTACCAATGCAAACAGTTTGGTAGCAAGTCCCCCGAAGAGAGAAGTGAGTTTGTGCAATCGAAGGGACATTGCTTTAATTGTTTGTCTCCCAATCACAATGTAAGAGGCTGCCACCAGGCTACGTGTTGTCGCCGTTGTGACAGAAGACACCACACATTACTCCATTTTGAGAGAGGTCTACGTCCTGAAGCAAGCGCTTCGTCTAAGAGTACTGAGAAATCGCTGAGTCCAGAGTCGACTACGGAGAAAAACATAATAGCTCATTTTGTCCAAGAGGAGAATCAATCAGAGGTGTTACTGGCTACTGCGTTGGTCAGAGCCAAATCAGCGGATGGCTATTCTCAAATCTTGCGTGTATTAATAGATCAGGGCTCTGAAGCGTCATTTATCAGTAAGAGTACTGTACAATCTTTAGGTCTTAAGAAAATACCTGTCAATGGATTAGTTTCTGGAGTAGGTGACGGTCAGTCTAGGACCAAGAGCATGGTTATTTTTGATTTAGAATCACTTCATGATTCAGAGTTTTCTATTAGAGTCAATGTCTTTGTTTTAAGTTCACTTACATCTTTTCTTCCTTCTAGCAAGACATCTATCATGAATTGGCCCGAGGTTGAAAATTTACCGCTCGCGGATCCAAAATATGGACAACCCAGTAAAATAGATGTAATCGTAGGTGTAGAAGTTCACAGCGAGATTATGCTTAACGGATTATTGAGACATCCATCGAAAATTGGTCCCATTGCGCAAAACACCAAACTAGGATGGATCTTGTCCGGACGTGTAACATCACAGGAGCTAACCAATACCAGGATGATAAATCTACACCTTCAAGTAAAGGAAGACCTACTTCTGAAACAATTCTGGGAAATAGAGAGAGAGCCAGACATGATAGGGAAACCACTAACAAAGGAAGAGATTAAATGTGAGGAAATTTATGAGGAGACTACAGTGAGAAATGAGGAAGGGCGTTACGTGGTAAGGCTGCCATTTAAGAAAATAGATCCTGGAGTTAGATATGGGAAATGAAAAGAAATAGCGTACCGAAGATATCAACTACTAGAAAGGAGATTAAAGAGAAACCCATCACTAGAAATGGAATACAGAAACGTAATAGAAGACTAAATTGAGCAAAATCACATGAAGAAGATAAAAAATATAGAAGACATTGAGAACCCGCTTGCAGTTTATCTTCCTCACCACGCCGTAGTGAGAGAAGATAAAGAAACCACAAAGGTGAGAGTAGTTTTTGACGCATCGTGTAAGGGAATTAATAATGTTTCTTTAAACGACTCATTTTTAATAGGGCCGAAAATACAGCAGGATTTACGACACATTCTAATGAGGTGGAGATTACATCCGTACTGTATCGTAGCGGATCTAAAACAAATGTATCGTCAAGTCCTAATAAATGAGCAGGATACAGACTTTCAGAGAATCTTATGGCACCAGAAACCTGACGGACTATTAAACATTTCCAATTATTGCGTCTTACTTTTGGAATTTCGTATGCACCATATCTGGCAGTAAAATCCTTACAACAAGTAGCAAAAGATGAACAAGAGAAGTATCCAGAAGCTGCAAGAATTACGCGGGAAGACTATTATATGGACGATTTGTTAACGGGATGCCAAACAGAGACAGACGCTATTGAAATATACGAGCAAATGTCGAAGTTGATGGAGGCTGGTGGGTTTCAACTCCAGAAATGGTGCAGTAATGGTCCTAAACTACTAGATCACATTGAAAGAGACAAGCAGAGAATCGATCATTCATTTATTTTTAAGGCTAGCAATATGATTAAGGTACTGGGAATAACCTGGAATAAAATATCTGATAACTTCGAATACTCCTACAACTTACCAGAGCAAGAGGAGCCAATTACAAAACTTAAGGTGTTGTCAGATATAGCCCGGCTCTATGATCCTTAAGGTTGAATCGCACCTACTATTATATTCGTTAAAATATTCATCCAAAGATTGTGGCAGTCTGGCTTGGCATGGGATGATGAGCTTACTCCAGACTTGCTGAATGAATGGCATGAATTCAGATCTTCATTAAATGAGGTTAATAAGATTAGTATTCCAAGGTGGTTGCAGACGACAAATAATGACTTGAGAGAGCTACACGTCTTTGCCGATGCGTCTCAGAGAGCTTACGCGGCAGCCGTTTACATGACGTGCAAAGAAGCTGATGATACTTATGTAAGACTATTGACTGCCAAAACTAAGGTGGCGCCAATCGAACAGGAAATCTCAATCCCTCGAATGGAGCTTTGTGCTGCAGTGCTGGCAACCAAATTGATTCATGAGGTTTCACAAATTATGAGGGTTCCGAAGACAAACTTATACGCATGGTCAGATTCAACTGTGTTCCTTGCTTGGTTAGGAGGAGAACCAAGTCGATGGGCAACATTCGTGAGCAACAGAGTGTCTGAGATACTAACTGTATTAGATCGTGATCAATGGAACCATGTAAAAACGGATCAGATACCAGCAGACTGTGCCTCGAGAGGTATGTCTATCGCTGAGCTTGCTGTTCACAATTTGTGGTGGGATGGTCCAGATTTTCTACATCATCAAAATGAGTACAAGATTGACCAAGGTTACGAAACGAACGAAGAAGAGAGACCCAAGAAAACTTTAGCTGCTGTAGTTCAAATTAAAGAATAATTTAAATGGGAAAGATTTTCTAGTCTATCTAAGTTATTAAGAGTTTTGTCATATTGTAGAAAATTTTTAAAACTTAAAATACCAAAAGGAGAAAGAGCTATCAATAAAATAGTATCAACAGAAGAGAGTAAAATAGTTTTACAAATTTGTATTAAAAAGACACAAGAGTTATACTTTCAAGAGGAATTAAAGCAGCTAAAGTCTCATGGAGAAGTACTCAAAAGAAGTGTTCTTCATACTCTATGTCCATTTCTGGATGAAAATGGTACTTTAAGAGTAGGTGGCCGAATAAGTCAAGGTCAAGAAGATTTTGCCAAGAAGCATCCAGTGGTTTTACCTAGTGATAGTCATATCACTAAGCTAATAATCCTTGACGCCCATATCAAAACCCTTCATGGCGGACCTCAACATGTTGAACTTCTTGAGAGCGAAGTTTTGGATTATTCGTGCCAGAGAACGTGTTAAGAAGTGTTACAGAGAGTGCAATACCTGCACAAGGTATGCTCGTCAAAATAACCAACAGCTTATGGGCCAGCTTCCTGAATGCAGACTGGTTCGCGACAAACCCTTTCGTAAAACAGGTATAGATTTTACCGGCCATGTCAATCTGCGATTTTCCCCTGGCCGAGGTGCGAAATCATACAAAGGGTACATCTGTGTGTATATTTGCATGGTAACGCGAGCCATACACCTAGAAGCTGTGTCCGATTTAACCGCGTCTGGATTTATTGCTGCGTTCCGGAGATTCGTAGCCCGAAGAGGATATTGTGAGCACTTATATTCTGTCAACGGTACAAACTTCGTAGGGGCTGAGAAGGAATTGAGAGAGATGTTAACCCGTGCTAATTCGCAGCTATCCAATGAAATTGTCCAATTGCTAGCAAGTGAAGGTACGACGTGGCATTTCATACCACCCCACGCTCCGAACTTTGGAGGTTTATGAGAAGCAGCTGTTCGTTCAACTAAGGCACACCTAAAACGAGTAGTTGGTGACGCCACACTTACTTTCGAAGAGCTCTCAACAGTACTGGCTCAGATAGAAGCGTGTCTAAATTCTCGTCCTATATCATTTGTAAGTGACAATCCAGACGACCCACTGCCGCTCACTCCAGGTCATTTTTTAGTGGGTGGGCCGTTAGTTACTGTTCCAGACGAGAACTATTCTGAAACGTCAATTTCAAGCCTTCATCGATGGAAACTTACTCAGAAAATGCTTAATGATTTTTGGCCTAGGTGGTCAGATGAATATTTGGTGAACTTAAATCAAAGGTTTAAATGTACAACCAAAAGGCTAGAACCTAAAATTAATGATGTAGTTATTGTTAGGGATCACAACATTCCACCTGCAAAGTGGTTATTAGGTAGGGTTATAGAAAAGCATCCAGGAAAGGATGGTCTAACTCGGGTGGTTACTATCAAAACAAAAAATGGTATTGTTAACCGCCCTTGTTATAAATTATGTGTACTACCTAAACCTGAAAATTTGTTTATGTGCTAATTGTAATAAACTTAATATTGTTTAATCAAAAAGATATATAACTTAGCTTTCATGTGCTGTGATTGTGATGTTCTCTTTGTTTAAAATGTGTTGTATTTTTTCTAGAGGCTACAAATTGTACAGCTTTTGCCAGTTTGAATGTGTTAATATTATTAATAGGTGTTTTTAATATAATGTACTTTTGAACTGCATCCATGCACTATCATATTACTTTAAAATGAGCATTCACGGCGGGTGGAGTTGTTTTGATAAAGTCTATATTTTGTTTGTGTCGAGAAGCCTTTGTTGTTTTAATCTTTATCATTGTAGAAAAAAGAACGAAGTTCTTTGGTGGGCGGGATGTTTAATTTAATATATATAGTCCAGTCATTATAGTAAGTTCACCTCGGAATTCGAGGTACCCAGCTGTAAGTCTGTAAATACTTGTATATTGACATCCTAAAAGTTGTCTCAAAACCTACATATGGTAGGGTGTACGCAACTATTAAATTTCAAGGTCAAAGGTCATAAAAATCGTTTTTTTTGCGCTTTTTTTGTAAATATCTCATTTCCTATGGGTTTTTTGCTATTTGTATTTATTATCAATATTGTAGAATACAAAATTCTCTACAAATTTTGTTTAATTTTTTTTTCATACGGTGAACCGTTTTCGAGATAGAGGGCGGAGAGCGCGCGGTCACAGCATCACTTCAGGTCAACCGGTGCCTCCGGTCGAAAACGCGCCATATATAGTTGATTAACTATCGATAAATCAATGATTATAAATATTTGTCAATTTTAATTAACTATTATATTATATTTTATCATTTTCTTCTTGCCTTGCATTTTAAATCTATATCTATTCAATAATACTGATAACCGTTATATATATATATATATATATATATATATATATATATATATATATATATATTATTTGCCCGTTTACAATGTTACCTACGTAAAACTAATGTTTCTCAGTAAGTGAATTGTATTCTTTTGAGAAATAAATGAATCGTAAACCTCATATATATATATATATATATATATATATATATATATATGTACGCCAGTATACGTGCGCTCATCTACACATACGTGGACGCACCTATAAATGTTTTTTGTCAACTAGCAGTTTTAAAGAATGCAAAATTTTTTCAGTTTTCTTAGGAAATTAAGAGTTCAGGCAAACCCTAAATTATAATATTTTAATAATAATCATATAAATAATAATTGATCAGACTGAAGATTGAGAGATGAAGTAAAAAAAAATGTAAATTGAGGACATCTTCCTTATTTGAAGTCGGTTTAAAACTTAAATCTGATTAGTATATTGAAATTTATTTTACGCAGATGAAAAGATGCGAAAGGTTTTTAAGCAGCTTCAACCGGCCGAACTTATTTTACACGATTTTGGACAAGAAATCTAAAAGTTTCTACCAGAACGTCGTGGACGTCATACGCACTGAATATGCAGGGTACGTAATGACATATTTATTGTTTGAGATAGATAGATGGATGCTAAAATCTCCCATTTTGATTTTATTATTTCTATATAGTCTACTAGCGAGTCGCCCTTGCTTCGCTCGAATTCCCCATACAAACTTTCATCTCCATTTTAACCCCCTTAAGGGGTGATGTCGGGGATAAAAAGTATCCTAATTCCTTCGCAGGGTCTCAAACTATCTTCTTACTAAATTTCATCTAAATCGGTCCAATAGTTTCGGAGCTTATTGCGTACAAACAGACAAACAAACAAAAATCTTTCCTCTTTATAATATAAGTATATACTCTTTGATGACACTCGCGTAATCAAGACGTATCTAACGACATATGAATCAATAAAATTGGTTAAGCCATTTAGTAATTACGAGGACGTCATACATATCTGTACATACATACAGGACAAACACACACCCCTCTTTTAGGCTTCGCCGCAGTCGGGAAATTAAAGTCGCCAGTTGCATTGATTGTAGGTTTGTCCGGGCTAATCTCGGAAACTATTTCATTGTTTTGTAAATGCTCTTACCAAATAGAAGGTTATAATGTATGATCTTATTGCAAAAATAATTACACGTTGTGATATTTCCGACTTAATTCCCAAACACGATAGTAGATAGTAAGTCGGAAAATCGTCCTTTCTGGGAGTTTCTCAAATATTAAATAAGCAATGTTTGTATATATGTATATAAATTTATTTCGTGTATCTCGGAATCGGTCATAGCGATTCTTAGAAGCTCGATCACCCAGGTACTACTAAAAATGCGGAATAGAGAATCTATGGACGCCATATTGATGATTCTCATACATTAAAGTTAGTCAAAAACGTATTGTTTTATTTTGTAAACAAAAACAAATCAATCCCTCGGGAACCGTATATTTTTTCTGGATAAAAAGTAGCCTATGTGTTATTCCAAACACTACTACTTTTGTATCTAGGATAATCTATCTCTGTGCCAATTTTCATTCAGACCCGTTGAGCCGTTCTGGCCTGAAAGAGTAACAAACATCCATGCATACTCACAAACTTTCACATTTATAATATTTATACAGATTTTATTATAATAATTTTATCAATTCTTACAGAAAATCGGGCATTGTGTATTGTCTGTCACGTAAGGACTGCGAGAAGTTGGCGGCTGTCTTGCAAGAAAAAAAAGTGAAGGCGGCCGCGTACCACGGCCGTCTCGTCGACAGTAAACGCAAGGAAGTGCAGTTGGGTTGGATAGCTGATGATTACGCTGTGGTATGTGGAGCATATATTTTTAGAGAGTTCGTGGTTTGTCTAATTGTCTGTCTGACGAGACCGCTTTTGGAACGCATGGAGGTACCAAGTTGAAATTAATATCATATACTCAGGTCTGCAATTCCTTGGAGCTGTGGAAAAATCAAACTTCTAAGTCAACGCAGTCAAAAGATATGGACGTTTATGTTCGCATGTTTTAACACTCGCAAGGGAATTAAAATCTTTAACGAGCTCGTCGTTCCCGTTGATCTAGAATCTAGAAATTTGGCTAGAAGCAATGTCTTACAGCACAAGTGAAAGGAAAAATCTGAAAATCGTAAAGTAGTTACATCATAACAAACATTTTTTTGGCGTTTGTAAAGTTATTTTAATGTTTCGTGCGACGGAACCCGCGGTGTGCGAGTCCGACTCGTACTTGTACATTTTTTTTATATTAGCTCTTTTTTTAAGCACAAAAAAGAATGATGAATAGCAATTTAATTATTTGAAAGTCGATAAAAATATTATCTGTATATCTATATATTTGTCCATTTTTCGATTGGGCTATCTTGCTACTTCTATATTGATATGTCCATGTATTTTATATATGTACTTATCTATCTGTCTGTCCGTTTATCTATATGTATATTGTATATTAGGGTGGAGCGAAAAATTAGGTTGTTTTTTTCATAGCTTAGGAGATATAATTTGTAGCTTATAAGAATGTTTTTTTGATTGATCACGTTTAAAAACATTCAAGAATTGACGACTATAGTCATTTTCTACACAACTTTCATTGTAATATTGCATTATTGCAATTTGGATAAAAAAAGTTGAAAAAATAACATGTTACTTTTTTTGTATTACAGTGAAACTTGAGTAGAAAATCACTATATTCGTCGATTCTTGAATGTTTTTAAAGATGTTCACACGAAAAAAAATGTTATTATTATTATTATGATGTATCCCAGATCTGTGCGACGACAGCGTTCGGTATGGGCATAGACAAGGCGGATGTCCGGTTTGTCATACACCACAGCCTGCCCATATCGGTGGAGGGCTATTACCAGGAGACGGGGCGCGCCGGCCGCGACGGCGCACGGGCGGACTGCCTCCTCTACTATAACTATGGGGATATCGTGAGATATTACAGGCTGATGGATGGTGAGTGTTTGTTCTTTTGTAGAATGTCACCACCACTGTGGTTACGTGGTGACTCGCCGTCGCCGTCTAGTGGCTAGCGTGTAGGGCTGAATCGTGAGATTCTAGGAGTGAGACTTAGGTTGGACCGAAATACTCGTAATTGTTTCTTTTTGTCAAGAAATACTCAGTAACTTAACTTGACCTGACCCGGGACTCGAACCCAGGATTTCCAGATCTGTTAGTGAGTCACTAGTAGTTAGTGATTAGTCTTATGTCTGGGAAAACCAAAACGCGTGTTTTCGAGTTTTCATGCGGTTTTTTCCCATTATTCCAGGCAAAATATGGTCGCTAATTTCGCACGCTAGGACATAAGCATCGTGGTCAAACGGCCAAGGTGCAATATTGACAAACACAAGTGTCCGCGTTCGAATCTTTGTCGGATACAAAGATTTTACTTATGTTTTTTTTTGTATTTATTCAAGTTTTTAGTTTTTTTTAAAAAAGAAACAAAATTGTACTCTTGGCCAAAAACTCCCAAGTACTATATACATAGGTATGATGAGTTGTGGGTTGTATTATAACGTGTTTTCCCGTAGGAATGAAATGATGTCCCGCGGTAATACGTAGCCTAAGTCATTCCAGCCCTCCAACTATCTTCAGATAAAAATCACGACAAAGCAACTCTGTTTCGACGTGAAAGAAGGGCAAACAAACAAAAACACACACATTAACATTTATAATATTAGTATGGATTCCTGTTATATGTATGGTCATATATCAGGCCTTTATATCTCATGCGGTTTGGTAAAGTGTGAGCCGTTTACAGACGAACCCAAAACACATAAGGGTACAGAAGCCCGTGCTGTCCACGATGAAAATCTATCGCATATGAAGTCAATATGTGAGGACCCAACAGGGTGTCGAAGAGTTGAAGTTCTGGCGTATTTGGGTGAAGAATTCCAGAAGGAAAAGTGTGGAGAAGGTGGCGCTCCCTGTGACAATTGTACCAAAACTACTGAATATCAAGTAAGTTTCTATTGTATTGTAGGGAATTTTCTATCTATACATATAAAAAAATTGTAACTAAGCCGAATCTGTACATTAAATATTTTTTTGGAAAATCTTATTGAAATAGACATTATTAGACAAAAATTCTAAAAACTATAGATTCGGCCTCTGTATCGATCTTTTGCCGAGGGAAAATGTCTCATTTCTGGGAAAAAATACAAAAACTGCAATGTAAGAGTATACTAATATGTAAAACCTAAGAATTTGGTTTTTGGTCATCTGAACGCGGGTGGAGCCGCGGGAAATGCTAGTAATGAATAAAAAGCTATAACAAAATGAGTTTAGTTAATAGAATCAAATTATTATAAGCTGTTTTTTAGTTTCACCCGTCCGGGTCTGATCTATATCTACTAAGATATATAAGTATGGATATATATATATATATATATATATAAATATATATATATCTTCAATCTCTATATCAATGCACTGGTGGAGGCGCTCAGTACTACCTACTCATGTTGGTTGCCATATTGACGGAGTGTGCCTGAATAACATTAGCTATGCAGACGACATGGTGTTGCTGAGTGCGTCTGCTTGTGGATTAACGAAATTGTTGAGTATATGTGAAAATTATGCCTATAGTCACGGCTTGATTTATAATGTGAAAAAAAGTGAATGCATGGTCTTTCGTGCCAAAGGAAAATGTCAGCCCTCAACTCCACCACCCATTAAGTTATACGGTACCCCGTTAAAGAGGGTGTTTCAGTATAAATATATAGGTCATGTGATATCCTTTGACCTGAAAGACGATGCTGATATAGAGAGCGAACGCAGGGCATTTACTGTGAGGGCGAATATGATCGCACACAGGTTCGTTCGTTGTTCCATTCCTGTTAAAGTGACCCTCTTTAGAGCTTACTGTACATCTTTTTACTTCTACTAGCAGCCTGTGGGTCGATTACACGCAGAAACAGTACAATGCCCTGCGTGTTCAGTACAATAATGCATTCAGGATGCTGATGGGACTGCCTCGTTGGTGCAGCGCGTCGGGTATGTTGGCCGAGGCGCACGTAGATTGTTTCTACGCTATCATGCGCAAACGGTGCACATCCCTGGCGCGCAGGGTCCGGGCTAGTTCCAAAAGCATCCTGAGGGCGTTTGCTGACAGGTTCGATTGTCAGTATTTGAACCATTGCCAAATGGTGCACATGCTGACAAATCGAGTCTGTCTTAGATAAGGTTTAGGATTAAGTAGGTTAAATGTGTAATAAAATAAATGATATATATATATATATATATATATATATATATATATATATATGTACGTATTGTCAGTCCATAGATGTAACAGAGGAATGTGTGGGACTGGCCCGCTTCATGAACAGCAGCCAGTCGACCTACAAACTGCTAAATATCGTGTCGGCTTTACGCGGCTCCACTCCATCACCCATTCCCGATTTACAGAACACGCCTATACCCGGACGGTATGTATACGTCCCACTGCTGGGCGTGGGCCTACCCTCGATATGGGGATCAGACCATAGTCCACGCTGGCCAATTGTGGCCCGGTCTGACCATGTCTTTCGAAAACTTGCTATGTTCTCTCAGACGTGCAGGTTTCTCCACGATCTTTTACGATAAGACAAGTGGTTATCGTGTTGGAAATCATTCGCACATGAATATATCAGAGGTGCGAGACGAGAGGAGTTGAACCCGTTTCACTCGGTTTTCCAGTGAGCTCGTTACCACTGGGCTACCACTGCCTCACAAACATATGTATATGTTTTGATAAGCTTTGGTCTAGTGGTCTAGTGGCTAGTATGTTAGATAACAGATATGGAGGTCCTGGGTTCGAGCCCCGATTCGGGCCGAGGTTATTTAAGTAAATCTCAGTAACAGCCCGGAGTTGGGTTTTATGGTTAGTCAGTACTTTATAGGTTATTACTCAGAAATAAGCCTAATGTATCACTCAGTAAGATATTATCTCTGCGTTGGATCTTAATTCCTTACCCGCCTTTTTATGACCAGACAGACCTTTGAACCTATGTAATTCTATCCCACGGGAACCGTACATTTTTCCCTGATAAAAATAGTCCTATATGCTATTCCAGACTAATCTATCTCTGTGAAAAATTTCATCCACATCCGTTATGCCGGTCTGGCGTGATTGAATAACAAACGTCCATACATACAAACATCTAAACTTCCACAGTTATAAAATTAGTAAGATATACAGATAAGATGATTTGTTGTGGATTGTATTATAACGTGTTTTCCCGCGGGAATGAGATAACTCCAGCGGTAAAATTTAGCCTATGTCACTATCCAGCCGTCCAATTATGTCCACACAAATAAATTATGCCAATCCGTCACACTGTTTCGACGTGAAAGAAGAACAATCAAACAAACACACTTTCACATTTATAATATTAAGTATGGATTGGTCAAACGAGCAAGCTCGCATACAAAACTGGCCCTTTCTTCAGAACGGCTGGACCGGTTTTGATGATTCTTTTTTGTTTTAGTAGGATGGTTTAGATTCACAACCGGACCCAGTAGATGGCGTTGCAGACGGTTTCTAAGATTTTTTTAATTTTATAGTTGATAGCCGATAGGTGTTGCTGCCAGACCGTTTACTTTTCGTTTAAATGGTATAATTGATATGGACAATAATACAAATAATATAAGCCAAACATACTAAAAATATGATTAAAATCCACCCAGCCGTTTAGGAGAAAATTAAAACTAATCTATACTAATATTATAAAGAGGTAAAGTTTGTGAATTGTGTATTTGTGACGTTGTAGGGGGTAATCTCTGGATATACTGAACCGATTTAGATGAAATTTGGCAAGAAGATAGTTTGAGACCTTGGGAAGGACATCATCCCTTAAGGGGGTGAAAATGGAGATGAAAGTTTGTATGGGGAATCAAGCTAGGGATGAACACGAGTGGCAGGGGGAGCGGTGTCAGGAGGGCGCCGTCTCCTTCTTGGAGGTAGCGTGGTGTCTCCGGCCGTTTCGCGGTAGGAGGCGCTGCGCGGGCCGTGCTGCCGGGGCTAGCCCGTCGGTGCGGCGGCTGGAGCGGGGCCAGTTCGGTGGTCCTGCGTCTGGCGTGGGTGTCGGCAGCCATCTTGGTCCGGAGGTGGGCCGACGGTAGGGGGGCCGCGGGGGAAGAGGAGTGTCGGTATGGCGATGCGCCGCTCGTCCCTATCTCCCGCGGCCTAGCGGGGCCACCACCGTTGATGGTGGACGCGGTGGGGCTGTAGGGGAAGGGGAGTGTCGGCGTTGTCGCATCCTCTACTCCTGCAGCCGTTTGGGGTGGGCTCGGTTTCGGGCGTTGTTGGACGTTGCCCAATTTGGGTGTGGAAGGACAGGCTTAGGCCGTTTATTTTTGCAGGTTGCCCACTTCGGTAGGCGGTGTTTTGTCGTGTGAGGCTGCTCCGGGTACTTCTCTGTTCAGCAGAGTGGACTTAGGAGCAGTCTCACGTTCAGGGTTGCAAGTCTTCCCATAATGGGGTCGTCTCGCTTGGGGCGGCCTCATGGTTGGTGGCTTCGGCCAACCGTCGGGGCGTCACGGTTGTATGCGAAAGCGGTCCCGTGGCGTCCCACATGGCGGCTGTGGGGAAAGTTGGGTATTAGTGGGTATGCCGGTCTCTTTAGCCGGAGAGTCTCCACATAACCACCCTGGGGGGAAGTCGGGTGGTATCCGTAATAGGATTTCCCAACTATAAAAAAAAAAAAAAGGGATGAACACGAGCAAAGCGAGGGTGAGTCGCTAGTTGCAGTATAAAAGTGGGGGAGATTGATGCATAACTAAAATATCTTCATAGGTGGAAGGAGTGGCCCGCCTCTGATGTGAGGAGACTCTTGAAAAAAATGGTGGCCGATAAGTACTTGCGCGAGTTCACTGCGCCATCGTCCAACGGCTTCGTCTACACGTATTACACGTATGTGGCCATTGAGCCCAATTACGAGAAGTGAGTTTTGATTTTGACATATATATATATATATATATATATATATATATATATATACACACATGCATGTACAGTGTACACACACACACGCGCGCACATACACATGCTATACTACTACTATACGTATAATAAAATATTAACAAAGCGAGAGTTAGGTTATCAGGACGGTGGGTTGTAATAAAACAACGTTCCTCGTCGAAAGGGTAGTTACAACTGACTTTATTTCTTACTTGGTTCTTCTTTATTTGGTTCAATTGACCAAAAACCAAATTTCTCAGAAAAGAGACATTTTCCCGCGGTAAAATGTATCCTATATGTTGACTCGGATAATCAGCTATCACCATACCAAATTTCATCAAAATCTCTCCAGTGGTTTTTCTGTGATGCGGTAACAGACAGACAAAAATTCTATTTTTTAATTCAAGATTTTTGGTTCCCCCATTTTTGGGAACCAAAAATCCAAATAACTCCCCGAAAACATCAGAAGAAATAGTTTTATTTAAACAGTCAAAATTTAAAAAGTTTAAAATGTATTTAAAAAGTCGCTAGTTTTGTATATAAAACGAGTTTTTTTTTCTAGTTTAATATCAGGCAGATGTCGTGTAATGTTTGACATGACGAAGATTCAACGCAAAAAAAACGTTCCCGCGCCGAATATTGTTACAAACAACATTGTGACGGACATACAGATCCAGATCACCAAAATTAAGGATCGTTGCTACGCCGACTTATTTGAAGCTTGCAAGTAAATAATCTATCAATTTGTAGTGATCCTACTTGCTGTGCCAGCGGTGGCGGGTTCGAGTCCCGCTGGGGGCATTCATTTGTGTGATGAACACGAATGTGTGTACTCTAGTCATGGCTATTTATATTTAAAGTTATATATGTGTGGTGTATCAACTATCTGGTATCCATAACACAAGCCCCGTAGCTTACCATGGAACTAAATGGTGCTGATTTATTAATTTCCTTTCATATTCAATAGCCATGTGTATTCCAGATTATAATCTATCTCTGTGCCAAATTTCACCCAAATCCGTTAAGCCGTTCTGGTGTGAAAGAGTAACAAACATCCCTACATCCATACTTACAAACTTTCACATTTATAATGTAAGTATAGATGTATAATAAATTATACTTGCGGTACTTATAAGAAATAAACAATTTTTAAATTTTTTGTTTGTCTGTCTATTCCGGCTAACTTCGGAAACGACTGGATCGGTTTTCACGAAACTTTCACTACCAGATATCTGATTATAATGACTAACTTAGCTTAATTAGGGTTCCGCGGAAAATGTTCTAATCATAACATAATGATAATATGTATCAGGAAAATGGCATCAAAGCAGGGATCAGACTGTACTGTGTCCAAGGTGTGCCCGATGATAACGATGCGCAAGATGGCGGAGGAGCTGCCCGAGACGGAGGCGAAAATGCTCAATATGCCGCACGTCACGCGCGATCGCTACGACAAGTACGCGCGCCACCTGCTGGAAATCACCTCCAAGTACGCCATCAAGAAGCGGGGTGAGGGCTCGTGATCATACTCTCTCTACCACCCCCCTCTAGCCTTTTTCTCTCCCCCTCGCTACCTCTTCCTCTCCCCCTCGCTACCCTTTCCTCTCCCCCTTCTCTACCCTCATTCTCTCTATCACCCACCCACTCCCCGATACCCTCTCCCCCTCTTTACACTCCCCCGCCCCCTCTACCTCCTTTTTCTTCCCCACTCTACCTTCTTTCTATTCCCGCCTATAACATACCCCCTCCCCTCCCCCTCTCTACCCCCTCCCCCTATATACCCCCTCCCCCTCTCTACCCCCTCCTCCTCTACTCTCTACCCCATCTCATTTCTCCCCCCCTATACCTCCTTTCTCTTCGCACCTCTCTACCTTCTATCTCCCTCCCTCGCTCTTCTCGCTCATCCCCCACCCCCCTACGCTCTCTCATCCTCTCCCACCCCTACCCTCTCTAACCCCGTACCCTCACGCCATCTCCTACACGCCCCGCTTATAAATGCCATCTTCTCCTATACACCCCTCCCCCCAGTCCTCTCGCTCTCTCCTTCTCTCTCCCTCACTTTTTCTTAACTTCGGATATTACTTTTTTGCGAATGACACCTAGATGGATAAAATTGTAATATTTTTACCGTTACATCACTATATTATTGAAGAGCATTCCAACAAGTACCAGGCGCGCATACCCTGGCACTCGTGACAATCTGATTCCTACCATGCATCCCACGACACTGACGGACATTTTTTGTACAACATATATTTTATATATGCATATTGCATAGTATGTCTCCGACTGCATAATACTATGTTCCTTCGTGAACTTGTTTTCATCTTTTTAGTTCACTTTTTACGTAGTCGGTTTTTTTTATTTATATATTGTTAATATAATGTAAATATTTTTTTTTTATTTGAATAACTAACTTAATATAATTATTATTATCCACGAACAGATGTACTGGAGAAGCAAAATGCAGTTGAGAGTGGATTCAAAGACGAGCCCAGTACAAGTGGTAGTGCGGACAGAGGCGGAGCGCCATCGCGTTCTAAAAGCCGTGGTGCCTCTCGGGGTGTGGCGAAGAGGTAAATGTTTTAATATATACAGCTTCATTTGTATACCAACGAACCAAAACAGTCTTATAATAGTTTTATTTTCAAGCTAATCAACACCATAGCATTTTGTAACAAAGTCACAAATCTTGGAATTATCATCATTTCGTAAGTTTTATAATCTTTATTGTAAAACCTACCTTATATTTAAAAAACAAAGCACTTTTTCCGTTGTTGCTTTATGAGCTAAATCGTTATGTTTTGTTTCTGTTTGCTTCTTTGAATCTCGCCAAACGTTCTTAGCGAATTTAAAATTGTTCAAAATTTCACTTTTATACTATTTCGTAGGTTAAATCTTATAATATTGACTTAATCTGCATGTACTTAACGAAAATTACACACTCCGTCCGAAAAGAAACTCCTACGCGTATTATTTTTGGAACTACACATTGCGGCATTGTGAACATGTTTACGCTTGCAGTGTTTCAATAGAACTAATCGTAATATACGCTCACTTGTTGTTGTTGTTAAGAAAATTCCATTGCGCATAATTTGTGTGTTAAAAATAATCTCAGAAACTACTGTACCAATATTGATACGTTTTCAATAATAGGAAAAGGGATTATCTAGGAAAGACTTGGAGATGATTTATAAACAATAAATATATTACGAGAATATATTACGGAAAAGTTCGTCCTTTCTGAGAACTGTCCTAATAATTTGGCTGTTAAGAACATCACTACCAATATTTAAAATTAATAATTTATCGTTTGTTTTAGTGCAAGTAAAAGCAAGAGGGTCGCGAGTGCGCGCGCCAGCGGCGTCGGTAGAGGTGAGGCTCGGTGGACGTCACGACGTCATGTGACGTGACGGTGACGTGACGTGATATTGACGTGAAGTGAAAGTGACGTGACGTGACTGAACAATTAGAAAAAAATTAAAAAGAAGCTTCTAACAGCACACTTTTTTGATAAAATATTTTTTACCAGATTTAAAATATATATACTCTCGTGAGCAAAAAAATCGACTCAGACGACACATCTGTAGTCGCAAGTCACTGGAAAAAAAACTGAAAGCAAATATATTTTTTTCATAGTAAAATCTTAAAGCTGCTAGTATTAGCTTCAAAATGATATAAAATATTGTAAGGTTTATTGCTCACACAACCCAACAATATGTTGTGATCAGTAACCACCCTTTTTACGCTTGTTTACAATAGTGCTAATTAAGGGTTACTGACCCATATAAAATTTGGTTATCTACCTGTCCCACCCTTATCAGTTAGCCGTCAAACGTCAACCGATACACATCTCCGTTATCAACAATCAAGAATTCTACCTGAAAATGGACACAACAAGCGATTGAGCAGCTCAAGCGATCACCCCATTGCGACAAGGCCAGAGTCAGCGTGAAGTGGCACGTGCACTGAACATGAGCCAGTCTGCTGTTTCCAGAATTTACCGTCGTTACCAGGAGACTGGTGGCTTTAATCGAAGACGCGGTTCTGGTAGAAAAAGGTGCACATCAGAGAGAGATGACCGATTTATTGTCAGCACATCGTTAAGAAATCGGGCCCTCACTGGCGTTCAAGTCCAACAAGAGCTCAGAGAATCGCGAGGAGTAGCTGTGAGTGGCTGGACAGTCAGAAGATGACTTAAGGCAGCTAGGCTTGAGCCAAAAAGGCCAGCTACTGGCCCCAAATTAATCCCAGACCACCGAGCAGAACATGTTGATTGGACTGACGAACAATGGAGCACCGATCTCTTCTCAGACGAAAGTATAGTGTGCTTGCATGGTAGTGATAGAAGAGGACGAGTCTACAGAAGACCTGGGGAAAGATTCGTGCAGTGCTGTATCAAAGAAAATGTTGCTTTTGGAGGAGGTTCCTGGATGGTGTGGGCCGGCATTTCAAGCGAGGCAAAAACCGAGTTGGTTTTTATTGAAACTGGCGGTCGAATGGGAGGATTGACGGCGATCCGATACATCGAAGAGATTTTAGAGGATCACGTCGTTCCCTACGCCGGTTTTATTGGCGAAAACTTCGTCCTAATGCACGACAATGCCCGTCCACATACTTCCAAGTTCCGTCCGGCAGTATTTACAGGAGGTCGCAATTGTCGCTATGGACTGGCCAGCGCGTAGCCCGGACTTAAATCCTATCGAGCATTTGTGGGATGATCTTAAAAGAAAAGTTCGGGCTAGAAATCCTGCACCAGACACGATGGCGGACCTCAAAGCAGCGCTAATCGACGAATGGAATAGCATCGAACTAGATCGAGTAAGGAAACTTATTCGATCCATGAAAAAGCGATTGGAAGCTGTTATTAGGGCCAGGGGGGGCAACACTAAATATTAAAAAAAATATTTTAATTAAATTATTGTTTTGACGAATTTTACGTGGTATTTTCTTTACCGTCAACCATCACTTTTTTATTGCTTAAGACTCCATCTCATTCAATATTTTTTCTTTACCAGAAAACATTTTTTAATAACAACATAGACCATTCATTTTAAAGCTAAATCAAAGAACTTTGAGATGTTAAAATCAGAAATATAATAAAAGCTTCCGATTTTTTGCTAGAGCTTTTTAACCGCAAGCGTGCGTCCTGAGTCGATTTTTTTGCTCACGAGTGTAGAATGCGGAAATATTGTTGGGTCCATACATAGGTAATATACATATCATATTCATATGACATAACAAAAAGAGGCCGTGATAGTCAAGTGACGCGCTCGCTCGGGAAACCGAGTGAAGCGGGTTCAAATCCCGGGTCTCGCATATCTGATATTTTCATATGCGAATCATTTCTTACATGATTACCACTGGTCTTACATTGAAGAAAAACATCGTGAGGAAACCTACATATCTGGGAGAACCTAGCAAGTTTTCCAAAAACATGCTCAGTCTGCCCGCACTTGGCCAGCGTGGTGGACTATGGCTTGATCCCACTCGTATTGAAGGGAGGCCCACGCCCAGCGGTGGGACGTTAAAAAGGGCTGAATAAAAGACAATAAAAACTAAGTTAAATTAACAATAGTCTAATGTAAAATATATTATATCTTTTCCAGGCGTTTCTTTGGGAGCGATGCCACTCCTCCGCACTACAGAGGCTCCACATAACGTGAACAAGCTGTTTTGATGGACATGTTATATATATCAAACAAAATACTATGACGTTTGATATATAATTTGACTTATAATTTGATTGATATTCACAATGGGGATAGCTTGTATACTGTATAAGTATATGAGTGATGAGAGTGAGGCATAAACTATGGGATTTTTTTACGATGTTCCGATGTCGCGAGTTGAGTCCTCTTTGTGCCTTGCACTTAATTATAATATTAGCATTTTTTTAATATATAACATAGTTTATGTTCGAAGATCACTAATAAAGTACAAGATACACAATCCCATGCAAAAGTTCTCTTAAAACTGTCACCAATTGTGTTTAGGTAATTCTAGATGAAATATATATACAATAATGTAAATTCAACCTTAAATGCAATCCTTAAAGTTGTTTTCACAAAGTTATGTACAAAAACAATAATTTTTTATGACCGATTTCGCTGGTCAATATAGGTGATGACATTTTTTGTCGCTGATTGTGTATCTTGTTATTTTTTAGTGATCGATATTTGTGTCATATTTTTTTGTGTAATATAGAATTTTGATTATTTGACTTATTTAAGGCTAGATGAATTCGAATTAAATAATTTGTGTAAGACAAGTATACGATATATGCACGCGTTTTGTTGATTGCCTACACGTCGCCTTACTGCTTATTTGTTCAAACCACTAATACTTGTACTTTACAGTAGAGTTTTTTTCTGTTTTTTTTTAAAGAACAAAGCTTAATTACCAATATTGATATACATATACAGGTATAGGGATCGTGTGTCTATACTTTTACATTAACGAGTGACAAACACTTGAATCTATTGGGATCATTTTTCAATAATGGCAAAATCAAGAAAAAACACTAACGTTTCGATTTTTGCCAAGCTGAAAAATAAATTTTTTTATAATTCCCTAGTTTTTTTAAAGTAAATTTTATATTTTTAAAGTATTTTTTTAATAGATAACATAATTTTCGCATCATAAACATTTGCCACGCTCGTTTGTGGTACAACTTTTACGGTTTAGATAGTTTCGCTTTTGGTTTTTTCTTCTACACCATAAACATGATTGGACTTGAATAATTTTGTACCTGTCTCACTATTCTGACTGTGTACAATATTATTGATAACTTGTTGAATTGTCCATATTTTATTATTTTTTCATTTTCATAAATATTCTGTGTTTACAAATGAATGTTTTGATCCCACTATCTTCAGGAATAAAACACTAAGAGGACAATAGTGCTGCCTCTACATTTCGCGTGCGGTCCCCATAGATAAAATACTTTTTTTTTGTTTTTTTTTTTTTAAAGTGAAATGTGTATTTTATACCAATTTAAAATGTCAATAATTCTATATTAAAACCTCTTTCGGTTTTGTCGCTTGGACAAATAAGCACTAAGGCGATGTGCCATTTAATTCTATGCTCGCTAAAACGCGGAAGTCGCAGGTTCGAAGTCGGTTAAAACATATACATCATTTTTAACTAGACGTATACAACTTATTTGTCGAATTTTATTTGGCTACTGATCTACCTCAAAGAGTACTTAGGAATGCATTTAGAAGTGTAATAGAAGGAGGAAGTTTTTAATAATATTGTAAATAAATAAAAGTTTTATACAAGAACTGGTCGCTTACCTTCGCTTCGCTCGCTCGCTTCCTAAAAGCGTTTCAAACAAAAATAATTAAATAATAATAAAAATATATATTTTTTTTCTTTTTTTATTTTGTGTTTTTCTTATAAGTACCGTATATACTTTCATATGCATTAAGTAAAAAGCTCTTATTTAGACATTACAAACAGACACGTCATTTTTTTATTTATTTGTATAGATATAATACCTGTAGATTATTTATGCAAAATTATAGCCTTCCAATAAAATCTAATTTTATTATAGAACATCAAATAAAAATCAGTACAGTAGTTTTTGAGATTAGCCCGAACAAACTAACTCTCGTTTAATTTATAATATGTAGTGATACGAGTGACATAAATGTCTATTGTCGGGACTTCCCCTATATCGGACTCTGTGTATTATTTTTAAGGTTTATTAAATGTTTAATTTAAAATACCACCCACCCACCACATTTTTATTATATGTACGCACAGACAAACTTTCGTATATATAGTGATTTTCTAAATGATTTTTTTTAGTTAATTTTATGTTATATACCAAATATTACTTAGGCGATAATCTGATTAATTAATTATAATTATTGTATATTATTAAGTTGAAGTAAATAAATAATTATCTTTTCTAAATACTGCTTTTTTTTTATTCTCTATACCTATCTTCAGATCACGCTTTACCATATCTCGCGTGTTTTACAGTGCTGTGTTCTTTGCTAAGCTGTTGCTTAAAAGTGGAAAAATGTACATATCAATACATTAATTGGCAGACCAGCCAACTCCATATGAGCAAATTTTTCAGGAGACAATTAAAACTTTACAATATTATTGGTATAGTTATTAAAAAAATCTAAAACACCGTTAGTAGATACTATCGTAAGCTGTTATTTTTGATACTGTAAAATCCTACTAAAATAATCCTACTGAATTAATCTTGCATACAATCTAAGCCAAAACGTATTTTTTGACGAAATGTAGCATTGGCTGGTTTGCCGATTAAGGTATCGATACGAGTATATCACATATTGTAGACTTTTAATAGTTCTTTCTACAGATGACAATACTATACTAGTACGGACTCTTTGTACAGTCTACTCATAGAGTATATTGCTACGTATATAAAGTCAACTGTTACAGCGTTACGGTGGTTTAGTGGTTAGGATTGTCGCACGTGCACAAAAGGCAGTGATAGCCCAGTGGTAACGCGCTCGCTTGGGAAACCGAGTGAAGTGGGTTCAAATCCCGGGTCTCGCACCTCTGATATTTTCATTTATGAATCATTTCTAACATGATTACCACTTGATTTACGGTGAAGGAATACATCTTGAGGGAAACCTGCATATCCGAGAGAACCTTGCAAGTTTTCGAAAGTCCGTCCGAACTTGGTCAGCGTGGTGAACTGTGGCCTGATCCCCCTCGTATTGAAGGGAGGCCCACGCCCAGCGGTGGGACGTTAAAAAAAGCTAAATACATGGGTGCACATCCGGAAGTCCAGAGGTGTTCAGTCATTGTGTCTCTGCCAAGAAAGTCCCAGCAACAGACCGCAGAAGGAGAGAAGCGGTGTGTCGGGTGCGAGCAGTGCTTCGGGGAGCGCGTCACCCTCACCGCGAGTTTCGAAGTATTGTCCCATCGTACCACGAGAGTAAAATAGAATAAAGAGTGCATGTTGTGTTTGCACCACAATATCCCCTGCACAGATGGTTACTTGTTGTGCCAGCCGTCGCGGGTTTGAGTCCCACTGGGGGCAACCATTTATGTGATGAGCATGAATGTTTGTACCCTAGTCATGGGTGTTTATATTTATAATATGTATGTATTTAAAGTTATATAGGTGTAGTGTTTCAACTATCTGGTATCCATAACACAAGCCTCTTAAACTTATCATGGAACTAGATGGTGCTGTGTTAATGTTCCAACATATTTAGTAGACTGTAATAATTGGTTTACTTATTTTGTTTATTTGTTTATTATCAAAGAAGATCAAATTTTTGACTAAAAATGAAGACTGCAGTTATTTTTGGAAAATATTTATTTTATTTATAAATAATAATTTGTAAAACAATTTGAGTTACCTATAACTATGGCTAATTCATAAATAAAATTAATAAATGCTGTAAAATAAACTATTTACAATATATTAATATTTAAATTAGAATTGGACGGAAGCTATTACATTTATTGTATAAAGAGAATAAGAAAAATTACATAAATTCGGCAGTTTTTTTTAAATAGCTATTAATTAATCTTATATTCTAAATTATCTAATACTCAAAATAAATACTTTTTTTTTACAAAAATATAAAAAAAATATATCGTCACTTTTCCTGACAAACGCTTTTGCGTTATTTAAAAAAAATACATTAAAAATCTTATATATTTTTAATATTCTGTAATGTCTATCTCTATGTTTAAAACAGATTTTCTCTGTACGGGTCAATTTATTATAACCCATAGCAAATAGGTGTATGGCCAATACATTTATGATTCATGGCTACCATATAGCCTGCAAGGAACAAAATTATAACCCAATATATCACTTTGCACTTTGCAAATATATGAGAAAAAAATATTTCTATATTTAAATTATTTCAATATTGAGTTAGAATGTTGTTCTTTGCGTGTGCCGAACATGTGGTTGTGATTATCACCGTATTGAGCTATTAAACTGTTATTTTTATACTCTAAAATGGCGTCGAATAATTGTAAAAATCGCATAGCTATCGTATACTGATTGCCACTCAGTATAATTAAATACAATTTTTAATTGTCCGTTAAGTTGTTTTCTTTGCTTCGGTCGTCCGAAGTTTAAAATGTTATGTTTTCATAATACTTTCTTAGATTTACGCGAATGTTTGACATTATTAAATAAAACTATCTTTTCGGATTATTTCGCGAATTTCCGAAATATCCGAAAATATCCGCGAAATAATCCGAAAAGATAGTTTTATTTAATAATGTTATGTTTTCTCAACAAACATTTACAATTCCTTAATTATTAATTACTGAGCAAATTATTTTTTATTTAGTTTAGTGTATATTTAACATTATGCTCTTTTACTGATAATAGTATGTTTTATAAAAAAAAAACAGAATTAAGCTAAGTGATAACCATCACATCACTAGTATTAATAAAATAAGTACACATTTTTCACAATTTTATTTTCTTCTATTCATTTATTAAAAAAACTATAAACAGAACTCTTCACTCGACTTTAAAATCAAAATTTTCAAATCGTCTTAATATTCGTCTTTTCTATTAATTATAAGATTATAATTATTCTATTTTAAAAATCGGTTAAATTTTCGCTATAAAGCCCTTAAAACTCCACAAAATAACATTAAAATGATATGTTTCATTGTAATTCTTTAAATTTTCTTTAGAACTGTAGTATTTGATTTATCCAGTCCCTAAACTCTGATATGCGAGTGTATACGCCGGGCTGGTTAGGCTCCGCACAGCCGATGCCCCACGAGATGATGCCGCTTAGAACAAACCGATTGTCTCTGGCCCTTTGTACTACCATTGGACCTCCGCTATCACCTGAGATAGGGAAATTGGTAAAAATTTAGGTATTGCTAATTCATAAAGATGAAGTAAACTTAATTTTTTTTTTTTTATATTTTATTACTATAAACTCACACTCGCTTCGCTTGCATTTGCCCTGAGGTGATTCTTTAAATTGACATCACTATTTTTTATGAACCGATTGGAATGAAACAAATACTAAATGTTAAGTGAAGCTACATTAGTGAAAACCGCACCCAAATCGGTTAAGCCGTTTCTGAGATTCTCAGACAAACAGAGAAGAGTTCTAAAAATCATTGTTTTGGGTTCTATTGCTTTTTTTTCTCTAGTATCTTCCGTGTAAAGACAGCGATCAGATACAATTTTATATATATATATATATATATATATATATATATATATAGAGAGAGAGAGAGAGAGATTTTTATTCTTTACTATCGACTTACACGCGTCTCTAGTTGCTTAGCTGTTACCTATGTGTTAATCTTGTACAAGTTACAGTCTATCTATAACCTGAATTACACCGAAACCGTCCAGCTGTTTTAGCGTGAAGGACGAACATACACACATACATATAAACATTCGCATTTATACCGTGACCATGGATGCTGTAAAGCATTCGAAACGTCGGAAACCAAAAATCGAAATAAATCCGCGAAATAATCCGAAAAGATAGTTTTATTTAATAAAGTCGGGTTTATTACAACACTTTTATAACTCGAGGACTGCTGGACCGATTTTTATGATATTTGTTTTGTTGGATTTGTCTTCACCCCGAATAACTATTAAAAGATAGGAAAAATTCACGAAAACCAAAATCATCAAAACGTACTTAAGGACGAACCTGAGCAAAGCGGGGGCTAGTTAATAATAAATAACAATGGGGCTTGTAAATTCAGTACCTTCACAACTATCAGAGCCACCCTTGGTCCATCCAGCACATATAAAAATATGCGGTATATGCTCATTGTACCCGGCCTCGAGATACATGGACTCGCACACGGTGTTGTTTATCACAGGCACTTCCACCTCCTGAAGTACGCTAGGGAGAGGTCCCTCTGTAAAACACACATTTAGGGTTCATATTTTAAAATTGGATTGATTGGTTCAGGTAATGACTTATGTTAAGATTAAAAAATAGAAATAAAACGAAAACTCTCATGCGAGTACGACTCGCACTTGACCATTTTTTTCTCACATTCTGAGTCTTGATTAATACAAAAATAATATATTTTGAATCACTTGCTGGTGGCATGGTATTCCAATAATAAAGATCCAGGTTATTTTAAGGTGAGTTAAAAGGCTCTATGCACACGACGACTTTTTAACACAAGCATACTGACTTATTTGACTTTTTACACAATTTATATTATAAAACATTTGTATTTTTGAAATTATTTGATAATTTTGTGGGTAAGCTATCTGTAACAAATATATACACTATTGAGACGTCTAAAACCTTAGTCTCTCCTGTGACCATAATTGCTGTAAAGCATTTGAAACGTCGGGAACCAAAAATCAAAATAAATTTGCGAAAAAAATCGAAAAGTTAGTTTTTTTCAAATATTTATTGGCTGATTATAGCTAACTTAGATCACAGACTTCATAGCTCGTTACTGGCTAAAAAACCTGTAACTAAGTAACTGACCGTCGTAAAGCCGCCCCCAGCCAGTGACATGCGCAGTTCTACCGACGTAGTCATCATCATTATCAGGCACACAAACTGGTAATATGTTTGGTTGGAACGTCACTGGTTCGTAGAACCTAGAAAGTAATAGGAAGAGGTTAATAATTTTGACGCCTGCAAGGAACAACACTGTAACTCAGTATTGTAGAAATTTAGAATTTCGACCTTAAATCTATACACATAAAAAAATTGAAGTGTCTGTTTGTAATTCCAAAATAACAGCTTTTTACTAAATGAGTATGAAAGTATATACGGTAAATATAAGAAAAACAACAATTTTAAAAATGTTTGTCTAGCTGTCTGTTTGTTCCGGCTAATCTCCGAAACGGCTGCACAGATTTAGACGAGACTTTCACTGGCAGATACGTGATGTTATATGGAGTATCTTAGGTTTACTTACTTTTATTTACGAAAAAGAATTGGGGTTCCACACAAAATATTTAAACCCATGAAATTGTGAACAAAATCCGCGTAGGTACCGAGACACGCTAGCAAAGCAAGGGTTAGTTAGTTAAAGTTATCTTATTTTAGGTTAGCAACATTTTAGATGGTAGGTTTGGATTTAGTTAAAATTTGGTTTAATGGTAGATCTCATTGCGATGTTTCGCCAATAATGGTGCTAACTGCTATGGTGTTAAAGTCTTTAAAGGCATTATTGCCATTGTATTTTCTGTGATATATGGGAAAGTGGTCACAAGGTTACCCAAACTAAATAAATTTTGATCATACATAAAACATTTTACGCTGTAAATCTGTCTGTATTGTAAAGGATCATTTATATGTCCACGACTTGTGTTGTAATTTTTTTTAGTGAATGTATTACATATAAAAAATTATATAGAAATTTATTGAATTAGTGAAATTCCTTAAGATATAAAACAAGACACAAAAACTTTTATATAACATTAGCTTGTGTCACATACTAAAATCTTAGAAAAACTGATATTAGGTGCCTCGGTGGCTTAGTGGCTAGCATGTACGGCTGCACACTCGGAGGTCCCGGGTTAGAGTCCCGGGTCGGGCCAAGTTTAGTTATTAAGTCTTTCTGTATATTAAGTCTCAGTGACAGCCCGGAGTTGGGATGTTGGCGGTGTTTCATCCCCGTGCCTTGGAGAGCACGTAAAGCCGTCGGTCCTACGCCTTAACTCTCACTGGTCGTGTCGAGCAGTTGTCCCACCGGAGTATGAGAGTGACAGGAATAGAGAGTGCACTTGTGTCTGCGCGTACACTTGAGCACTATAATATCTCCTGCGCAGTTGGCTAATCTCAAAGAGATTGGCCGCCGTGGCCGGAATCGATTGGGAGAACATCATATCATCATCAGGTGAGTAGGCTCAATCATCTCAATATGGTCTCTCTAATCTATGGATTTAAATTAAAAACATATGAAACAAAGTCCGAAGAAACATCAAAATGTTCTATTGCTATTTTCGTCTGTGTACATATTTTTATTTTGGAGACATATTAAGCCATGACTTTCAATATCTTCAGCGCCAAAACAATCGAATAAACTATTTTTGTTTAAAGTTACATAAATATTGTATTTTATTTTATAAATCTACTAGTGACTTACGCTCGCTTCGCCGGGTCCCTAGGTGATATTTAATTTTTTTGAGCACAACCTTAATTCTTTTTCTAAAATAAAAGTAGCCTAAGTTACTTCTTATAACATCAGCTATCTACCAGTGAAAGTCCCGTCAAAATCAGTCCAGCCGTTTTGGAGATCAGCCGGAACAAACAGACAGACAAAAATTTTAAAAATCTCTTAAGTATCGTATATAATTTCTTAAGCATTTAGTAAAATGCTGTTATTTTGACATTACAAATAGACACTTCAATGTTATTTATCTGTATAGATATTTTTTTTAAACGTACGCATATTTTAATTAAAAACATGATTCATTGTCATTCGAACTAATATCGATCGATCGATGATTCATTCGGCTTATAAAAAACATAGAAACACAGCACAAAAAAAGTACTGATCATATCAAATGTTGTTTAAAGTTATAATTATAATGCGAGGTGGAGTCAATGACCTATCAACTCTATTTATTAACTGTCTCGGTGGTGGCATGTACGGCTTCAAATCTGGAGATCCTAGGTTTGAGCCCCGGGTCGAGCCAAGTTTATTTATTAAATCTTTAAGGAAGTCCCAGTAACAGCATGGAGTTATGTAGTTAGCGGTGTAGCACGTTAAGCCGTCGGTCCTGCGTCTTAACTCTCACCGGTCGTATCGAACTCGAGCAGTCGTCCCACCGGAGTATGAAAGTGACAGGAATAGAGAGTGCACTTGTGTCTCCACTATAATATCTTCTGAATGAAGACGATTTTCACGATTCTTTTTTAATGAATAGGTTTATTTTATACCTCAAGGGTGGTTCCATAGTTTAATATTTATCAAAATAAATTTAAAAAAGCCGCCTCTAAAGGTGGTATAATTACTTTTAACAGATCTTGATATTTTTTAAAGTCAAAACTACCTTTATTTCTATATTAATGAGTCTCTAACTACACAAATTGAAAATATTGTTGTATTAACATACATGGTTACTTAAAATAAATGTGTTATTATTATTATATTAAACACTAGCGACTCACCCTCGCTTCGCTCGGGTTCGTCCGTAGATACGTTTTAATTTTTTTTAACGAAACCCTAATTCTTTTACTGAAATAAAAGTAGCCTTAGTTACTCCTTATAATATTAGGTACCTGCCACTGAAAGTCCCGTCAAAATCGGTCCAGCCGTTTCGGAGATTAGCCGGAACAAACAAACAGACAGACAGACAAAAATTTAAAAAATGGTGTTTTTCTCATAAATACCGTATATTATTCCATATGCATTTAGTAAAAAGCTGTTATTTTGACATTACAACGGGACACTTCAATTTTATTTATCTGTATAGATAAAATGTATCTTACCTCAGTAAAGCCAAGTCATATTCAAAAGTAGCAGGATCGAAGTGAGGATGGCTGGCAACTATTTGAACGCGTCGTTCGGTGAACCCATACGGTTCTTCTTCATTTGCTAAGTCGTATTCGCCAAGTCGCACCAACAGGTCAGATGGTGGAACCCTAGTTATAAAATAAATTATTTTATTTTCGCATTACATGTGTATTCAGCCCTTTTTAACGTCCAACTGCTGGGAACGGGCCTCCCAATACGAGGGGGATCAGGTCATACTCCACATATTACCAGCGCCAGTTCACATTAATAGTTTGAGCTCGTGGTACGCCACGAGCGTAAACACTTCAAGGTAAAACATTAAAAATCTAAGTAATCCAGAATTAACTATTCCCATTCCGAATTTCATTCAAATTAAGCAAATACAGTGAAAAAAAGTAACAAACACACAAACATTCGCATTTTTACTTCGCACGGATGCATTTCATTTATCATATACCGACTCTCACACTAAGGAAATAATACAGCCTGTCATTGAACTTAAAATTAAAATAATGTTTTAAAATAGAAAACAAATGACGACTTGTATACAAAGTGACAAATGTTAATAAGTTAAATAGAAATATCTAACGCAATTTATTAAAATAAAGAAAAAAAATATGATATGAACTTAAAAACATTCTTGTATGGCAAAATCGAGAATTATGGCATAAACGCTCATCACTGTACTATCTTTGACTTTGATATTTATTTTGGCGGACTCCGTCTATATAATTATTTAGTCTGAGCATATAATTACAGGCCATGATATTTTCAATTTTTATACCAACAAAAATCTATTTGAAGGGTACTTATAAGGAATAAGGACAACACAATTTTAATTTTTTCTTTTATTGTGTACTGGTAACAAATCTGTCTATGGTGGTTGTATTCTCAACCACTGGTTTTTAAATACTCAACGGATGTCGCTAAAAATACGTTTTTATCTATGCCCAAAGCGAAAAGAACTGGGATTGTCTATGATATACCGGTAGAAGAGGATTATCCAAAAATGCACACAGTTAAAACTTACTGCATACTTTGATCTCTATAAAAATATTATATTTCTAAACTTTAAGTTGATTTTTTCTCATAGTCTATTCATTAGGACATGCCCTGTTCTTTGCCTGTATACTTCATTTATTACTCCAGATCGTAGTGTATGTATTCATGTTTCAATGTAAAGAAGTATAAATACACACGTACACATAAACTTTTGCTTTAGTAATATAAGTCCTTCTTTTGCAGCAAAAATCACAGAATAATAATAATTCCTTACTATAATATTTAAATTTCTAGCCAGTTGATTAACAGTTTTTGTACGAATACTCGGGTTTAACACAAAAAATATGGCGATAAAATATGCAATAAGCTACATACATACTACATTTCTGGGAATTATATCGTACTTGAATAAGGCTATCGTGATGAGGCAACGCTTTACAATTGGACACGTATTTTCCTTATAGATTTTTAACTTGAATCTCCTCATTATTTGTTCAGGAAGTAAATTGTTTAAGGTTATAGTTAAAAAGCAAGGGCTTATGTAAATAACAGATGGTGTTTTATTATAATAATTCTGAATAATAGATATTAATATCGCAAAAATAAATCAAAATCGAAAAAAAATAGATTTGTTTCATTGATGTCTTAAATTGTACCAGAAGTTTCTTTCTAAGAAAAAAAAAGAATTTTTGTTTCAGGATAAGATATACTACTCAAATTGCGTCAAGATTATTGAAAAAATTATCTTTAATGTTGGATTCAAAGCAATATCTACGCATAATGTTATAAATACAACTTAGTGCTTGAATTTATGATTTCAAAACAAGGCCTAAAAGGCATCTTATTGCTTCTCTTTTCATATTTCGCCAAATTTGACAAGCTCCCTAGCTCATTTTACTAGATACTTAAAAACACAAGACTTAAAAATTTCCACTTACCTTTCAACACAATGCGCTGCAGTGATAGCCCAGTTCTCATTCAATAAGGCTGCACCACACTTGTGTAAATATGACGAAGATCTGTACTGCCTCAAGGAGATTTGCCACGGCCATTGTCCAAACTCAGATTTCGACCCACCAACAATTCTCGCCTGCGGCCACATCCGGCGTCCGCACACTGCCAGCACCATCAGAGTTGAATTTATAATCATTATAAGTCCTTCTAACTCGTTACACAATTTAAAAAACATTTGCGATTTATTTTGGAACCATTCCGAGTATTTTACACTCTAAATATATATTATCACAGCATTTTCATTTATAATACACTTTGAAAGTATCGTACTCTGGTGGTCGAACCAATTCAATAATGGCAAGGCGACATTTTATATATAGAATTACGGTTTTGGTGGGTTTTTAATGAGCACTTAAAATCGTAATTTATTTTTTTAAATATTTATATGACACGTTTGTGGATACACATCCTAAATCACTTCACACGCTTCAAACATTCGCTGTTTAGCTTTTAAATATTCATTATTATCTGCACTAATTTTTATGACTGCCAAGTCTTGCAGTCTAACAAAAATACGAGGTTTTTGTTGAAATATATTGCAAAAACCGATTCAAATATAATTTCTAACTTCAGAGCTCGTACTCTAGAGTGTACTCTGAGGATCACGCGTCTGACAAGTCTTTGTTTATACAACGAATGAGGTTTTTTGTTTTTTATCGCAGTTTATACGGTCGGAGGCTGCACATACATACTGTCAGCTAGTTCTTTGACCTGCTGTTTGACTTTAGCGGTGAATTTATTACATTTGCCATTCAAAGGTTTTATGGGTATTTTACACGCAATTCAAATTAATTTATAAGTTATTGTCGTGAGGTAGCATTTTAAATTCATATTAGATATTGTAAAAGGGTTTATAGCATTGAAATTGGTATTAATTATATGGCGATAACGTCATTATAAAATTGAAAAGAATTTGATTTGTATAGTGTAAATATTGCGAGAATGACTATTACTGTATGCAAAACTTGATAAGCAAGTCTTGCAAGTCCATAATGGTGATACTCTTCTAGAGTAAAGTTTGGACAAACTTTCAGAAAAGAAATGGGTTTTTGTTTGTTCAATATAATATTTAAATTTATAGTAAATAGCCTCTGCTGGCGATGATTTGAATTTCTTCTTGTGGCTTTTTTTTTGGAATTAATAATGGCAGTATAAATAAGTATTTAAACTAACAAATTTTTACCTAACAGTTCTAACTACTTTGTCGCATATGCTTATTTTGATTTGTAGTTTAATAAACATTATACATAAGTTAAAATGTGACTCTGTCGGTCGAAATGAAATTTGAAAATAATTTCTTCAGTGCTACCATTATATAATATAAGTTACTTTAAATGTTGACTAAAACTTTAAAATATTTAAATACAAATAGCCTTCAAAAATAATAATTATATTAAAAAAACGTGTGCGTGTGTATTTATGTACGCACGTAAGAAGTTATACTTCTTTGGCGTAACAGAACAAAAATAGCTAAAGATTTCATCCCGTATGTCACAACTCTCTCTTTGTATAAGGGAATGCAGCTAACGTCATCGTGTCGCTTTCAGCTAACTTCATCATGTCGTTATTTTTTGTCGGTGTCGGCATCGTAAAAAATTTACTCTCATATTTTTTTCCAAACGTCCCAAAAGAAGTATAACTTCGAAAAATAACGGACACATCAAAATAATGTCATAATTTTAATATTAATGACAATATTCTCATTCACAGCATTATTTGTTTATGCACTTAATTTATGTACATATTACTTTGCAGCCTTCATCATATACATACGTTAAACAATGTACGAACAACTATAAGTATTAAATCATTAAAGCAGAATAAATTTTATATACATATACATAGACTAGTATTTTTCTACAGTTTTGTCTACATCTTTACATTGCTTACACAAAGATTTTTGCCTTTCAAGGAAGTAGGTATTTATTATTATGTATTTTATTTCAAGGATTAACAGTACGTGAAGCTAATTATAAGATTTCATAAATAATTGGTCGTTGCATACATTTATTGCTGCTATGTTATTATTTTTAATGATTTCTGAACTTGCAATAGCCTGCGACTTTTTTATGTTATGTCAAAAAAGTATGGTCAAATGCGAAACAGACTTGTTTGAAGGTAGATTCAGTATAAAAACTTAAAGAGAAAAAATGATTTTTTATATATATTTTTTCTATAAAATATATTATATATTGTATAATATGTATCCTTGTGAAAACTGTTGTTCTTCTGCCATCGAGCAACACTTACAGGAGGAGATGGGGTAGCCCTATTCTAAGCCGAGCGCTATACGGCTAAAATTTGGATGGAATTTTCAAATATGGACATTAATAATGACATTAATAAAATATCACTTTCTAATTGAATATTTAACATATCTCATCATTCACTCATCATTTTTAGGGACTGCAGTAATTTATTTTAAGTAGTCATCTAAGAGTCATCGAGCACTCTCAAATTATTGAACTGGTTAGGAACTACTTAGAAATTTTTATTAAAATGCTAAGAGAATTAAAAAAACAAACAAAAATAATAATTGTTGTGGCTGCAGGAAATAAATAAGTTATCTACTAAGCAAACTTACCTTCCTTATAATTTGACATATTGTACGACTCTGTGGTGGTGCTAACTGTAGTGCTAGGCTGTGTAGTCGTGTCTGTTGGCACGGTTGTTTCTGAAAATCATTTAAAAAAATATACATCACAGACTTCCGCTTAGAGTTCTTCAACCGATTTCAAAAAGGAGGATGTATCCAACTTGAGAGTCCTTAAATACTTAGCAGTTGCTAAGCCTAACTTAGCAGCACACCAGGAGCTGAATTCCAGTGATGTTTGAAAAACCAGAATAAAATAACCTACGTTGTTATATACATAAGTTGTATGCGTGATGGGTTTAATTTTAGTAGACATGAAGATATAACAAACAGACAAACAAAACTTTTGCATTATAACAGTAGTAAGTAAGTGAAATTTTCTTACCAGTTGTACTTGACTCGGATGACGCCTCAGTCTGATTAACTGATAATGTAATATTTTCTGAAGAAACCGAACTGAATGTGGTCAAACCGAAGCTTGATGTGGATGAAATCGTAAGAATTGTTTGACTTGTTTCTTGAGAGCTATTAAATGTAATATCCAACAATGGGGGAGAAACAGTCGAAACTGAACTTTGTGTTGTAGTCGAAGGGAATCGTGTTATATTAACTGTGAATTCGTATATAGGAGCTTCTGTAACTGTTGGCGCTGAAGTCGCTGAATTTTCTGAAGTCACAGAAGTCTGCACGGATGAAGGTTCAGTCGTTATTGGGACTTCTGATTTGGTTGTCATTTCAATTATTGTGGCTGGTGAAGTTTCAATTGTCGTTGGTTCTTCTGTAGTTGGTGAAGCAGTAGATGTTGTTGATGTTGTTATCATTGGTGTTGTAGTTGTCTTTTCAGATTTTGGCGGTACTGTCGAAATTAATACCCATCCGTCTGGTGGCGTTATAGGTGACCAACCGTCTGTAACATAAATATATTATTTGTATGCGCATCTTTAACTTTCTCAAAGTAATAATTTTTCTATTGAAACCCACATTTTTATTGTAAAATCAGTTAATGTATGCAAAATAAATTGATCGATTTGGAAGAGACTTAACTTATCATGCAAGTAATGTATTCGTTAATTCAAATACGTATGTAATAGCTTTAGCTCTTTATTCTAGGCGGTTACAAAGCAATAACAGTTAATATGCTTATTGGTTGTATATTACATGGCAATAAAAATGTGGGCAATGTTACTGGCAATGATTCGTTTGTAAAATCTGTAGGCAAAAAAATGTCGAAGTAAAGAGCTTAATACTTTCTTAGATTTACGCAAATATTTGACAAATTCTATAGATTTTTAGTGCCATATCTGCCTTTTCTTCAAAATTAAAGTATAACTTTGTGGTTTGACGCTGTTTGTAATAATATCTATTTCGTGACTATGATTGCGGCAAACCATTCGAAATTTCCGAGAACCAAAATTACAAAATGAAACCGTGAAAATCGAAACTTTTATTTAAAGGGCTTAGGTTTACTAAGTGGCTCATCTTCATTCACGATAAGTAACGACTAGTGCATCCTACTCTCAAATCTAGAACGTTCTGGTCACGTCGATCGTGATCTCGAAGTTTACCGTTCATTACGTTTCGTATCAACTTTGCTTTATATTTAGACTTTGTTGCCATGTGGCTGCATGGCTTGAAGAAAGGATGCTACTCCAGAGGTTAGCCACTTCTAGTTTCCATTAAGTCCCTGTATTTAACATGTTAAGAGTCTGGGTGGTCTTAAGTTAGTGAAGTTAGGCTATTAAATACAGGCATAACTTTCCCCTTTCCATAGTTAATAATGAATAAACTATTTTTTCATTATTTAAAAAACGAGGTTCTATGTCTGACAGCTTCGTATTATGTATGAGGAAATGGTTAGCAACGATTCTAAAAATATCTAGTAAGGGAACAGAGGCAAGATGTCATTCGACCATCGTTGAAGAATAAAAAATTTAAAATTGTATTAAAATAACAAATTGAACAGTTATATCATAAAATCATACTATTTTAATACTAAATAATTTAGATTTCTACATTTCAACGATTGTAGAAAGAAAACCCCAAGTGATAAATAAAGGTCTCCGTTAAGTTCTTTCTTGAATTAAGACTAAGTAGAAACTAAACCTTGAAATCGGTCTATGTGTTAAAAAAGAAACTATTTTTTCTTTATTTTACTCCATATTTCATTATTGGTTTTTATTAATTATGAATGCTAATATTAACATAGATGTTTCACATCGGCCAATTTTTTTAATTAACTATGTCAATCTGTATGTCTCTATTCTATGAATTCAGATTAGATTCTGACAGATCTCAATAGGACTAACTGAGACCACTATCCCTGTTACATGTTTATATATAAACTAGCGATAGCCTTGCTTCGCTCGGGTTCGTCCCTAGAATGCTTCCCAATCCAATACATTTTTTTATTTATTTTTCATCCCCATTTTCACCCTCTTAAACGATGATTTCCGGGTTAAAAAATATCCTATGTCCTTTCCAGGGTCTCAAACTATCTTCTTACCAAATTTCATCTAAATCGGTTTCAGTTTCAGAGATTATGCCCTACAACGTCATAAGCTCACAAACTAATTCTTTATAATATATTCTTTATAGTATAGATAAGCTCTGTCATTAAGTTACTCTGTGCTGTTCAAGAGAAAGTTTGCGAAGATAAAAGAATGCACCCTGAAAAATATTCAACACATTTTATATACGAATCCTATTTTCATAACAATACAATACCCATTATAATTAGATACACACGATTTTGGCACGCGATACAACTATTACTATCGGTAAAGAAAGTGAGGTGCAATTTCACTTAAGCAATACATCGGCTCTGACCCGACTCCACTCGTTTTTGACCTACATACGTGACTTGTATTAGTATATTGTTGCGAAGAATTCATTGGCAGCTGTGAGAATTTAAAATATAGTTGTTGATAGTTTAAGTATTAAACTAGAAGACGTGAAGATAGTTCTCTAAGAACATATAGTAAATCTATGTTTATACATTATATATATCATATCTTAGACTAAAAAAAATCAATAGTAGTTATATGATTTTTCGTAAAAGTTATAAAAAAAGTATTTTTTTCAAAAAAGGCATCTATAGCTAATAACTATACATCTATACATATAATAAAATTTTAACTAAGTCGAATCTGCACAATAAATATTTTTTCACGGAAAACCAACTGGATTGATTTTGATGAAATTTTGTATGATAATAGCTGGTTATCCGGGTCAACATACAGGATACTTTTTACTGCGGAAAAATAACTCATCTCTGAGAAATCTGTACTAAACGTTAAAAGAGTCGCTAGTATGTAGATAAATTTAAAAAGAGAGAAACCTATAACTAAATACACAATTTGATCAAAGTCGACCAAATTGCTCATTTAAATTTTATATTGAATGTTTGTATGTGAAATTCGAATAGCAATACAATAATTTAATAGGTACCAACCAGACTACCGACTAATATTATAAAGAGGTAAAGTTTGTGAATTTGTGAGTTTGTGATTTTGTATGGGTGTTTTCCCCTTACAAACTTTCATCCCCATTTTCACACCCTTAAGGGATGATTTCTGGGATAAAAAGTATCCTATGTCCTTCCTAGGGTCAAATTCATCTTCTTACCAAATTTCGTCTAAATCGGTTCAGCAGATCCAGAGATTTCGCCCTACAACGTCACAAACTCACAAATTTTGCCTCTTTATTATATTAGTATAGATGTATTTAAATAAAATAAAAATACGAGAAAAAAACTTGGTAAGTAATACATAGTCTGACAGTAAAAAAACGCTGTTTAGACTCTAATATCATGCACATATCACATGGACAATTAGTTTTTTTTTTATGTCCAGATATCAGTGTTCTCGAGCCAAGTGCTGTCTGCTTTTATCAGACGTAAAATTGCGATACATTTTTGTGTGGGCGGAGAAAATACACGGTCGAGTGTAAATCAATGTCTTTTGTCTGTAACTGATTATATTGTTACTGGCAATAAATGAAAAAATATTGTATTGATTTTCAAAGTATGAGATTGCAAAGCTTACTAATAATATATTATAAATGTGAAAATTTAGATGTTTGGATGTTTGTTACTCAATCGCGCCAGAACGGCACAACGGATCTGGATGTTTGGCACAGAGATAGATTATAATCTGGAATAGCATATAGGCTACTTTTTATTTCGGAAAATATACGGTTCCCGTGGGATAGATTTGTTTTTGTTTTTTTTGGGGGAGCCGCTAGTACTTTTTAAATGTATATTTCCCAAAAATAATAATATATGATTTATTTATTTATCTATGAGTTATTGTTGAGGATTTAATAGTAAGAAATGTTTTTTCTTAATCTCGATCGGTTGTCGATCTTTTTTCAACTACATTATTTTAAAAACTTCTTAACTAGTTATCCATGTCAGTACAGAAATAGACAGTAAATATTGAGTAGTAGTTGAAATTCAGAAAAAGAACTTATAAAAATTTATGTTAAGACTAGCGGATGTAAAGACAATAATAGAGATCTATTAGTTCCCACGGGAACAATTCATTTTTCCAGGATGAAAAGTAACCTGTTGTTTGACCGGTAATATAAGTATCAGAATGTTAAATTTTACTAAATTAAGTGCATAAGTTGTTGTGTACTTAGCTGTATAAGTTACTATAGTTTGTTTACTATCCCACGGGAACTCTTTAATTTTCCGGAATGAAAAGTATCTTAGATGTCGACCGGGGATATACGGTACGACCTTGCAAAATTTCATTTAAATCGGTCCAATAGTTTCGGAGATTAGCCCATTCAAACAGACAAACAGACAGAGAACCAAAAAAATTGAAAAAATCTGGATTTGTGCTATTTTTCTTCTTACGGGATATAAGAAGATTACTGACTCGGTTTTTACCATTTTTTTCTATATACAGACATTCGACCTCTACAGTTTTATTATATTTATAGATAGAATAAATAACGTATAATAAAACAGTAATATATAATAATGAAAATAGTTATAGCGAGTGTACCTTAGGAGATAGACATATACTATTGACAACTTTTCTATCGACCTTTTTAAGACTTACAATTTTCTTGTACAATGTTTTGATCTATCTCTTAAGGTTGAGCCAGCGTTAGCCACATAAATTTCTAAGGACAATTCGACAGAACCAGTTATTGTGTTTTCCCGTAGGAAGGAGTAATTTGCGTGTCGTAAAAGGTATCCTAAATGTTGACCCGAGTTTTAAGTTATCACTATACAAAATTTAGTTAAAATTTTCAGGTTCAGTACTTTTTGCGTGAAACGCGCTCATCGATTTGACTAAGTTAGTTTTATTATAGGTAAAGATAAGATATAGATATTGCTTAGGAGATATACATATACTATTTAGAACTTTCCTGTCGGACTTTTCAAGACCTACAATTTTTTAGTATATCGTTTTGATGTATGTATGTCTTAAGGTTTCTTTATATTTTATCTTTTATCTTTCTTTCTCACGGGAAGATAAAATCAGTCATTTTATCTTCCCGTGAGAAAGAAAGATTTTCTTGAAGTAAAAGGTATCCTAAACGTTGACTCGAGTTATTACTTCACCAAATTTCGTTGATATCGGTCCATTACTTTTCGCGTGAAACGCGCATACAATGAAAACTTTTTAACAAAAAAATAAAAACCGACTTCAAACAAAAGCACTAAAAAGTAAAAAATAACTGATTGGTAGTTTTCATTTACTATACATACCTAATCAAATATTTTCGAAGTCGGTGTGCTTTGCTTTGTATGGACTGGCACCGATTTCGAAAATATTTGATTAGGTATGTATAGTAAATGAAAACTACCAATCAGTTATTTTTTACTTTTTAGTGCTTTTGTTTGAAGTCGGTTTTAATTTTTTTGTTAAAAAGTTATTTTTCAATTTTTAGTGTAGACAGTAGTAGCAAAGTAAGAATTCTAACGTGTTAGGTTTGTCAAATCAAACAAAATAAGCCCAAACTCAAAGTATCTACTATTAGCCGTTGAAGAGTTCCACCTATCCACCTTCTGGCCTTGCCATCCGATCAGGTCAATAATACCGAACCACTGTACTATCAACGGAAATAGCAACACTTGCAAAGTTCCAAGTCAATATGAATATTAGAAGTAGGTTAAATTCATCATTAGCTATTTTTCCACCCTTAGGGGTAGTTTATTTTTTTTGAAATTTAAATGGGAGCAATCTGGAAGTATACACTTTCAAACAACACAAAAATTGTCCGAATCGGTTAATAAATGACGGAGTTCTGAGGTAACAAACATAAAAAAAATACAGTCGAATTGAGAACCTCCTCCTTTTTGAAGTCGGTTGAAAACAGACAAACAGATATACAGGCAAATAGACAAATAGACGATTTTTTAATAACTATTGTTTTGGGGTCTATGTTGTGTACATAATACGGTAAAAATAAACGAAAACATCTATCCCACGGGAACCGTACATTTTTCCGGGATAAAAACTAACTTATTTGTTATTCTGATGTATGACAGTTATTATTCCAAAGTTTCATCAAAATACAATTATTAGTTTTTGTGTATTAAGCAGTATAAGTTACTATAGTTTTTTGACTGCCCCATGGGAACTCTTTAATTTTCCGGGATGAAAATTGGCCAATTTGTTATTGTCATGCATGAATTATATTATTGTAAAGTTTTATTAAAATCCAATTAGTAGTTTTTGTGTACTAAGCTGAATAAGTTATTATAGTTTTTTAACTAACCCACGGGAACTATTTAATTTTCCGAGATAAAAAGTATCTAAGATGTTGCCCGGGGATATATGATACCACCACGCAAAATTTCATTTCAATCGGTCCAATAGTAATTCAGAGATTAGCCCGTACAAACAGACAAACAGACAGAGAAACAAAAAATTTGAAAAAAATCTGGATTTGTTCTATTTGTCTTCTTACATCCCCCTGATTCGCATTTTTTTGCTATGTACAGACATTCGACCTCTACTGTTTTATTATATTTATATTTTTATATATAGATTTGTTGTTTTTCTATTAACTAAAATTTCATAACAAGGATAGGAGATACATATATAAAAAATATGGGGCACTCCATTTATAATTATAAGCACTTTGTGGTTTAAATATCTTTTTACACTATTGGATTTATATTATATGCTGGTGTTATACATACTTTTTTGTATTTAATATTAAATACCTGTTTAATTTTAACTCGTTGATGTTTAAAAAAAACATTGACATTGATTGACACCAAAGTTTTTAGATTTTTATCTATATTTTTGTTATGCAAATTAAATGTACTTGACCTGACGCTTAGCGTGAGGAATTTTAATGCAAAAATTCTATATCTGTATCACTTACGCATACTAAATTCAACGAAAACTTTAAAATTACTATGTAATAGGAGTATTTTAAGAGAAAAAAAATATTATTAAACTTAAAGCGGCTAGCATTCTTACCACTAATCCACACGGACGTGACTTGTAAAGTAATAATTAAGTATATATTTGTTTTGCATATATAATATATTTAAGTATATTTATAATTTCCTCTATTTTAAATAAAATGTAATATAATTATTAAATTTAAAATATTATTTAACTTAAATATATATATATATATATATATATATATATATATATATATATATATATATATATAAATATAAATATAAAAATTTCATTCATCATCATCGCTTATATCAATTACGCATCAAAAACCAATGAAGTGATTTAACTCTTTAGGGAGTGAAACGGACTTAATTATAATAAAAACTTGGGGTTGATCCTCGAAAAACAAAAACCAATCTATCCCACGGGGACCGTACATTTATCGGAATAAAAAGTAGCCTATATGCTATTCAAGACTATAATCTATCTTTGTACCATACTTTATCCAGATCCGTTCAGCCGTTCTGGCGCGATTGAGTAACAAACATTCAAACATTTAAACTTTCACATTTATAATATTAAGTAAGATATATATTTTTATGGTCAAGTTATTTTGCCTTTAGCAAAAACATAGGACTCTTATATAATCTTAAAATAGCGTTTAGACCCATTTAATTAAGCCCTGCCGCAAAAGTTTAGCTTTTGTTACCTATAAATTAACTGACAGTTTCTTAGATTTTTTTAACAGGAACACTTAATAATTACATTTATCCCGCTCAGAAATCGAATATTTGGATATACTTACAGACACTGAATTTAATGAAACACCTGTCAATATTTAAGGGGAGCAAAATTAAGTAAATCTCATGAGATAAGTTGAAGCAGACTACTAGTATTATTCTATAATTCAAATGTTAAACCATAAAAGCTTATCTTTCGAATCTTTTCCGCAAAGTGCAGGCCAACAATCGAATTGTTTTTATAATCATAAGAACAATAGAAGCAAATATCAGACATCATAATTTTTAATCTGCATTTTTTTATTAGACTTTGTTTGCAGTTTAGAAATAATTACAAAACTATAATTAAATGTCAGCTTATAACTCACAAGCTGTTTGACGTATACGAGTATATAGCAGAATTTGCAGAATGGCTCGTGTGTATTTTTAGGAGACATTAGAACATAAATAAGTTAAACTGTATGTTATATCTAGACTATTTTCGTATAGACTAATAGAAATGAACTCTAAATTTTTCGTAGAAAATTATTATCCATGGGAATCCTTCTGTTTTCCAAATTAAAAAAAAATCTAATTCCGAGAGCAGAGCACAAAATAACCTATATAATAATTAATAACAATCAAGCAAATATTTTTGTATTTGATGTGCTGTGTGTGTAATTTGTAAAGATAACTCACCATCTAAATCAGGAGTAGTAGTCTCGGGTGCCTTTGAACTGGAACTGCCATAGTCTGACCAAGTCACGAAAGGTGGAAACTCTGTCGATGAAAATTGTGTTGATATATATTGATCAGTTGTAGGCTTAAGCGTTTCTTTTTCTGTTAACTCATCTTGTATCTTTTCTGATTCTTGTGTTATATCTTTTTCTGTTGTAACATCTTTGGATAATTCGGTTGTGACTGCCTCTAGTGTTTCAGTGATAGTTGATTTTTCTGCCTGTTTATCAGTGACTTCAATAACTGGTGAAGTTTCTGTTACAATATTTTCTGTTGTTTCTGCGATATGTACTGTTGTTTTGGGTACTTGCGTCGTTGTAGTTATTGGTGTAGTTGTTGTGGTTATTGGTGTAGTTGTTGTAATTATTGGTGTAGTAGTTGTTGTCATTGGTGTAGTAGTTGTGGTTGGTGGTGGTAATGTTGTAGTTGTAGTAGTGGTTGTAGTCGTAGTCGTAGTGGTAGTAGTTGTAGTCGTTGGCGTAGTTGTAGGTTTTTCCTCGATTTTAGATATTGTAGTATTGATATAGGTTATAATCGGTGAAGACGGTCTAGTAAATACTGGTCTGGAACTTGTATATTGAGGAATAATGGTGATATTTAACCTTGGCGGAGACGGTAATGGCTTCTTCGTTGAAGGCCTTTTAGATGATACCTTATAAGGAGGCTTTCTGGTTATAGTTACTACAGGCCTAGTTGGTTTAGGTTTCAGGCTGATATGCTGTGGTCTATACGTCGGTCTAGGTTTATACGTAGGCCTTGCTGGTTTAACAGAAGTTTTTACAGGTTTCTCAGTGGATACTTGTTCACTTGTAGGTTTTACAGCTTCTGTAGTCTCTGTCTTTGTTGGTTTAAGTTCGTCTGACTTTTCAGTAACTATATTATCTCCAGATACGCTTTGGAAAGTTGATAATTTCGTAGGAATTTCTGTAGTTTCGATCATTTGGGATGTTAACTTTATAGATTGAGTTGTTGGCATCTCTTTTGTAGTTGGAACTATATTAGTAGATTTTGTGTCATCGCTCTTTTTATTGTCATCAGTAGTTAGTTCATCTGATTTAGTCTCTAGCTTACCTGGGTCTGTATGATCTTGTAATGTAACTGGTTTTTTCGTTGATGGCTTATTTTTTATAATATCTTTTGGAGGTGGCTTGTCCAGATCACTATCGTGTTTATTAGGAAATAGACCTGGTATTTTATGTATTGTACTATGAACATTGTCTCCTGTTAAAGGATGAACAAAGTTTGCACTATCTATTGAATTCTCTTCTATATTAATGCCAATTATCTGTGGTAATATGTCTTTGTCTGGTATATGGCAGCACGAGCCGAAGTAGAACCTGTCTATACATGTTCCTAAATGTGTGCCGTTCACTTTGAGGCAGTCTATCGCAAACATGCAGAGCCCTTCATTACCTGACTTCCTCGAAATACAAGGCAAGTGTCTTATATTCCTAGCTACGGGTACTGGACCTGAAACAAAAATAAATAATACGTTAATAACAAAAATTAAATTATATTTATAAATTAGAAACAAAAAAAACCTTTTTTTGAATACTTATAAGTTATATTATATTTATACTCAATTATATCCATAAATAAAAGACTCCACACAGAACAATTAAAAACTGCATTAATTCAGAATAATTCTAAGTAGAGCAATAAGTTTTTGCACTAGATCATAAGTAATCTACACATTATTTTTTATTAATAATCATAACATATTAGTAAACAAGCGACCTGCCTTTGATTCTCTCAGCTCTTACCTAAGACTCTACTTTTTCCAACTTAACGGGAATAAATACTTCTATTATCATAAGCTACTAATTGTAACCAAATGTATACTAAACTCTAATAAATAGTGTATATATACCTACTGTAAAGATGAATAAATGACGTGGTGATTAATAAGTTTGTAAGAAAGCTTTTTTGTTGAAAATTAAAAATCAACAAAAATTGAAAATGTTTAATGTACATGTTATAATTATATTTTGTAGCGACATCTGTTTTAGCTTAGATGAACTACTCGTAAATTCGATTTCCTCATAAGAATCAGAGATGGCGTATTTCGTGTAATTTAATATAGACATCTTAAAAGTTTATTTACAAGTAGCGATTCGCCCTCGCTCCGGTACGTTTTGACGGTTAGTATAGACACGGTAATGCTACATATTACATTACCGTGGTATAGATTTCTCAGAGATGAGACATTTTTCCGCAAAAATGAGTATCCTATATGTTGACCCGGATAACCAGCTATCATTTTACCAAATTTCATAAAAAAACTATCTAGTGGTTTTCTTGTGATGCGTTCCCAGACAGACATAGGTACAGATAAACAAAAATTCTAAGAACTATCTGTATCGATAATAATGACTATTTTTTATTTTTTATTTCAATAAGATTTTCAAAAAAAACGTTTAATGTACAGATTCCACTCAGTTAGAATTTTATTATATGTAAAGATTCAAAATGTGATGAATTATTGCAAATTTTACATGCTATAATTATGATTGTTTTGCAGTTCGTCCATACTATTATTTCGTTTTCGCTTTGTGTAGAGAAGGGTGAGTCGCAAGTGTATAAAATATCTATCGGTATAAAATAGCTATCGGCCTACATTCGTTTCGCTCTGCTGCTTAATTAGGTGCATAATAGTAACTTATGTGTTATCTCAGGTTATGGCCTATGTGAGTACTAAATTTTATCCAAATCCGTCCAGCTGTTTTAGCCTCAAGGAGTAACCACAACTGCCTGGTTGGAATATCCATACTAATATTATAAATGCGAAATAAAGTTTGTGAGGATGGATGGATGAATGAATGTTTGATACTCTTTCTCGCCAAAACGGCTAAACGGATCTGGATGAAATTTGGAACAGAAATAGATGATAGTTTGGAATAGCACATAGGCTACTTTTTATGCCGAAAAATACAAAAATAAGAGTCAAAAATTTTTAGTAGAAGCATACGATTGAGAAGTCAAATACTCTCGCCCTAGAATAACGCACATAAATTGTTCCGCTGATAACCTATATTTGGATATTCCTATTAAAAATGAAAAACAGTGTGTTTTACATATCACAATCTAAAATTGATTAGAAAGTCATTGTCATAAAGCTTATATATTTATTTTTATTTTTAAAGCTATAAGGAAGAAAATCTATCCATAAATATGGTAGATTTACGTATTATAATGACTTAATATAAAAGACATCAACGCGCTAAAAGCTTATATTTTCCTTACATACGATATTGGGTAGTGGTTTATTTGGTTGAGGGAGAAACTATTGAGGCCATTGTCATTGTTAAGTCATCAGCAAGTCCTAAGATTTTTGAAATATTAATCTAAACTATCTATATAAATGTGAATAATGAAAGTAATTCTCGTCTGTCTCTCGATCATTCACGCCTACACTGTGGAACAAACTGTGAAATTTGGCCATGCCAATATATAGTCCTTCCATAATAATTACTCTGCCTTGAGGCATTATATTAGAATAGTGTTCGCCCAGTGGTCGAAATTCGGCTATAGTTATTCAATTTTTTTAATAACACTAAAGCTAATCAGTAGGTACTAACCAAAAAAAAAGAAATTTAGTTGTCAAACACTAGAGAAAAAGGTAACTGTTTTGTCTTTGCCTACTTATATATAGATATTTATATGTACTAGACATACCAAAAACTTATACCCGAAGTGAATATATCCTCCTTGTTTGAATTTCAACTGAAAACCTAACGTCTATTCCATTGGACGACTATTTCCGTATTAATAAAATTTTAATTAATAATTAAAGCATACAACACAAAGAGATGAATCAACTATTACACCGAATGCTGATTTATTTTTTGTTCGAATGCTATAAATTGTTTTAAATAATCGTCGCAGCTCGGTGGCATTGAGAGTTTTTTTTGTTTTTTTCTGTGCTAAATATCCGCCATAGTTGTGGCGTCCAAATCTATTAAAAGAATATTCTTACAAAATTAGATTTTATTTGAATTTTTTGCACTACGTAAGTTAGACGTTATTACTAATATTAATCTATACAGATAAATAAAATTGAAGTTCTGTTTGTAACGTAATATATATTTTTACATTGTTTGTAACGTATAATTTTTACTAAATGCGTATGAGTATAAGAAAACAACATTTTTTTTGTCTGTCTGTTTGTTCCGGCTAATCTCCGAAAGTGCTGGACCAATTTTGACTGGACTTGCATGTAGTTGATGTTATAAGGAGTAACAAAGACTTCTCTTATTTCAGAAAAATAATTAGGGTTCTGCGCAAAAAAAATAAAACCCATGAAAATATGATCGTGATCCGCGTACCTAGGGATGCACCCGAGCGAAGCGAGTGTAAATTAACCATGATATTTCTATAACGCTTCACTTGATTCTTATTTGGATGGAACAAGTATTGTCAATTCAATATAAAGCATTTCAATAGAATACAATATAAATTATAAACATATAAAACCTATCTGTACATTATGATATCTATCTATATGGTATGGGTTTAATATAAAGTAACTTGTGATTCACTCATCATTGCCCAGACCAGAATGTAAGATCTGAAAGTCTTTAAGGACAGAATAAGATTGTGAAATCGTATGTCATAAAAATAATAATTATTAGTTGTATTCAGTAAATAAAATAGTTCTCATAATATAATAGAATATATCATATAGCATACGTTTTCTAAGAACTTCACTAAATATTATAATTGATGCCAAAGCATGTGCGTTGGTTCGTTCTTTTTTATACAGATAATGGTTAGCGTGACAAAGGGTAGTTTTTATCTCGAAATACCAAGACGTTTGCATATAAATCAATAGTTTAAAATAAAACCACTCTAATAAAAGTTTCTATGATCCACGTAAACTTCGCCAATATAGTAAAGTAAAAACATGAAAGCTAACAACCTCAATGATGCTATATGTCTCTCGATTTATTGTATAAAGTCATTTACCGCATACCTAAATCGAACCTATCACCTCCAATATAAGGTACGTAAGATAAATCGGTACAGTTATATTAAATGCATATATTATAATGATTCTAAAATGTCTTGCATATTGAAAAACCAGTCCTAAATAACCTGTAACGGTATCAAAAACCTTAAAATTTACATACTGTCCTTATCAATTATGAACCTACATTAAAACGGGATTTTATATCAACTAAAAATGAATATTTCTGTAAAAAAATTTGCTTTATCTTCTACATATTATATATCTAAATTTTTTTATCTTACTCCACTGCCAAACTAATATTATAAAACAAAAGTTGTATGTGTGTAAGTTTGTTAAACCTTCACGTTGAAATGGGTGGAGTTAGATGAAAAGTGCAAATTTCTGAAGGTTGAATTACATAGTAATAATATTAACCAAAACGTGGCGATACCTGTACATAATACTATTAATACAAACAAAAGACGTACTCAAGCGAAGCGAGAGTAAGTCATTAGTATTGCATAAAGTTAAAATTTGTTTGTATGTAGATGATGATCTCCTGGAATTTCCGAAATGACTAAAAATTCTTTCACTGGAAGAAAACAACACTATGTCGTCATAACACTGAGTAAGAAAAGCTATTTTTATCTATCTATCTATATATATATATATATATATATATATATATATATATATATATATATATACATATATACTTAACCAAATGTTTTAAGTGCGCGTTCAAAATGTCACTAATGACTTCAACGTCTATTACTCAGTTATACCATATGTTAAATTATTATTAAATGACGTGATAATCATTTTAAGACAGTGGAAGTTAGGTCGTTAATTTGTTGATTAATTTTCAATTTAATTACGTCTTTACAGTAAATCGTGGTTCACGATAAACGTTGTTTTTGAAAGGTTGTTTTACAATGTGAATGATTTACTACACATACACTACTGATTGATTCCTTTATGATTAAAAGATAACAAACTGACAAATAAGCAAATTATTTATTGTATCGATCGTATTATTAGCAAAAATTTAACTTTAGCGATATAATTAAGATATACTGATCTTAAAGTTCACGCAATGCATTATTGTGTTGGTTTCCAACATAGTAGCGATTTGGATTATTAATTTGATGGCAAAAAAGGCTTTTCAGAGGCCCAGACAGTACAATCAGGGTCTGATTTGTATTTAGTATGTATACACCTACATCACTTTTGAGCTAGGCAAAGTCAGGGAGTCCCGCTAGTATTTAAATGTACCAGTGTTCGCCCAGTGGTTGGAATTCGAACATAATTATTTCTTTTTATAGATAGCACTAATGCTCGTTAATATTTAGTTAACAAAAAAACGTTTGATAAACAGACGAGAAAAAGCTACTGAACTATTCTGTCTTTGCCTATTAACTAACGACATGTTTAGCTCAGTTTGTCACGCCTACTTGCTGTGCCAGCAGTCGCGGGTTCGAGTCCGCTGGGGATATCCATTTGTGTGATGAGCATGAATGTT